ATTCGGAGCAACTCTCGGCCGAATTGATTGAGCTGCTGGAGGGGGCGTTTGAAAAGGAGGAAGCAGGCGGGACTGATTGAAGGCAAGGAGTTTTGGGTAACAACCTGAATTTGACGGTATAGGAGACTGAAGCCATATAGATTGTGCATTGTGTGTGTAGGTATGAATCTAGACGAGAGAGATATGGTGGTAAGGCTATATCTGTAGGTACGCGTATAGAAGGTTTGTGATCGTAAATGCCAACAGTTCCCTGCAGGCTATTACTTACATACCTTACATACAGCAAACGGATATACTATCACCTTTTTCATCCATGGCTGAGACAATATCCCTACCTAAAGACTCAACTTCGCCTGTAAAACCCAATACTACAGAGGACGGCGAACTTTCAGGAACCCGGAACCCGGAACCCGTCAAAGAATGGGTTTGTCATTTGTCCAATCCCGCAGCAAAGCCAAGCTTCATGTGATTTGCTACTTGTTCATCTATCTACAGCGTTTTGGCTGCCCGCTCCTTCAGTTGACTCTTCTGCATCGCTTTCTTTGCTCCTGGAGGCGATGGAATCATAGAGCGCGTGCTTGTATAAAAGCCCTATCTGATTGGCACATCATTGTTATGAATATTATCTTTACCATCCTGCCATCCATCCATCCGATGGTAGTAACGCAAGGAGGGGCTTTTTGTTTGATATTGGATGGCCAAGCTTTTTTTTGCTGCGGGGGTATCAGAATGCTAGAGGGCTCAGGACAAGCATCAATGGAAACAAAACGGCACTGGGCACGGAGCGGGCCAGATGACCAAGTCCGGAGATGGAGAGGATGGGAGGTAATAAATAAGTAGTAGTAGTAGTAATGGGTAGCGTGTAGTTGGTGCGGAACAATCCACCTTGCATCCGACGTTGATTCGTACATAGCATACTGTATGTAATATATAAATATAGACACATACTACCCTTCACTTGCCATTAGTAGGTAGGTAGTCTTCTGCTGTGTCGCTGTCATCAAACACTCTTCTCTTCTCTTTTTCCTTTCCTTTCTTCTCTTCGCCCTCCTCGCTCCCCTCACCCGCCCTGCTATAACCTCCTTTACTTCATAAAGGGGGGGCGGCATCAATCCTGCTAGCGGCGTGGGATTCGGAGCTGGATGCTGAAACCCTCGCCTCCTTATTAACACCTGGGGGGGCGCAGTTATTACGAAGACTCGATTCATCTCAACCTTATCACCAACAAGCAAACCGCTTCCATTTGCATAGAATTACTGGTTTTCTAGACGGGCAATGGCGCTGGTTCCAATTGCCGCGGCGGTGCTGGTCGCCTACGGCATCATCACCTGGGTCGTGAACCTGCGATACTACATCAAAGAGGCGAAGCGGAGCGGACTGCCTTACGTTGTCACGCGTGCGTCCACGAGTTCAACCCCCGTTCAACGAGTCAATACTGCTCGAAATCCTTGTTCAGCAAAGGCTAACTAGAGGCCATCGGAATGATTTGAAGCGTGCAACCCATTCTGGCTGCCGTGGCAGGTCTCACATAAGCTATGGGTGCCCATTATCAAGCTGTTCCCAAAGTCGTGGTGGGACGGATGGCTCGAGTATGGCTAAACCAGACAATCCGGCTGAAATCATTAAGACAGCAGAAAACGTGCTGACGGTTATTTTTTTTCCAGGATCATGATACCCAACTTTGCGTACCGGACTCGCCATGAGTGGTTTGCCAAGCTGGGCGAATCCTTTCTCATTGCCTCTCCGGGGGGCCTGCTGATGATGACGGACAATGCGGAGACGATCCGGACCGTCACGCTCAAGAGGGAGCATTTCCCCAAGTGGACGGCCGTCTACAGCATTCTCAGGCAGTTTGGCGAGAACGTGCTGACTACGGAGGGGAGCGTCTGGCGGATGCATCGCAAGGTCACGTCGGCGTCGTTCAACGAGAGAAACGCCGCCCTGGTGTTCCGCGAAGCCATCAACCAGACGCAGGGGATGCTGCGGATGTGGACGGGCCCCTCGGGCGAGACCAGAAAGGAGCCGCTGAGGACGCTGCAGCGTGACACGATGAAGCTGGCCTTGAACATCATCAGCTACGTCGGCTTCGGCATGCGTCTGCTGTGGCCGGGCGAGACGCATCCTGCGGGGACGGATCCCAAGCTTCTCAAGTATGGCTCCCACGAGCCCACGGCCGGACACAAGCTGAGCTTTACGGACACGATGGAGCTTCTGCTGCATTACCTGTTGCTTCTGCTCATTGTTCCGCGATGGATCTTGAGTACGTTTGCCCCCCTTTTGAGGTATATACAATGTTTCTGCTTCTCTAACGTTTGGCGGTCACAGGAATGCTTCCCTTTGAGAACATCAAAAAGGCGGTGCTGTCCTACGACGAGTACGTCAGCTACATGAACGAGCTCCTGGACGAAAAGATTGACGAAGCCCGCAAGGGCGAGCACGTCGAGGGCATGGACCTCATGGGCCAGCTGGCCAAGTCGTCGTTTGGCACCGACACCAAGGAGGCGACGCTGACGCGCGACGAAATCATCGGCAACGCCTTCATCATGTTCGTGGCCGGCCACGAGACGACGGCCAACGCCATCCACTTCACCATCATCTACCTGGCCACGCACCCCGAGGCGCAGCGCGCGATGCAGAGGGACATTGACGACATCCTGGGCGGCAAGGACCCGCAGGACTGGGACTACGACAGCCTGGTGAACCCGATGACGGCCAGCATGATCGGGGCGGCCATGTACGAGACGCTGCGGCTGGTGCCGGCCGTGTCCGAGATCCCCAAGAAGATCTCGCCCGACGCGGACGAGAGCTTCGTCATGGACGGCACGCGGTACGTGCTGCCCAGGGGCACGGGCATCTCGCTGGTGACGGTGTCGACGCACGTCAACCCGCGGTACTGGCCGACGCGGCCCAGCAAGATCACGCCCGGCGCGTCCAACATTCTCGACTACTGCCCGGACCGCTGGTTCCAGAAGACGCCGACGACGACGACGACGACCAGGGGGGACAAGGAGCGCGACGGCCAGCAGCAGCAGCAGCAGCAGCAGGGCAACGAGTCCGTGGCGGGCGCCGACGCGGAGGACTTTGGCGGCTTCCAGGGCTCCGACATCAACGCGCAGCTCTTCAAGCCGGAGCGCGGCTCGTACATTCCCTTTAGCGACGGCGCGCGGTCGTGCCTGGGGCGGCGCATCGCGGTGGTGGAGATCATCGCCGCGCTGGCCGTCATCTTCCGCAGCTACAGCGTCGAGCTGGCGGTGGACGAGTGGGCGAAGCCCGACGAGGTCGAGGCCATGGGCCGCGAGGAGAGGGCGCGGCTGTACCGGCGGGCGCAGGACAAGAGCCGGTGGACGGTGGGCCAGGCGTCGACGAGGCTGACGCTGAATCTGCACGACGGGATGCACGTGCCGGTGAGGATCGTGAGGAGGGGGGAGGAGAAGTTTGTGGACTGGGTGGACAGGGAGTGAAATTTTGGTGTTTGACTTGAATGTCTGTCTGTCTGTCTGTCTGATGTATTACCTTGTAGTAGACCGGAAGAGCTCAGCTTAATACAACAAACTTGCTCATCTCGGAAACGCTACGCATCTCCTCTCAGCACGAACAGTTAGGTAGTGACACCTCCAACGACAAGTCTCATATTCAACCAATTTGTCACTCTTCTTGCTCCTCATCCAAGAGGTCCGGACAACGCATCAAACAGCGTGTCCGGGCATCAACAAGTGCGGAGAAAAGCTGCAGTTGCCATGCCATCCTCAACGACTCCATCCGTGATGCCACGCTGCAGCATTCAAGGGTCCTCTCTCTCTCTCGCGCGCGCTCCAACAATCATCAACACCATCAGCAGCAGCCGTGGCATCATCAGAATCTCTATCCCATTATTCAGCCTCGCTCACTTCTCCATTATCCCCTCAATAGGCACCCGAATACCTACCTAGTCAACAAGATAGTACACCTAAAAAAAATGGCATCAGCGGCGCATCAGCCCCCATCCAACCAAGCCGTCATTCGATTCTTCTTCGTCCCGTAGGTACCTCTAGAGGTTCATCGCGTTAGTGCGGTACCTCCCCCACCCGCCGCTCGGCACTCGGGCAACGTGGTCTCCTCGCAAACGCGGCACACAAGCGAGCGACTTTTGCCCTCTTTCCCCCCCTCTTCCCCTCTTCCCTCTTGGTCTTTCTCTCCCACACGAAGGAAAGAAAAGAAAATAGCTGATCACAGCGGGAAAATCGGGTCTAGTCCTGAAGAGGACAACATAAACAAGAGCAAATACTTTGGGAGCTTCTTCTTCTCCCCCCTCGATTTCTTCCCTTTTTCTATTTTCTTTTTTTCTTTTTTCCCTTTTTAAAAGTATTCTTTTGCTGTACCAGGTATCTCAAGGTACACCCCAGCAACCAACCGTTGGAGAATCTTGGAAGAGAATCTTGACAACACCTTTTGACCTCATCCCGCTATTTTTGTCCATCTTTGGCTACGACTGCGGCTCGGACCAAGTCAAGGGTACAGATTACAATCAATCGATCGCACGATAACAACTTAAGCTGCACCCTGTTTAGCGCCTCTACTCTCTCTCTTCCGCAACCAGCAAACAAAATAAACTTCTTCATCCTCATTCAACTGGCTTAGCACTTATCAACAAGAAGAAGAAGGACAAGAGCACAACGCGGCTTCGTCCAACGGAATTTCTTTTCAACTGCAGCCCTGTTCCCCCGCTCACCAGCCAATCAATCAAGCCGATTCTTGCCGGTATCTGACTGGGGAAAAGCAACGCAACGCAACGCAACACACCGCAAGAAAAATATCATTGGGCATCGAATCATTTCTCATCCTCTTCTCTTGATTCGACAATCTCAGCCTTCCTTTTTTCTTCACCTTTTCCCAACCATTATTTCACACTTTATCGCTCGCCGGTTCACTTATCGCGCGGCGCATTTCTCTTGTTTTCTCGACCATTGCGCGCTCCCAAAGCTTCGCATTGCCTTCTTCCAAACAAACAAACAAAACAAACCATGTCAGTCGTCGCGCCGTCGAATAGCTGGCTGCGCGCCCAGCGCAAGAGCGATCTGGTCGAGCTGGCGGACAGCCTCGGGTTCAAAAAGTATGTGCTTCTGCTTCTGCTTCTGCTTTCTACTTTGCTTTTGTTCTTTTTCTTCATCTTCCTCTCTTACCTTATGCTTGCTGTTCTTGTCGTTGTTTAGCGCGGCGCATCTTGTTTGCCCGCCATCATCACATCATCCATTCCTTGCGTCATTGTTTTGTTTGCTGTTTAGCCTCTTGCTGTGTTTCCCGCTGCGATCTCGCACTTCATTCTGCAACGGACGATGCGCGCAACTTGTTCCATCATCGCGGCAGCGCGACCTCAAGAAGCTGTGACTCGAGAGAGCCAGCGATTCAGGGCTTTCTTGCTACCTTCTCCTCCTCTTCCACGCGCTTCATCTGCTTCTTCTGTCACGTTGGACCTGATTCCGCCGCCCTCACTCTTAGCGCGTCGCCACGCCGTCCATCGTCATTACTCGCTACTCCAGTAAAAGACAGCGAGAAAAAAAAAACACGCAAAACAAAACAAACAAGGAAAAGCAGGCTAACGCTCGCCCGTCCCGGGAACTAGCTACGATGGTCTCAAAAAGACGGAGCTCGAGTCAGCTCTCGACGACTTCATTGCGGGGAACAGCAGCCGCTTCTCCTCCCGATCAGATCTGTCTGGCTACTTCAACAGCCGCACCAAGGCCATGGGCTCTCCCGTGAAGCGCGAATCCAAGGAGCCAAAGGAGGCCAAAGAACCAAAGGAACCCAAGGAGCAGCCTCTCAAGGAGGAGCTGGAAAAGACTCTCAAAACGGCCAAGCGACGGGTAACCAAGGCTGCAGAGGACATCATGTCTACGTGAGTATTTACCGTTCCCCTTCGTCGCTGAACAACTGACAGCAGCGACAACCTTCTTCCAAACAAACTCCTCGCTCTAACACACATCTACAGAGACGCCGACGACGTCCGCGCCGCCTCGACTGCCCTCATCCAGACTCCCGCTCGCAGCCTGTCGCAAGTCGCCTCTCGCATTTCTCTTCCCGCGACGCCAGCCGACGTGGCCCAGGCCGTCGACCGCTCCACCCTCGCCGTGCGCCGTCATGTCTCGTCCTTCTACCAGGACAGTGGCATCAGCGAGGCCTCAAACGCCACCCGCGAGACGCTCAGCAACGTGACCAGCATCCTCCTCTGTGTCTCTGCGTTCGAGCTTTGGCACATTCGCCCAGAGGTCCTCGCCAACCGCTATGCCTTTACCGTCCCCGCCATCGAGTTCCTCGGCACTTCCGACCACCCCGTCTACCTGCCCGACATGTTCCTGCTGCTCACTGCTAGCTTCTGGTCGCCTGCCCTGACCTGGGCCTTTACCAGCTTCATCCTGCCCAGCCTGTTTGGATACTTCTTCAACCTCAGCGCGGCCAATACCCCCACCGGACTGAAGACTCGCTCCCGTGCTCAACCTCAGGAGAGCGTTGTCGACCCCTTGACCTATAGCATCACCAAGGCCCTCGTTTCCTACCTTGTCTATGGGCAGGGCGTCACCTTTGGCGGTCTTCTCTCCGAAACCGCCATTGAGCGGCTCAACGGGGCTGTCTATGGCGGCTACAAGGGCGTGATCACGGGAACCGCCATTACGGGCTTGCTGAGCATCTATGATGCAGTGCTGAAGAAATAAACCAGCCAGAGGCGTTATTGCCGTTGAAGCTTGAGAACTCCCTTAATCAATGGCATATATCACAAGTCTCTTGTTCTCACTTGCATCATAGCATGTTTGCTACAGCTCGAAAATCTTGGGCCAAGCTGCCACGAAGCTTTGTATGAAAGCCCTCGTGGCAGAAGGGGGAGGTTAGGGGAAAGCGGCGTTTTAGGTGTCGACGGCGTCAAAGCGCGGCTCTCCATTATTGTCGTCTTTTTTCTCTCTTCCTCGTCTTGATTTTTTGTTTTTTGGCTTTCCATTGGTTTCGATACCATGCCCGTTGTTCGACCTTTTCCTAGCCGGTTCGAATTGCTGAATAGCATAATTGGGTATGAAGTAAATAGGCTCCTTTCTTTCTCTTATTTGAGATGAAGAGAAGCCTCTTCGCGTCAATCCACCCTGACCCGGTGAATTGGCCTCTTCTTTTTCTCGCAGGCATGTTTTTCCATCGGCTCACGCTCTCATTCCCCCGCAATCTCAAGGATTTAGTTCGGGGTGCTCCTAACTGGCCAAGGGGCCTGCTTGTGATGGTGGCGAAGAGAGGAGTTGAAATCTACGTCGTGGCGTGGGGGGAGTTTCATGCAATAAGGAACATCTATTATGCTTTACTCTTCGTTGGAAAATGGGTTACTTTCTGATAGCTTTCACGCGTATGAATGGGAATTGGGTATTTGCAACGGTGCGCGGGGAGAGTTGGGCGATGGGTGAAATGAGAAATCTATTCGTGCCTTTCCAGTTCAACTGCTATATCTTGTCACGAGAAGCGTCGAGTGCAACATTGTGTCCTGAATTGCCCTATACCCCAGATATGTACTGTAGATGCTCTATATGTGCATGCATGGTCAACAATTGCCAAATCTCATGCGTCTAATCAAAACACAACACCATTTGAACAGCAGTGATCCATCACTTGCCCGACAGCGAGTCCCACAAGACCAACAAACGCTCTTCGTGTGAAGCTCAACGCCGTGAAAACCCCCCTTTTGACATACTAGACTATGAGTAGCCAATCTTGTCGATATATGGAGACGATAAATGTCGAGGCGGACGAGAAAAAAAAAACAGGCTGTGAGACATGAAAACAAAACGCCATTCCTATATGCATCCGCTTGCAAAGCAACTGATTTGTAGCGCGCGCCAAAAGACTTTCGAGCCTTTGGCTCAGACTTCCCCATCATTTCTTGTCGTCGGGGCTCTCAAACTTGATTGGATGCACGAGGAAGCTCCTCAGGCACATCCGACCGCTGCTCGCCTCGCTCTCTTCTTCAGCCTTTCCGCCTCGAATCTTGCCTCCGCCTTTTCGATGGCCCGTCTTCCCTCTGGCGTCCAGCTGAGCGAAGCCCAGCCAGCGCCGCCACAGCAGACCAGCAAACTCGCTATTAAAATACCAAGTAGCACCTTTGAAATTGTGCTCATTGCGCAAGTCAAACGGACTTCCCACGGCTGATGTCGAGTGGTCACGCCCGCCGTTGAAGACCTTGTCCACGGCACTGCCTTGGGGCTCCCAGGCCCGATCCAGGAATACGGGGTGGGGCGCGTACACGGCCTTGAATCCGTGGTGAAAGGCAACGCTGGCAGGAAACATTTCGGTGAACATTGTATGGTGGTGGCGCCACACCTGCTCGTGCATCGCCATCAGAAGCCGGCGGCTCAGTCGCGATGCCGTGATGATGGCGCATCGTCTTGGAGGCGTCTTGCCATATCCCGTTGCGTCATTTGAGAAAGCCCATGCAGAGCCGTGGACGTCAAAAATCGGATTCAGAGTGATGAGATCAGCCGCCTCACCAACACCGCACTCCGGGTCGTCTGGATTGGCCAGGCACGAGGCGGGCATAGCGGAACCTCCGCGCTGCTCGTAACGGAGCTGTCCTCTCTCGGGAAACTCTACGGGGCCAAAGACCCCAGGCTTGCCCGAATCCTTTGTATACTGCTCGACGGCAGCCGTGAAGTTCTCCCAGGTACCGTGATGGGCCGGGACGTAGTATCGCTCGTTTCGCTCCCAGAGCAGTTTGCGCGGCTGCTGGTCAGCCCAGTGGCCCAAGCGATCAAAAAGTTCGTACCAGTTGCCCAAGTACCGCATATCCAATTCCCAGTTCCAGAAATGCTCATACTCTGGGTGCTGCAAGGCAAAGACTTGAAGGGGCAAATGAGCGCTGCGGAAGACACCGTGAACGCCCCTCAAGGCAGGGTTGTTGATGGGTGGTTTGCTGATGGGATCTTCGAATTTGCCGGGATAGAATAGCTCCATCTGTGCTTCGCTCCACAACGTCACCAGTCCGTGAAACTCCGGGGGCACGTTGGAGTCGAGCAGCATCTGTACCGTCACATCGTCAGACCAGATCGGCGTGTCGTTGTCCTTGACGTGCAACAAGAAGTGGACATTGTACTCTCCGCCAGACTTAAGAGACAATTCGGTGATCATGGCCCGGAAGTTTAACACCGCCAGCTGCGTCCACTGGAAGCCTGTGTACAGGCGGATGACTACCGCGATTCGACCCTTCTTGCCCTCGTCGAAGTTGAGCGACTCGGTGTCTGGGTCAGGCTCTGCGAACCGGTGCTTGTTGGCGGCAGCGCATCGCTCCTGCACATCGCCCCAGTCAATCTGACCATAGTTGATCTGACCCGTCTTTTCCCAGACAGCCTCGCTACCGGAGCTTTCGGTATCAACACCAACGTCTGAGCCGCCATCGACCAGCTTGTAGCCAAAACCATAGGGTCCATAACGGCCAAATCGATCAAAGCAAACGTCATCGCGTATGCCGAAAATGGAGTGAGAGCCAATGGATGGGTCAGGCATATATTGCGGGACTCCGTCGTATGCATATAGGCTGGGTGCCGGGATCTTCTCTTCCTTGTCAAGATAGCAAGTTTTGACGCTCGAGTCGGATGAATTGTAAGGATCGTACAGCTTCGGTTTCGGAATATCCTGGCTTAGCGGAGGCTCGCCGAGAGGAGCTTCGACATTGGGGTTCGGATACTCGGGAATGTGATCAGCTTTCGCGACCAGAGACTTGAGGCCGTTAAAGTAACCATTCAGACTGAGCAAGAGGTCGCGTTAGTGGTGCAAGGCCTGCTGGAAGCGGGTGGGTGACCTACGGGAGAAATCGAAGCCAGGGCATCTTCTTCAAGTCCTCATCCCATTTCTTCTGGGCTGCTGCGTCCTCTTCCGCACTCAGTTCATCTTCGGCATCGATGGGCGCGGGATTCTTTTGATCCTCCTTCCCCTGTTCGGCTGCCTTTTCTTGTTTTCCTTCTTCCTTTCCTTCTTCCTTCTTTTCTCCGTCCTTGTTGCCGTTCTCTTCGACATTCTTCTCTCCACTTGGCTTCGCCTTCTCCTCAGCTGCCTTGTCGGGTTTCTGGTTATTCTTTTCCTTCTGCATTTCTTTATCCTTATCCACAATCACCAGGATAGGGCCGCCGTCTTCATTGCCGATGATTGTAGGCTGTGCTAGCGGAGGCTTTGCGCCCGGTTGAACAACTCCTGAGCCAGCACTGGATACCATGCCGTCGCCTGCTTTGAAGAGAGCGAACGACACGAGAATCATGCTTACGACAGTCCATATCAAAACCCTCCGATACAGACATCGTCTAAAGAATGAATGTCCCCGGAGAGCCTTCTGCTCGAAGACATTTTCGGCGTATGGTAATAAGGGGTCGTTGTTTCTGTTCGTCGAATCGTGGGAGCTAGAGCGGCTGCTGAAGCTGAGAAGTGAAGCCGTGCGCTCCATGGCGGCTGGAGCGTGGCAGGGTGACTATCACCCGCGGCTCTGGAATTTCGGAGGCAACGCAATTGTGAGACGGATGTAGATGCGATGTTGTTGTGCTATGCAAGTTGCTTGGTTCCCTCTCGCAAGCGCTTGAATTGTCGCAAATAGTCACAGGTAATCAATGTTTGGGTTCGGAAGCTGACGGTTTGAGTGAAGTGCCCCTCTTGTGAGCGAATGGTGGCGACTGCGTTCCGTCTCTCGGTAGGAATGGGAGCGAATGGCGAGATGGGACGACAAGCTGGTGACAAGCCGGTCAGCCTACAGATCCAGCGACTCCGAGCTTCGGACGACAGAAAGGGGGGGGGAATAGGGCAAAGGGGGAGAGGAGCAGATTTTGTGCAGAAATGGGTGATATGTACAAGAATTGGGTTTGAGATGTTGTAATAACCATAAACCTTGTACAGGAGTTGGAAGTCAGAAAAAAAACGTCGGCCAAGGGTCCCTCAAAGGGGACAGACCAAGTGGGAACTGGCAGGAGCCTCTGAGCTCAGCTCGCTCTTGCGCATACGCGCGGGCGCAAACAGCGATCGACAGGCAGGCGCAAGGCAGGACAAGACAGTCTGAGGAAAGAGGTGTGTAGGAATAAGGCCAAGCAAGGCAAGTCCAGTGAGGAGCAGCTTTCCAATGCAGATGCGCAGAACTTTTGGCAAGAACCGCCTGAGATGCTACCTTCTACAGTACCTAGGTACCTAGTATTTCTGTACCTTGGCAATTGGCCTCCTCTCCTCTTCGTCATTATCATCATCAAAGCCCTCACTTCACCCAGAGATTAATCGAATCTCGGCCCGGTTCTTCACGTCCAACTTAGCGCTTCTTTGCAAAGAGCACGGACAGAAATGTTTCGACGACCAGACACAGCGCAAAGGCTATTTTGGGGCAGCGCACACAAGCTCCACGCATCTTAACACCAATGCGGCCAATCCTCCTCGCTGGCGAATCGCTGCCGCGTTTGTGCCCGCATACGAGTACATACACTACAGTAGGTGTGCGCGCGAGTGCGCAAGTGAGACGAGGGAGTTGCAGCCATGATACGAGCCGCATTGCCATCCGCGCGCAGCCGCACTGACACACCTCAGCATGTTCCATGAGACACGCAGATGAGCTAGTATTACAACCGGTACGATTAGCTCCGTTACTGAAGAAGAGCAGAAGCCAAGCGGTGCCCACAGTCAAACATCGCCCGGACTCTATAAGGCTTCATTCTGTCAAAGATGGATGAACTGAGATACCCCATTGAGGCTTGAGGTTCGTTTGTTCGCGTGCAATACCCCTTGCTATTCGTTGTTTCTGGGCTTACATGTTGCCAAGGCTCTATCTGGTACAAATATGACTGTCCACGAGGGAGCAGCCTTGTGGTCCAGGCAAAGTAATGAATCCGTCGACACACGGCTCGAACACGAGAATCGACGCGTGGCTTGATTTTGATGCCGCAACCAGCAAACCGCAACAGCGCCGCCAGCAACAGAACAACAGAGCGATAAGCAGCGGCGCTTCTTCAAAGCTACCTAGGTACCCAAGTTGGGGCGTCACTAGTATGTACGAGTAGCATCGACAGCCCCTGTCGCTCTCAGCGCCGTCTACTTGTCCCAGGCCAATCAGAACTGCACGGGCACTGGCCGGAACCCCGTTCGACTATCCCGAGGATGCCGCTCCATAATCCTTGTGAAGCCTTCCGAGAGGTTTTGCCTTGTCGGCCTGTTTGATCGGCCATTGCGTCATACTGATGCGGCAGATGATAACAGCCAACGACGAGGAACAGAGAGTGCCATCCAGCAAACGCAAAAGGGTTACTGTTTTCACCATCAAAGGAGGGGGTCAACTCTGGTTGTCGAAGCAGTCTTTGCGATGGCTGCGCGCCTCAAGCCGGGTTGATCGGGACTTTCTCGCAGCTGACGGTGGAATTCTTTGTCGCTAGAAGCAAAGACCGGCGGGACGCTGTGGCGTGGCATCCCTGCCGTTTCTACCATCCCGCTGGCGACATGAAACGCGTCCACGACAGGGGCAGCACACACTTGACACATTCTGAAGGGCTTCCGAAGTCCGGTTTCGTTTTTTCACGACCTATCAAACAACTGACTACGCTTCGGCGATTTTGCCATCGGATAGGAGAGCATTCGATCCAACAAAAGCTACACGTATATCGCAACTCTTTACAATGTCGCCTCACGCCCAAGGTACACGCGGCTTGCCTCCTTGTGAGGTTCTCCTTTTGAAGAACAGGGGCTCCAAAACATCTCATCAAATACGGAGTATTATGACCGGACAGCAGCCTGCCATTCCACTATCGACTGCTCTTGTGGAGCTCGAATTCTATTGTCATCTCGTTCTCTCGGGCCCCCGTGGAGGGATTCTTGGCCTAAGTCATAAAGGTGGCCCGGCCGTTGCGAGGGTGACATGAATCGGCCGCCAAGAACTGCCCGCGCACTGGTTTCTCGTGCAGCAATCTGCCAGAAACTCGCCCGCTTCGCTAAGCCACCTCCCAAGCCCCTCTGCCACTTGATGATTCGGATTGCCTGGACATGAATGGTTCGTGATGGGTGTTCGTACTCGTACTTGCAAATGCAGTCCGCCCACCATCATCCGCTTCGACGCACAGGATAGGGTGTGGTCGCAGCCCAATCAGCATTTGTCGTGCAAAGCTCGCTGTATCTCTTGCCGATATATGGAGACACCTGCACCTCAAAGACGGGGTACATCAGTTCAAACAACTGACCACTACTGCCGATAATACGATATGCATGCCAATTATGGCCATGCTCAACTACTTAGGCCAGTGGTGTTGGTCTTGCTACGCCGTATCACTCATACAAGATACCATCTAAATGCGCAGAGCCAAAAGTAGACGTGTATTTGGGAATTTCGGGGAGCACCATTCAGGTGCAGATGTCTTTGCTCTTTGTTCGAGTTCGAGCGCTACTTGCCCACGAAGCAACGTCTTGGAGCTTGGCGGCATACAACGGACACTCTGCCGAGAGCTAGCAATGCCGGCCTCACTAGAAACAGGGATGCTTGGGTTATCGCTCTTGTTGACTGACAGCCAACGCTGCTTGACGAAGCGAAGATGACCATATGAAATAAGTGTACAGATGAATGATATCTACACTGGCTCTCCCTTTGTCGACAAGCGCAAAGATATGCCGTTCAGCACCAGCACACCTCATCAAACTGTTTCTCGCGGCTTCTCGCCATCCGCGGCTTTCTCCTCACCTTGTCGATCGTCCACCTCTGTCGCTTCGCCGGCGTCATCTTCGACTGACTTCTTCTTCTTCGCATCAATCCTTTCCCTCCAGTCCTTGCCCCATCTAATAGTAGCCAGGACACCGAGCGTCGAGAGAAGCACTAAACTGGCAGAAATGGTCTCAAACCAACCAACACCAATGCCCTCAATGGCCGGGAGAACGATAGCTGTGCCCACACAGCCTGCCATATACCGAACAAAGTAGTTCGCCGCCGTCACCTCTGCTCCGCGTCCAGGCATTACGTCTAAGCAGTAAGTGTTCAGGGCAGGAAAGCAGAAGAGCTGCCCGACACCTTGCAAAAAGAGCATGATGACTGGAACGGGAATCCCACCCACAGCTTTGTCAATGGCCCATCCATATACAAGAATGCAGCTTGGCACGAGAAAGGCCATGAACGGGATTGCGGACCGTAATCGATCCTCTGGAACACGTACGCCATTGCGCTTCTTGATCCATTCCTTGACGGTTCTGTCCGCCCATCTTCCTCCCATGAACGTCCCCAGCAGATAGCCACTCCCTGGGGCCAGATAGAAGAGGCCTGACAGCATCGGTGACTCCAGATGGAACCGCGGGTTCAACACATACGGAATCGGTGTGAGCAAGCTATACATATTCCACACAAGCGCTGAGCTGGCGAGTGCGACCAGCACCTGGTTCCAGTATCTGAACAGCCGCATCACACGGATGGGACTCGTCATGTGGAGTATAGCCTTGGCCTTTTCTTTCCTGGAGCAGCCTTCCAAGTCGTCAATTTTCTTGTGGTGGATAGTCTCTGGTACAAGGAAGAAGACACCAAGCGACCCTGTACCAGCCAACGCCGTCTGCAGCCAGAAGATGGACCTCCATGATGTGTAAGTCACCAGGATGCCGCCTATGCAAGGGCCAAGGGCAGGACCGATCAGCGTGCCGGACATGAACCACCCGAGAGCAGTTGCTCGCTCCGTCGGCCGATATATGTCTCTGATATGCAGGTTAGCCTGGCTACCAGTAGTATTGCGAAGTAGGTGGCTCACCCTATGCAGGACGCTCCCAGCAAAATGAACGCCGTGCCTTCAAATGCCGAGAGAGCTCTGAATATGAAGAAGGATGCCAGATTCGGAGCAAGCGCAGTTGCTATACTCAGCAGGAAGAACAAGACTGTGGTCAACAGTGTCATCTGTGCCATTTAGCATGAGTACTGTCAGGACGAAGGCAACAAGGATCATCCAGACTTACCGGTCGTCTGCCGAACACTTGGCTCATCGGTCCCCATACCACGGGTGAGACACCCATCAGCGCCATGTATGCCGCATTGCTCACGTTGACGATGGAGCCTGTTGTGTGGTATGTCTTGGCAACCTCGGGCACGGCGGCCAGAATGCTCGTGCTTGACAAGGGCGCCAGAAAAGCGCAAAACGACAGGACGCTTACGATGACATGTTTGCGGCGCGAGGACACGCGGTCGTATACTTCTTCTCCAGCTTCAGTATAGGGGCCAGAAGACTGCGGTGGCTCCTGTGGTGCGGATGATTCCAGTACATCAGGTCCGGACACGTGAGACATTGATCGATAGAAGACGCCCGCCGGCTCGGCCACGGACAGGTTGACTTTCTCGTCCGGCATTGATGATGACAGCCTGGACCTGTCATCGCTCTCTGGGGAGGATGGCGGTAGTGTCTTCTCAGTCGAAGTCATGATTGTGAATCGACGCTCATTCGGTGCATAAGTTGAGCCCCCTTGTCAAATATGGCTTGACTGACTGAAAAAAACCGGTAGAGGGTGCAGAAGCCTCCGAAGCATCAAAACAAGAAGCAGCGTGCCGAATTTATCAGGTTACCATGAGAATGCAAAGAGTGTCAGTCATCGATGTCGCGCCTACAAAGTCATGAACAACATCTCCATGGCAAAAGAGTGAAGAACAATAGAACCCGCCTCAAGAGAACGAACGATGCATACGACCCATGATCGAAGACAAAAAATATAGGTGCCCACGAGGAGGAAATCCTGGCCGAGCTATATCACGGCAAACATGCCGTTACTACTCTGCTCCATGCACCGGTAAAGCTCGCCGCAAAAGTAACCGAGCTAAGAAGCCGCATATAGCCTTCTCCAGGCACCGTTCCCGTCAACTTATCGGAAGAATCTGTCCCTGAAGACGTATCTGGTTGGCTGAGGCTTTGCAGCCATCGAACCCGCAGCCATCGGCCCGCCTTTAGGCTCTCGAGGGCTGCAACCGAAACACCCCCCCTTTCCCCGTTTGTATGCTGTGAGCATTGAATTTGTTCGGTGGCTGCATGAGGTGGGTTTTCGCTGGAGGATTCTTCCCTTGGCCCTGATTTGAAGTTGTTATCTTTGCGCTAATGGCCGGTTTATACCCGGCCATGGCTCGGCGTCTTTCCTTGGAGGCCGGTTGCTTCCAAGCATATGCATACAACTGCAAAGGCTGTCTCTTGTCCGTACGCCGGATAATGCTGCCGTGTCAGGAGAGGAAGCTGACACCCTTTCAGTCTTTGGTAAGGCGATGCTGGGAACTAATGCATGGTGATTTGAACTGCTGTCAACGAAACGGCCTCCCTGGGATACAGACTGAGCAGATAGTAATACCGACGTTGGCGAAAGCCCAGTCGCCAACTCCCCTTTCATGCACCGCCATATGCTTTCCACAACCTACACCGAAATGCTCATTACCTTGTCTCCAGTCAAGTCGCGCAGTCGACTGAGTTGTAAGAATGCTCTCATTAGACTCTCAGAGTGTCTAGCGTACATCTAGAATGCTATGTGACTTATTGTCTATGCAAAACTCCATACTCCAGCGCATGCATCATCTTGTACATCGGAAGCTCGTAGAACATTTCCTCCCCTGCTGTAAGTATATAAAGTGCCAACAAAATGCAGCGCAATGTAATGAATGAAACCATGTAAGCATGCTGCACCCTCTTCTGATTCAACAATGTAGAAACCTTTCCCCTTCCTCTGTGTCGTGTCCGGGTGTTGGACGGTGTGCGAAACGCCAAGGTAGATAATTCGGAATCAGCCCGTTCCATTATGCCAGCAGCTTCTGTACTCGCTCCTGGAGTACCCGATCAACAGGCTGCGAGCCCCTCTGAACAACAACGTTCTCCCTTCCGCCAATGGTGACCACCTTGAGCCACTCTGGTGCCACTTCGTTGGCAATCAGTCGGACGCAAATCATTCCCTCTTCCTTTGAAAGGGGAACACGCAGAGAGTCCTTGAGCTTGTCCGAGATGAGCCCCATGGTGAAGGCCTGTCGTGGCAGAGAGGCCGGGTTAGCCAGGCTGAGCATGGAGATCGTCGCGGCGACGTCGATGACGCGGTTCAGGGCCGCTCGGCGCTGGAGCTCTGGTCCTGAAAGCGGGAGAGGCTCGTTGGCTTTGGCGATTTGCTTGTATCGTAGACGGTCCAGCAGGCTCATTTTCGTGCCGTCGGGGTTCACCATGGCGGTAGCGGCCTGCTGTTTGGACTCCTTCTTTTGCTGCTTTGCCAGCATTCCTCCCTTGAGCGCTGACAGGGCATTGTGTCCCTTGGTAAGGATTGGGTTGGCTTTGATGCCAGTGTCCATGTTTCTGATTTCAGCGCGGGGCAGCTCATCCAGAGTCAAGCTGGCCAGAGGCACGTCCACATCGTCGGCCCTGTCACCATGGGCTCGGCCAGCGCAAAGGTCGCGGAGATTCTCCTCGAACTGTCTGCAGAGACGATCTTCGTTGATGGAAACTGCGCCATTGGTATGGTCGGGATGCAGCTCTACGCAGATCTTGCCACGGCCATAGTCGGACACGATGAAGGGCGAGACGACATCGGCAGCTCGTGTTGAAGTCTGGATGGCAATGCATCTTCGGATGTCGTCGACTGTAACCTGTCGCTTGCCCCAGGAGCGTGAGATGTTGGGTGTGATGGATGAGATGTCAATGGGCGCAATGGTTCCGCTGTGTGCGATCTGGAGGGTGATAATCTTGAGGAAAGCCTTGTGGAGGCGGATCAGGTCGACCAGCTCAGGTGCGAATTCGGAATCGATGCCTGACGTCTTGCCTTGTTCCTTTTTCTGGCCGGCCAGACGGAACGCGTCGAGTTTTGTCTGCACAGTCTTGGTCCTGACGTCTTGCTTGGACTTTGCGATGATGGTTGACTCGCTCGGCTTGTGCGCAACAGCGGCGCGTGAAGGCGTCGGCTTGGCGACCTTCTTGCCCTTGACCGGGGCCTTGGATGCAAGCTTGACTGGCGCTGGCGCTGCTGCTTTGACCGCAAGCTTCACCTCCGCCTTCAGGGCCGCCTCATCTGACGAGACTCTCCGACACGCGCGCTTCGACGGTGTAGCTGCCACCAGTTCGTCATCGCTGCTCGGGGGGAAAGAGATGGTCCTTCTCGTGACTCGAGCGTGGTTGCCCTCAGCTTCGTCAACGGTGGCTTTCCTCTTCCTCGTCGATTCACTGCGGGAGACGACGACGTCCTTCTTGGTGGTGTCGGGGAACGCCTGGCTCTTGGAGACGCGGGTGAAGTTGCTGATAGGCTGAGCTGTAGAGGGAGCTTCGACCTGGCGTCTCCTTGTGGTGCGAGGCATGTTGGATGAAGGGCTGGCTTCCTTCCTCTGTTCCTCCTTGCTTCTTTCCTTTTGATATCTGAAAGACTTTCACGTGTCCTTAGCTCCTGCCCTTGGAGTGCCTAACCTGCAGCTGCGATAATTCGAAGGATCAAATGGCAGGAACGGTGAGGATACGCCGGCTTAACAAAGAATCAACGCGCGGAGTGAAGACCGGGAAAGAGGCACTGCTCGAAGATGAAACAAGGAGGAAATCAACGGCTGGGAAAGCACGTAGCACGCAGTCTTGAATTTTTGAGGAAGTTGCAATGTTGGGAAACTTTAAAAAAGAAAAAATTGAGGAGAGAGCAAAGGAGTGAGTGAGATTGCCTTGACAACGGAATTTGCCAAGCGCTAGGTAGAAAATCGATTCCAGGTTGACGCGACCCGCAGACGCGGTACGAAGTCGGCAGTACTTACACGACGCGCGGGTTTTTGGGAGTATTTTGTGGCACGAGGAACGCACATGGGAATTTGGCGGCGCGTAAAGTGCCCCTCCCCCACATTATCGATATTTTGTTTGTATTTCGAAGTTTGAGGTGCAATCATTGTCAAAGGCTTGGTACTGAAGCATGTACAATCATTGGACATACCTCATAAGGCCTGGGACTTTGGGTCCCCGTCTGGTTTGCTTTACAGATACATCTGCGACATTTGGCTCGCCAGGCCCTCTGAGGTAGCCTATGCTGTGTATGCGATCCGTATTAGTGCCAGGAATTGCTCGCTCATGCTTCTCCAACTGGACGTGCAAAACCATCAACATCACTAATATCTGGCTCAGCCATAAGGCAAGGCTGATACTACGAATACTTCGGCACTGATTTATGCTGGCGACACTATGATAAGCTCGTTTCACTGTCGCTATAGTGCCGAGTAGTAGTCATTATTCCGACGGCTGTGGATGTTTGTAAGTTGGCCGAATCCGCATATTTTCGAGAGAGATCAAATCGTAGGAATCAGGAACCAACAATGTGCGGTTATTTGATGCCGGCAGCACTGAGACCTAGAAGATGATCTTGAATCATAAAAGAAGATACTCAGCTAGTTTCTTTCAAATAGATTAATGGGGAGAGCCTCAACAAGAGAAACAGCAAAGCTTCAGATCGCCAAGCATGCACAAGCATCCACATCCTGCAGTACGATTGCCAACGCCTCCCAAAATTGCAAATACTTCTGAGAGATGGTTATGGACGGAATTGAGATGGATCATCGGGGGCTTCCATCGAGGGGTTTTGCTTTTCTGCCAGCACTAAACGTTGTTAAAGATGAGGGGGAGAGGGCGGCAATGGCTTCATGACAAGGAAGCTGCACAACTGACCAACTTGAGAGTTGAATGACCATTTGTGGAAGCTCCAGTACTGTGAATATGACGACTTTGTCTGTAGTGTAAAGCTGAAATGACTTTGCAAAGACCAATCTGTCCCGCTGATGCTCCCCTACTCCCGTTCCCCCATGCAAAATATAAGCAAGTCTTCTAGTTGAACCCTTAGATCTAGCATCGAGTTTTTCATATATGTCTGAGCATTTGATCCACTTGGAATTTTGTCCATAATCGTGCGGATATCTAATAAGCCACTCATTAGCATATCCTTAGAATACGCAAATGGTGAGCCGGATCTACCTGCATATTGAACGATGTATCCTCTCTACTCTCGATGCTCTCCTGTAACCTAGACGTCACGATGAACATGTTTGTCAGGCACCAAATAGAGGGAAACCACATGCTGAGTCAATGGAAGTAAGGTATCGTCGGAATGAAGGTTCTATGCCTCATATAATTCCTATGTATATCGATGAGTCCGTCTGACGGGCACAAGACCGGCCAACTCATGTTGTGAGAGCTAGGTATACCATGGAAGCAATATTCGGGAACCTTATACTATGTAGCTATATATGCTGTACGTCATAGATGCGGTTCTAGTTACAATATATGAAAAGCACTATGGCGTGTAAGCCACGATGACACCCTGGGTAAGTAGGTAGCACCTTGTAATGGTACATCGTGCACCACACTCACGATAACATCACTTGTCACGCAAGTCACGATAATCCGAATACTTGGTTCTTCATAGTCAGAAAGCCCTGAGAAACCAACGACGACGGTAATGCCAGGCCATGAGCATCGAATGAACAAGTGTGCAGCCACTCGAAGCAGATTCGACTATCCAGGACCATGCTAACAGAGCCTCATCGTAATCACAGCCCGGCTCTAGGATCCATCATGCATGCATACCTACCTACCTACCTGGACTATTGTACCACCTTCATCAGACCGGCTGCAGATGACGAATCATGATCCGTCTCCCATCTCCAGAGGATTCCATCGTGGCGTGCATCTCATTCATACATACTCCAATACCTTGGCACATCTGCAAACCCCCCGGCTAAAATAAACCCGCTCGTGCTCTGCTCTCTGCTGCACCGGTCAGAAAACAGCTGCCCGTTGCCACCACGTCCGGCCTCAGTCGCTAATGGCAATAGCGGCAGGCTTCCTCCCAAGCTGCGTCTCGTGTAAGCCAATGACGGTGGCAACGGCCCCGACTGATTGGGTGCATGCAGATTCCGTAGTTACATCCTCCTCACCAAGAAGGTGGCATAATATCCAATGGCCAAACTACGAGTATTCTGACCGCTCTTTATGAGTCAATCTCCTCCAACTTGTCTTGTATCACTCCGAGGCTGAGCCATCGCTAGCTCCTTTCCGGTACGCATCGCGAAATTGGCATTTCTGCCGTGCTAGGCTTGCTATTGCCAGTAGCGAGAAAACCCAGGTGGTACAGCATCAAGAACAGTTTGATTACAGGAGGAGAACGACTCGACCAGATAAAGATAATGAGCAGACAAAGACTCCCGACCCGTGAACCCATAAGCCCGCCACCACTTGTACCTCGCTATCCGCCAAGTGCTGATCTGGGCAAACGCAGGCAAACCCACTGCTTTTATTGTGTGTTTCCACCCGTTGCCCAATTTCCCACTGTATTTGACCATTAACCATACCTAGACACCCAACTCCCAAGAGGCCGCCTCTTCAAATCTCGGAGAGGAGAGAGGGGGGAAAACGAGAAAAACCATCCGTCTAAGCCCTAAGTGAATGAGAAACGAAACGAAGGATTGATGAAGCCGGGACTAGCCCGGCCACACTGTGCCTTCAGCTGTGCGCTGGGCACGCTCAAGTCCGATGGACAAGGCTGAAGGCAGTGTAACAGAACTCGGACCCCCTTCAGTGACAGGCTGGCGTGGGCCAGCGGTCGGCCCTGAAACTAACGGGGCTTGGAGGAGGAGGCGCTGGAACGGCGAAGTCATCTTCAAGGATGCCGGAAGTTGGGGATCTGTCGCCTTCTTTGGTCATGGCATTGTCGAAAGGAATGGCCGGTCGCTGATGTCCTTTTAGCGGGCTAAGAGAACTGCTGAGCGTGGTATAAAGATCTTGGGACGTCGACAGCCGAATATTGGCCCGCTGCGAGGGCTTGATAGCATAAGGCGCCGCGACCTGACCGCTTGACATGTTGTCGGTAGTCTGGGGGAGATTGTGTGTCGTGCGGGAATGGAATGAAGATGGCGACGAGCTGAGTCGACGCGAGAGAGGTTTGGTAAAAGCGGTGATGAAGCTCTAATGCGAAGAGTCAGTCTAGAGATCGAGCACAGGAGAGACAATAAATGAGATGGACCAACATTTTCTTGTACTGGCAGAGTAGTATAAAGGGCAGCTTGCAAATCAAGAATCCTTCTGTCGTATGGAGAAGCCTGTCGACAAACTCGACTAGATGCTTGTAGCTATCGGGAAGTAGCCGTCGATAGACAACAACAGCACGGAAAAATAACGGTGTGCCGGTGTGAGAAGAAGAGAACGAGAAAGACGAGTAGGATTTCTTTGATATCTCAGCAGAGAAGAACAAGGGCAATGATGGGTTGTTGTGAGAGGAAAGGGGCCTTGAAAGCAGAAGAGTCTAGCTCAGGCGAGAAGTTGGAGAAGAAAAGAAATCTCTGCCTCTGTTTGTTTTTCTTTTTCTGCATCAAGCGAGAAGAGCAGGCGGAGGGGAGACTGAATTATAAAGAGTGAGAGGGAGAGAGACAGACAGGGCAGGTTGGCCGGGGATCGAGACCTGGACTATAGCAGGGGAAAAAAATAAACGGAACAGAAAAAAAAAAAGGGAAAAAAAGGGAAAAAAGAAAAAAAGAAAGAAGGCATAGACGGGGGGCCGGAAGGGCGGTTGCCAGACGAGGAGGGCGTGAGAGAGCAGAGGTGCTGTTTGAAGGGGAGAGGCGGGAGCCTGGGGCGTGCGAATAGTAGTGGAAGCTTCGTTGCTGGTACCGGCGTCTGTACCTCGGCATCGACCACTTCGCCCTCTTGTGCAGTCGAAAAAGCAAGAAAAGTACCCATTCGGTGCTGGCAGAGACTTGAAGGGCGTGCGACTCGGGCCTTGGGGTCAGATTTGACCAGTTGGGGCGCACGAGAGACGCTCCGGGGAAACTCTTGAGAATCCGGGGATGCTGTGGCAAGCTGCATAGCATTGAGCTTGGGGTGTGTGTGAAAGGCCTAGTAGGTACCTACCTACCTAGTACCTAGTACGAGGTACGGGGCATGCGGCAATGATCCAAGGGAACTTTGCTCGCAGCACCGTTGCCGACTCCAGGCATGTACTACCTACCTACCTACTTACCCTACCTACCATAGTACTCAGGCAGTGGCTTGTACTGTATTACCATCGACACTCTTCTTGGGCAGAGACGCTGTCCACCGACACATACACTTCGGACTCGTTCTGTGTGTCTGCTAGCAATCTCGCCAACCGTGGATTCAGCCACAAAGGTACCAGGCACGAGAGCCCTCTTCATGCCGAGAATGCCACTGGGCGTGTGCGGAGAAGATGGAAAAGGGGGGCGTGCAGCTGGGGAGGGCGGAAAACAACCTTGATGAGGTCCTTGATCAACAGGATCAAAGTTTGGGAACCGAAAATGCTGCCAGACCTGGGCTGCCTGGCAGGTACCAGTACCTTGAAGCTGTGCCTACCTCGCAGCTGTGCCTACCTACCTCGCAGCTGTGCCCGAAATACCCCGTGGAGGCGTTATACCAACACCAACGCGCCTTCCATCGTGCGAGTGCCTTCCCGTTTGTCCTGGCTTGCGTGTTGTTTTGTGCCCTGGGCCGGCAAGTACAAACCTGGAGTTGCCTTGCCGTGTACGAGTACCTAGGTACAGGAGGAGTTGGTAGGTACGACGACGCGCACTAAGCTGACCGTGGTACTCGTAGCACCTCGTGTATCCAGAAAGCTTTTCTTATCCCGTCAACTTCAGCGCTCTTCTCTGGTTCATGCTTGCACACGTCGTCAATGCCACTAATCAAAATGACACGATACCACCTTGCGGACAGTCCCAAGCTTTGGGCAAACGAAACGAAACCCGTCACGACCGGGGTCTTGTCCAGGCCACACGCAGAAGCTGCTAGAGCAGTAGCCCCGACGTTCCGATTAATTGGGAGATTTGGGGTATTGTGGGGACAGGCCGGCTTGCAGGGTTGCTGCTCGACAAGGGGGGAGAAGGCAGAGCAATCGAAGCTTGCTGCTGTTAGTGCGAGTGCTGCTGTTGCTGTTGCTCGTACGAGCAGAAGTCGAGCTCTGCGAAGTGCCTCGAGCGGCCTTGCTGGAGCAACTTAGGGCAAAGGCACGGAACATGACGCTCCGCATGTAGGTATCTACTATAGGTATGTTGCAATATTTCCGTCGAAATTCGCGCCAAGTACAGGTACCTCGAGGACTGACGCTGCCCCTAGTTACCAACGAACCGACAATTCGCGACTCGGGTATTGCCCTGCTGTTGGTACCGCAAATGCGAGCGTAGTGCGTGCTTCGTACGAGCAAGCAGCAAGTCGCTCCTAACGCTGCCTTGAGTGAGGCCGAGGGACACAACACGACAGCGGACAGGCAGGCGTCCATCTCGTGCCCCCAACAGCAGCAACCTGCAAAATAGATCACGTCAGGAAGGTACTTTGTACGATTCTAAACAACAGCGTCGACAACACGAAGAGTCCTGAAGAGCAAACGAGCCCCGATAGGGCACCCATCCATCCGCCCGAGGGCATTAATGCGTCTGCCGCCCAGACGCAAATTCACCCGACTGCTGCCGCCAGCCTGTTTACCTCGAAAGTTACTTTTTCGTCTGGAGGCAACCCCATGTTCCCCCTCGCTGGCGATGCTGCCCAGCATAACCCGGGCCTGACGTGGCAAGCCAACAGATGAAGGGTGGTGGCCGAGCCCGCCGGGCAAGTCTTCATCAATCATTGCACGATAACCACTCATTGTCAGGCCAAAAATACGGGTCATGTATGCGCATACATGTCATAATGCCATCGGAACAGGTTGCTAGAACCATGTTTGTACATACAGACGCTGCGTCGGACGACCTCCATGGCACGGCTCCACCATCTCCGGGACCCCCTTGCCCCGGCTTGCCTGATACTAATAGTAGGGAGGAGAAGCGACCAGGGGAAGCTCCCACGGCTTCCCCGACGCTGACAATTTTTCGAGAATTTCTTTGGAAGCTTCATATAGCATGGACATTGCTGGGTAGGCGGTTGTATCGCACACGAGTAATGCCGGCCAGGCTTCATATTTCTATTACAGGCTACACTGGAGACGGCACTAGGTTCCCTGGCGGAAGGTTCGCATTCACCGGTGGCTCATGTGTAAAGGTAATGAATCCTGGCTGCACCTCCTTTCTAGAAGATTACGACAGTCATGAGAGTCAGGGCCATCTGCTCGCGAATCGATTCATCTACCAACTAATGTCGCCTGGCGGTCAAATGCTGCCACGATACCGCCTCCTGTTGCTACTACAACTGGATTAGCTCAGGCGATGCGGCTCTGCAAGACACAATGTCTGGGTCGGAAGACCTGCTCCCTATCTGCGTATACCACGACATCTCGTCGAAAGTCTATCCTGTGCGTCAACAGAACGCAACCAGCCCCCCTCCAGCCGTTGCGTTATGGCAAGCAAATCTTGCGAAGGCGGGCCAACACAGACTAGCAGCTCGTGGTATTACTCAATCTGGGCCTCTTCCTGTTTGCCATTACGCCCTGGATTGGCCGTCTCCTGAGATCCTTGAGGATTGTGCACCAAAATTCAAGACAGCTGCCAGTTTTGGTGATCTCAGGCTTGTCAGCAAGCAGGTTGAGCCGACCCCCTTCAAGACCTCAGTAAGTCTCACTCGGGTACTCATCCCTTCCGACCTGAACAAATGGATAGTACGGCCAGAAGCGCCGTCGTCTCGAGAATGGTTTACGAGAACCAAATAAGATTGGTGCAACGTCAAGAGCTGGCTATATCTGAGTGATTGGAGGAGCTCGTTCTGGTTTGCGCTGCTGCCAAGATGTCTATCTGCTAGCAGCACGAACCGGGGAGCAGGACGCAAACTGCCATATACTATTGGACAGCTTGTCTTACCGTCTCACTGGATTTCCATCTCGAGAGTCACGATAGTTTTTAATTGGATTGACAGTTGGACTATCAGCCATACTAGCGGTTGGCCTCTCAGTTACCCCCTCCATAGAGCTCTCGGTCTTTTGCGGTTACATGCGAGGTTGGTTGGGATTCGGTTGACTATTGCTGCAGTAGGTTTCTTGGTTTCCTACCCCATGTCTCACCAAAGCTTCCCTGCGGATGAGCTATGTATCATCCAAGGGCCCTTGTAGACAGAGCTATCCAAGCTCATTGGCCAACTTGGACGGTTTGGAATGCTACGCACCCATATACTCGTCATGCAACTCCATATCCTGCCTCTGCATATCGGCCACGAGAGCAAGATCTATCTTTTCCAATCCCGATCTCCCCCCTTTTTGGTCTCCTTCTCCCTGCTGTGACCCCAACCCAACAAAACTTTACGATGGGCACGGAGATCCAAGTCCAAGTCAACATAAGTGGCATGTCTATGACATGGTGGGCTAACACCTGGGTGTCTTGTCACACGCAGTGACTCTCTACGCATCTTGCACAAGGTGATCGCCCGTAAAAGGGCCCTACTATTACTTGCATGAAGCACGGGGCCTTATCGTGCATGCGCATCCAAGACACGGAATGTCAGGGGCCACATCAGGTTCTTCTCGATCCGAGCAGAATCCGTAGGTGAATCAAAAGGTACCAAGGCGGCCGAAACAAGCGAAGCCCGCGAGGAGGTCGTCTCTTTTTCTTGGACACGGGCAGAGGACCTTTGTAGGTGAATGTTTCTCGTCATTTGGTGTGCTCGCTGCTAACATGGCATGCTTCCTTGTACCTATTAGTCTTCGAAACAGTTTTGTCAAATGTTGCACCGGTGCATGCACGAAGATGAGTAGCATGGCACTTTCGTGCAAGGCTCATTAAAAAAAGAGTACTCGAAATGCAACATAGAACATAATTTCATGCCATCGTCACACCTTTGCACCCGAATCAGAAGTTGTTGAGCGCCATCATGCACTTCTTGCCCCCCTCTCCCTAACTTTGACATAGGTACTTTAGTAGACATACAAAAGCGAGAAACGCCTGGGTATCTGCTCCCCCCTGCTTCGCAACTCAGAGAACTCATGCTTGGCCTTGTTGACAAACTCGTCATGCGGCACCAGAAGCTGACGGAACCGCTGCCGACGCTGCCCCTGCCGACACCGAGGCGGCCTTGGACCTCCTCCTCGACGGCAGGTACACATCGTTGAAGTTCATGGCGACGCCCAGGAAGCGCATGTCGACGTCGGGCTGGTACGCCAGGTCGCCTAGCAGAATCTGCAGCCTGTTGCGGAACGAGGCGCCGAGGTGCCGCAGGCGTTCCTGCAGGGCGGGGAACTCGGACGGCACGCTGTCGGAGGCTGCGAGGCCGCCGTCGTCGTCGCGGCGCGTCATGTGTCGCAGCTCGGCCTCCTGTCGCCGAGTGTACTCCGAGCTGGTCCAGCCGTACAGGCCGAGGACGGTGTCGCGGTAGTTGAGCATGGAGCGCAAAATCTCGCTGAGCTGGTCCAGATACGTCGTCTGCTCCCTGTTGTCGGAGGGGTGGTGGCGGAGCTTGGGCCCCAGCAGGCCCTTGTGCGTAATGTCTTCGAGGTAGCGCCTGTGCGCCTCGATCACGTCGTCGAGCGTGCAGTCCTCCTTGCGGATGCGCTTCTGCAGCTCCCCCCACGAGGACTCAATGACCTCGAACAGGATGTAGTACTGCAGCTGGCCCACGAAGTGAATCATCTCGGCGAGCACACCTCGCGTTGACTTCCACGTCTGCACCACCGCCTGATTGGGGCTCTGTAGCACTCGCCGGGATCCCGTCATGCATTCCCGCCACGTCGACAGGAGCACGAACTCGACCCGCTTGATCCGCCAGAGGAAGTTGAACACCTTGAGGTACTGGCGGTTGCCCCATTCAGTCACGACCACGTCCACGGGGGCATCGATCTTGTACTCCAGCGTGAAGCAGTCCCAGCCAATGTCGCCGTGAGACAGCGTGAGCATGCGGGCGTCCAGCCGCCGCAGCACCTCGGGAGAGTCGTACTGGGCGTTTGAGCCACGGATGGCATGCTCCAGCTGAGCGGTAAGAGTGTGTCGATACTGGGCGCCGGAAGGGCGATCCAGATTCGCAGCAAGGGACTCCATGAGCAGGGCGATGAAATCGCCCTTTCCCAGCAGGATGTAGTCCTTCAGGGCCTGGAGGTGGTGGAACAGACGGAACTTTGTCTCCATCAGGTCCATCAAGCGCTTCATTGTTGTCTTGTACGCCTCATCGATCCATACCTCGACCGTTGCCGTGTCACCGTACCTGAGCTCCTTGGAGGCAGCCTTGGAGTATTCCTCGACCCACATCGAATCGCCGCAGTTGTGTCGGATGAAGTTGAGCGATTTGCCAATGAGAAATATCTTCTGAGCAAACTCCTGCGAGATGATGCTCGGAATCATGTCCTGGGCCATCTCGTATTGGTCCTCCCAAACATTGCCCTTGACTCTCACAGCATCTTGGGTAATGTTCTTTACCCGGACGAAGAACTCGAGGGACGGGTCTGACAGCTCTCCGTCGTAAATCCAGTGACGAAGAATACCGTACCATGGCCGAGTGAAGCTGCCCAGCAGCCGCTCTGCAAACGCGGCAACCACGGGGTCTCCGTTAGAGGAAGCAAAGCTGTGTATTAGGGTAATAAGTTGGCCGCCCTTTTTCTCCTCAGACTCTTCGGCGATCAGCGTGAGGAGTCTCAGCCCCATTGTAGCCTCTCGTGTCCATACTACGCATCTTTTCAGTGTGACGCCCGTCTTCCCAATCCCTCCTCTGGGTGCGGTTTCGTCCAGGGAAGACAGTGCCTTTCGAATCTGGCCTTCGAGGGTCGCGACTAATGTTAGATATGATCGTAGCTCGTTGCTAATCGCCGAGCGCAGGCTCTGAGCCAAGAGGCCATTGGCGGGGGTTTGGCAGAAGTTATGGAGGCGTCGGTAGAGCAACGAGGGCTCAGCCAGAGTGTGCAGGATGGAAACGAGCGGCAGAGGGAGCGTAGCCGGAAGCTTCAGGACATCGTCTTTCACAAAGGGTAGGGTCGTGGATGATACGCCTTGTAGTGTGAATGGCAGATCACGTAGAATGGCCGTCTCCGAAGGCTCGATCTCGGCGTAATTGTTGGACAGCAGGCTAGACCTGACGGATACATCTCTTCTCACCGGCTCGCTCTGGGGCTGCCTCTCGTCGGCGCTGCGTTTCGGTTCTCTGGATGGTTGGTGTGCCGGCTTGTGTGGTAGCTCTTCGAGGGGCGGAGCGTCTCTCATTGGCTCATCCTCCAGCCTTGCGAAGGGAATAGACTTGGAGCGAGCCCTAGCGCGCTTCTTGACTGCATCTCGCGCAACAGCCTCGCGATAGTTTGAGGAAGAGGGCTGGATTATGCTGAGGGGAGGAGGCGGGGCTCTGGGATCTGGAGAGTCGGCCAGGGCGTAGAGGAGATAGAGGATTGCCCATTTCGACTTGAGCACTGGCAGCGCAAGTAGCCGAGAGTAGAGATCTGAGAATCTGAGGGCGTGGGAGGGATTGCTCTGGATGAGCTTCCGTTTGATGGAGTCGGCGGCTCGATCAACGTCCGATAAGATGTCGGGATCAGGAGGACTGTGACAGATTGGCCGTTGAGCAAGCCGAGCAATATCAGTTCTGCAGAGACGGGCCTACTTGTTTATGATGGTCCTGACGAGCTCATGGCTCAGGTTATACCGCGCCAGCCAAGAGTCCTGGCCTTCGTTTGGGCCTCGAGGGGGGACGATTTGGGTTATCAGATTGTCGAGGGCATTAGCGACGCGATCTGGTGCCATGGCTGCATTGTCGAGGCCAGTGACGACTTGAAACGAAGGTGAGAAATGCAGCAGAAGAAAGGGGAGAAGCAGTGAGTCGAAGGGATATAGCGACAGGTGAGGTAAAGTCGGGTTGGAGGAGAGAAGTGAGTTCAAGTTTGAGGCTTGTAGGTAGGTAAGTACTACTAGGTAGGTAGGTATTCAATTGTCTTCCAACGCGCTGTCTGTACAGCAGAGACGCGCTGAAGTCTATTAAAGTGGGATGTAGCTTCTGGCCGGTCTCGCCAGCACCAAGGTAGCCGCAACCTTCACTAAGCACGACATCCCCCCCGGCAAGGGGGTACTGGTCACCTCAGCCGCCCGCGGTTGCGCTGCAGAGTACAAGCCTCCGAATCCGTCACTCCTGCGGCAAAATTTCCGACTTCACTCCAACCAGCTCGACTCCTTCGCACCGCCCGCAAGCCAAAACACACTTCGTCCGCCATCAGCTTCTCGGCCTCACCATGCATTTTTCATCAAGATAGCCGCACTGCCGCGATCGCATGGTGTCTCTGATCCCGCTCGTCACCCCATGAGCCTGCCCTCGCGCTGCGCGCCGCTCAACCGCCGCACGCGACAACTCCCGTCGTCTCTCCGCGATCCACGATGCCCGACATCGACCCCGCGGCCCTGAGCCGCCCGGCCGTCAGCGTCTCGACGCCTGTCTTATCGACAAAGTCGCTGACGCTCACGGCGCCGGGCTCTCAGAAGGCTGTCAAGACGAGCCAGATCATACCGTCTCGAATTGACCTTGAACCGCTCTATACCGCCCTGAAAGCCGCCATTAGCCCCGAGCAATGGATCATATACAAAGAGTCCACTACGGAATTCTTGACTGGTATGACTTTTCATATGGCCTTGGCTGTGGCATTGCCTGTGCTCCTATCCATCAGTACCGCTGCTGTATGCTCATCATGTGATATAACAGGCCGCCTCAACCAGGCCGAATACTCTAGTCGAATCGACCCGATCCTGTCGTCACCAACGGGCGAGAAGGACCACTTGCATAACCAGCTCATTGCTGCCATCTATGGCAATGTCACCCGGGAGATGCCCGACCCAGGCCTTGCGCCATGGGTCAGTGCTAACGACAAACCCACGGCGACGACAGGCAGCAAACCTGTGTCGGGTGACGCAGCAGAGCGCAGGGTCAAGGGAGAAGTGATGCAACTACCCGCCCGGGATCGACGGCGCATCAAGGAGCTCACACAAAACGAGGTTCGTTCTAATCAACCAGTCACTCCTGGCAGCTGTTCCAATCCTAACCAGCCTCTTAAAACAGTATGATCCTCACGAGAGCTTGGCGAACATGTTTAGCGAGTCGCATCGGAAACCATCGGTAGCGACAGACGTACCGCCAAGCGCGGCTGGCGGCATCAATAACATGAGTACGTGGTCGACTCCCTCTTTCTCTTGTTTCCGTCTCTTCTAACTTGACCTCCAGACTTTGACTTGGAGATTCGGAAACGATATACACAACCTCTCGCCGTAGAATCTGGCGAGTTTCCGGATACTGGACAGATAGCGGGACGAATGCTCCCTTTCTGCTACGAGGCTGGGCTTGTCAATGGCCACGCATCGGATGCACCCCAGCTCATGTCTGTTGCTACCGAGACGTTCATCAAGGAAGTCTTGACGCAAATCTTCAGCCGCACCAGAAGCAACGGACCTGGTGATTCTGGCAGCGCAGGCTACGGCGTGGGAACCACATGGATCCAGACGCACAAGTACAGCAAACAGCTTCATCGCGAAGAAGATGCGGCTCAGAGAGGCGAGATCACCCGAGACAAAGCAGGGTTGTTGCCCGTCGAGTCCAAGGCTGCCAGCGAGAGAGGTCCCCTGGGCATTGCAGATGTTCGAATTGCCTTGGAGATGGCGGACTGCGGAATCTCACAGTTCCCCATTATCTCAGCCCAGATCTTGTACGGATACCGAGAGGGCGAGCTCGAGAACTGGACAGACTACACTTGGGTCAATGGTGACCCCCCCGAACCGAGAGTCGAGGAGGTCTTAACAAACGGCGAGGCAGAGTTGGCCAACGGCGCAAACCCAGACGCAATGGATATCGATAACGAGATGTGGTGGGAAGGGGCAGAAACCACCGACATGGATATGCTGGATAGCGTCTTGGACTCTTGCTTGGCCGTCGGATCATGAAAGCAGGAAGAAGAAAGAAGACGAAAGAAGCAGCGGCTTTGCCGCAATTTGCCGCCGTTCTGAGCACAAGTCCTCGGCGGTCATTATTCCGAGAACCGGAGCCACCTCCCAAACACGATAGAGCGAAAGTGTGGCTTCAAGGTATGCGGTTTTGGATAGATTAAGTGGCTGACAGGGCACCCGTTACGATGGGAGGCCAAGCGATCGACAGGACACCCACACATGAATAGAGTGGATGGATCGCAGTTGGGAAGCAGGGCGCAGCCTTGTCAGTGCTATAAGTACTGGCAGATGAGATGATCTGCCACGAGGCTTTGGCTAACACTAGCAAGCCTGGATATACTCCTTTTCCTTTTGGGCTTTTCTTCTTTTGTTCCGTTACTTTTCCTTGCTGATTTGTCTTATGTTTCTTTCTCTTTGGTCTGTAACATCTATTCACACTGGTGGGGGACTCGACGGCGTTGCCGGGCTGCAACTATATTCACCACATCGTTTCTTATTTTCAAAGGCTAATGAGGGAGGGGATACATGGTTTTGATTTCTTCATTTTTACGCATTGTGTTCTCAATATGGAACGATACCCTAGTTGAAAGGGGGGGCAAAGGGCAAACTGGACCGAAAACCTGTCCAGAATGTTTGTACATAGCCACGGGAGAGATTTTGATGTGCCGCAGAGGGAGCAGGCCGCTCAGTCTCACGTGGGCGATAGTATTTGGTAGGACAGCCGCGTTTCCGCTGGGCTGCCGGAGTCAGCGTCTCACCCACGACGCTGTTAATTGACAAGTGCCGAATTGGAGGCGGCGTTAATGCAGGAAATAGAAACTCGCATGAGAGGAGCTCTATATATAGCCACTTTGCCCATCTATGGAAGCTGAAGAGGCATGTGTGTGCGAGACTCTGACTCAAGCTGCAGCATTGTACCTACGTTGGTACGTGTATGGTAGGTAAGGTAGGTAAGCTACTCGTAAGTACGTCCTTGTAGAATGCTGACATTCGAGCTGGTGTACGGGAATCTTGATGCGTGGAAGAGGCAAAGGCATAGTCGTTTGCGTTAATCAGCTGCCAGCCCGTTTGCCATCGCGTGAATCCTCCAGGAGCCTGAAAAGGGGGGGAACGAATCTGTACTTCGTACTCTCTCCTGATTCCGTCTGTTTTGGTATCGATGAAACTAGAAGAAACGCAATGGACGTAATCAAGTACGGAAGGCAATAACCCTACTTTGCCACCAAAGGAGGCACGACGTCAGTTGGAGGCCCGGCAGATGGCGGTACTTGGGAAGTCCGAGAGTCTGAAGCAGCTACGGCAGTGTTTACAGATTCGAGGAAAAGGAGACGATTCACACCAAGACAGGTACCAAACAAAGCAGAAAATGCAACGTTGAGTCTTCCAAAACGTGTTGTAGAAACACGGATATTGGTCAGAGTCATGGCATGATTGTTCGTTTGATTGTCTCTGGTCGATAAGCTGTCTCCTGTCTGAAAGGTCATCTCCGAAAGGGGACGAGGACAAAGAAGGTGTGAGTGGGTGGTTCTGCGACGCCTCACAAAGCCGCAAGCGGTAGGAAGAACCAAAGAAGTCCTTTTTTTTTTTCTCTCTTTTTTCTTCTACGCTTCTTTTGTGACAAGATCTATTGACGTTAATTACGGGTATCGACTACTAGTAGTAGCTGTTATTTCAACCTGCTGCATCTTCTGGGGGGGAACGAGTAATAATTGCCCGGGCAGCTTAATCTGGCCACCCCTGGCCCGATTCTATACACACCTTAATCTCTTGCGCGGCGCCATACGGAGCACCCCGTGGCCATCAATGCGGGAATCGCCTGTGTTTGGGCTCGCTGCTCACATGTGCTCAGAATGACTGCAGCTCTTTTTTGTATCCCGGTTGGTTTCTCTGGTCGACACGTGGTCGATGTAGGTACGTAAAGCAGCGCAACTGGCACCCAGAGTGGACGGTGATGCACGCTGCAATCAATCCCTCGGGGCAGAAGGACCAAGTGCTTACCGTGCGCCATCAGCTGTGCTTGTAAGACGTGCGCTGATGAGGCACTTGTCACGGGTCGCATTGGAAAGGAACAGAATCCCTCTCTTTGTTACTGTTCCTCTTGGATCTTTCAGCTGTCAAAGAAAAGGGACCAGACGAAAGAAACAACGAGATCCCCCCCAAGAAAATGTGGCTTGCCGGGTTGGGCATCTAGAGGCGTGGAAGGCCCAGGGTCGTGGCCACTTAGAGCAGGGCGCGTGTGAGGTCCGAAATGAGGACAATTCAAAGAGCACCACTGCCACGAGATGAAAAGCCCATGCAAGTACGGGGTGTCCTTTTGGGTCGAGCTGGGTACTACTACTAGTCATGCTTTCTTTTTGCGGTGACGGGACAGGGTCTGTATGAGGGTAAGACATTTTTTTCTTTTCTTTTTTTTCTTTTTCTTTCTTCATTGTTTCTTGAATCTTTGTCCACATGACGAGGCGGGGAGAAGAGTTCACCTCCAGCCATCTATTACTTGCTCTTTATGGGCGTTGCGGTATAGAGAATGGGGGTCATTTCGTTTCACGCGGCCGTCACATGTTAGAGGCAACAATTGCAACTGGAGTCTGGTGCCGGAGAGCCTACCTCCCTAAGTATGTAAGGTACCTCCTGTAAAGCGGCCTGCACCTCATTCGCTACAGCGGTAGGCGTCCGCTAGAAAAGGCGCCGAGCCTGAGCTGAGGCGCGCCAGGCTGCGAGAGCGCCCTGTTTTCGGGCCCTGCAGAAGAATCCATGGAAGCAGAGGCCACAGAAGGGCTGGCGGAACGGCGCTGGAATGATTTTGGTGGGCACAGCAGGCAGCCTGTCCTGTAGGGGATCCAGCGCCAGCGCCAGGGAAGGTCCAGGGAAGGTCCAGCGAAAGGGCAAGAGGGAGGGGTGGGGAGGCGACTTTGGGCAGGCGAGGGCCCGTGCGACGCTTCTAGAAAGCTTCCGCAGGCCCCTTGCCGCTTGTTCTTTCATTCTTTTGGGCTTCTCTGCGCTCCTTCCCATGCCTTTCAAACCCCCACCTCTTGCTGCATTCACTCTAATACACTCTGCCTAACTGAATGGATGGCGCCTTGGATCAGCCAAAGAACATCGGCTGCTAATAAGCCATTGCATTTTAAACTTTTCGCTTGCGGAATTTTCCATGGTTTTTTTGTGCTGTGAAGAGACAGGAAAAAGAGAGAGAGAAACCATTGCACCGCTGCGTCGTGCTGCCATCGGCTAATCCTTGCCATTACGTAGAAGGCTACGGTAGCTTTGGGTGCTGGCTGACGGCTGCCTTGTAACTCTGCGCTGTTGGCGTCTGGGTGGCCACTGCTCTTTTTGCCCTCCAGCTCAGCCAGCTCTTGCTTTTTCGTTGCTGCTGCTCTTGCCCCATTTCCGCGCTGAGCAACTGCTACCACCTTGGTGCTTCCTGCCAAAAGCTGTAGAACCCAAAGCTCTGCTCTCCTCTCCTCTCCTCCAACCGTCGCTCCCCAAACTTCTCCCTCCCATCATCATCCCTCAGAAGCCCACACAATCCAGACAACATCGCCACCGTCACCGCGAGCATCATTGATCATTGATCCGGGCATTGGCCCACCAAGAACCTTCACCTTCTGGCTCGTCATCTTTTTCTCTCTTCCCTTTTTTTCCCCTTCCCCACGCCCGTCCTCCCGCTTCGCCCTTCTAGGCTCGGCCCCTCTTTGTCGTGCCTCTTCGTTTGCCCGTGTGTTCGTTCGGTCGATCCAAACGGGCGCCTTTCTGGGTCCTGTCCTGTCCTGTCGCACGACCCCTCCTCCGTCCCCTCGTCTTCCTCCGACCCTTTTCGCGCTATCGCCTCTCTGCTCTTTCATCTCCCTCATCTAATCTCGTCGACGTCTACCCGCAGCGTCCCGCATCCAGCTGCTGCACCGCTAAACTGCCGGTAGGTACCAGCTTTTCCTCTTGTCTCATTGCTCTCTGTGTGCATCATTTCCCTTTTCTTTAACGCCAGACTGGGGGGGTTTGTCCTCGGCTGGACAGGTAGCGCGCTGGTGACGTTTTTGGCCGCCACCTCTGCCTCTCCCCCCTACTCGTGCTCCTTGGGCCTGTTGCAGGGACAAAGGCGCTGCGTTTGTGCCTCGTTTGCCGCCGTTTCTGCAGCCCCCAGCCTGGCCGGTTTGCCCTCCGTCGCCCTTTGCCTTCTCATTTTCGCTCTGGTCATGCCCGTCCCAGCCCATTGCCATGCCGCCCGATCGGGTGCCAGGCAGCCCTTGCCCTTGTCCTGCCCTCCCCTCTAGTCGTTCGCATCTCGGCCTCCCCGGTACGACGCCGTCAAGGCCAGGCCTGGGGGGTGTGCCAAAATGCCCACGACTGACAGCCCTTGTCGATTGGCCCCTCTGTTTGAATTTCCCGTCAGTCTTGTCTGCGATGGCGGGCCACCCGGTTCTCCCCAACCCCGGCAGCCTGGTAGCGTGCTGCTAATTCTCATCGCGCAGCTTCGCGCATACAAAACGGCTCTGCTTCCCAGACCCGCTCCCGCGCAAGCTGTAGGTCCAACTCACTCCGGTCTTTACCTTTCGTCTACGCTCCTTCTCTGAGTTGCTTCTTGTTCGAGTTTTACGTCATTTACCTGTTTTGATACCAGCCATCACCAAGCACTCAAGACCACCTAAAAGCACTCAAAGCGTTCAAGCACACCTTCACTGGTCATGTCTCTGCCAGAAGCTTACCAACATGAGATTCAAGCTCTCAATCGGCAGGTTCTGCAGACCTGTCCGTCCGATATCCTCCAGTTCTGCGCCGACTTCTTCAACTCGCGACTAGCATCCGAACGAGCGGCGAGCCTCTCCATCTTTCGCGACCGAGGTACCCCCTCGCCAGGATTCTCCCCATCGCCGCGATTCTGCCCTTCGCCCACCAGCCACTTTGCCATGATGTCTAGTCAATTCTCGAGCCCGTTTGGGGCCAATAGCAACCCGTTTGGCGGGAGCACCTCGCCCATGGCCTCCAGCGTGATGCACAGCGTCGTGGAGGAGGAAGAAAACGACAACGACAACGGCCACGACCACGGCCACGACCGCGACCACTTGGCCCCCGGAAACCCCTTTTTCTCAGGAGCCTTTGGCGGCGACGCATCAACCGAGGCTCCACCCACCATGAGAGGCCCCCCTACCAACGACAGCTATCCGGCACAGTACAACTTTGGACGTCGGACGTCCGTTTCAGCAGAGTCTCTGAAGCCGAGCGCTGACAGCTATGACAACTGGACTCCTCCCTTTACCGAAAAGACGCCTGAGCAGATTGAGCGACTCAAGCACGCCATTGAGGGAAATTTCCTCTTCAACCACTTGGACGATGAGCAGAGCGCACAGATTCTGGGCGCCCTCGTCGAGAAGCCGATTCCCGCCAGGGGCATCAAGGTAAGAGCACTCACCGTCCCCGATCAAACAGAAAAGACGCATCTTCATCAAAATACCCGCAAATGTTCCCGGTCGCTAACAGCGAAACAACAGGTCATTAGCCAAGGAGACGCTGGCGACTACTTCTACGTGGTTGAGCGAGGCTCGTTCGACGTCTATGTCAACCCTTGTGGCTTCATCGAGCCCGGGCCGGACGGACTGGGCAACAAAGTCGGCAACATCCAGGCTGGCGGCTCCTTTGGCGAGCTTGCTCTCATGTACAACGCGCCTCGTGCGGCAACCATCATCTCTGCCGAAGGAAGCTGCACGCTGTGGGCTTTGGACCGAGTGACGTTCCGTCGCATCCTGATGGAGTCGACATTTGCCCGAAGACGCATGTACGAGAGCTTCTTGGAGGAGGTGCCCATCCTCTCTTCGCTCACCCCCTACGAACGATCCAAGATTGCCGATGCCCTCGAGACGCAAAAGTTCGCGCCCGGTGACACCATCATCCATGAGGGCGATCCCGGCCACTCCTTCTACCTTCTCGAGAGTGGCGAAGCAGCTGCCTACAAGGGAACCGAAAAGGTGCTGTCGTACAACAAGGGCGATTTCTTTGGCGAACTGGCACTGCTCAATGACGCTCCGCGAGCCGCTAGTGTCGTGGCTGTGACGGACGTCAAGGTGGCTACGCTGGGCAAGAATGCCTTCCAACGGCTCCTCGGCCCCGTCGAGGGTCTCCTGCGAAGGACAAGATACCAAGGAGTCAAGACGGGTGTCGAGGAGATGGACCCCCTGCAGCAGGAGTAAGCTGCCAAACGGACAAGCGCATCATTTTTACATGTACCTTTGTATCGTTTGCATCGAGGTGTATAATGTCTGTACGGGTATAAGTTTAGGGGGGTCGTGACGACACTGGCAGTTTTACAGAGGCAGGATTTTCTGGACATGAAAAGGCTACCGACCATTAGATGGGCTCTACAGATCGGTTTTACGGAGGTGACGGGAGCGGGCTGGGGTATTGGCAAAGGGTTGCATTTTACATTGGCCGATTGCGACATCGTGCAAACGTCTGCTCGCTCTATCGGAGGCCCTATGTAACGGGCACGGCTACCGGCGTTTTCGGGATACTCTATGTGTTTTCTCTCTTGTTTTTCCTTTACTCCTACATCTCACCGTCGCTCTTCACTCCCTTTGAGACATGCTATTTGAGCAGATACCTTGTTTGATACCGTTATCAATGCGACTAATATCTCTTGAGGGATGATTGGGGTGATCGCTCGTTTTGATACCGCCGTAATTGCCCTCTGCACCTACTTTCTTTAATCATAGCAGAAAAGGAATGTATTCTACTTGACATGGATCATTCGGCAGTGAAATGTGAATTGTTCGTCAACTTCATAGCTAGCCCGAATTTCACGTCGGCGGTGCCCGACTCATGTACCTGTGTGTGGTATCTGGGGTCCCGGCCTTGGTTGACGCTGCCTCGTACCGCTAGGTACCTAGTATATGTAGGAACAAGAGATGAGGAAATATCAATGGCGAATCTATGTACATGTAAAGAGGAAGCCTGCACGAGATATGATGATAAAGTCTAAGAAAGAAGTGATAGTGGAGGAACCGACAGTCGGGTATCCTAGTCGTCATGACTGAGAAGGCTCGGCGGCGGCAGCCCTGGTCCTCAACTCGTGCCGGATCTGTTCCCTGAGCTCCTGGACGGCGATTTCCGTCTCGAGGACCCTCCCGACGCCCTCGCGCCAGTTGTGCTCCAGCGTCTGCATCTCGGCCTTGACGTCGGTCTGGCGGGCGGCGCGGGCGGCATTGACGAGGTCGATGTCGCGCTTGGCGGCGGCGAGGTCGCGCTCGAGGGAGCGGAGCTCGGCCTCGAGGTGGTAGTTTGAGAGGAGCCAGGCGTTGCGGCCGTGGGCGTCGAGCAGGGCGAGGTTCTGGGCGCGGGAGGAGAGGTAGGAGGAGGAGACGAAGGCGTTTTGCAGGGCCCGTCGCGTGGCCTGGGCGGTGGCCTCTGAGGGTGGTGAGGACGAGTCGGAAGAAGGGGGCGGGGGGAGCTCTTGGGCTTCGTAGCGGGAGAGGTCGAGAGGGGGTTGGGGGGGCTGGGAGGATTGGATGCGGGATAGTTGGGCGGATATCGCGGGCGAGAAGGATGGTTCTTTGAGGGGTGGGAGGGCAGCGGAGGAAGAAGAGGAAGAGGAAGAGGAAGAGGTTGATTGTTCGGAGGCGATGAGGGCGCGGGCGGCGGAGAGGGCTTCCGGGGAGGGTTCGGGGTCGATGTCTGTTTTGGTGATTTGGAGTCAGTGTCTGGCGCTTTGGGATTTTTGCTATGGCTGTGTTGTGGCGTGTTCCTTGCGGAAGATGTTGGATGGGGGATGAGGTGGACGTACATGGGAGAGATTCGTGGTAGGCTGGTGCGACGGCCATTTTTTTTGCGCGTGGATCTTATAAGGTGTCGATTTCTCTTTCGGTTTGTATGATGATTGTAGATGCCCCAGACGACGTGTCGACCAAGGGGCTACTGGATGGATGGGATTCTGGCTGGTTGGGTCTCGGAGCAGTCTCGTCGGAGAAATCGCAAGGCTGAAGTTTGGTTTCGCGGTTTCGCGGTTCCCTTTGCTTTTTCTTATGGTGGTTGTGTTTTCGCGAATGTTTTTTACCGTGGCGAGACAGAGAGGCGGCGCAAAGAATAGAAAAATGCTTCAGTGGAGATTTGATATAAAAGAGAATCAGTCTTTCATGTGGTGGATTTCGATTCGGTGCTTTGCGTGCACGAGGAGCGTGTTGTTTCAGTCGTTCGATCAAGCTTCCATCTTTTGAGAAAGTAAAGAAAAAGCAGCAGCAAAAGCGCAGCCAACCAGCACGTGTTTTCCACCAAGAAACGCAGCCGCAAGGCTGAACCGCGCAACTAGCTTATCTAATCAGCTACGGTGCTGCATTCTAGAGGAGACACAGGAAAGCGGTTTAGCGCTGTTTTCCTGGGCCTGTCGGTGCACGGACCAGGCGTACCAAAAGTGGGGGCGAAGGGGGGGCCAGCTGGTGCGAGTTCCGGGGGTTGCGGAGACGAGAGGAAGAGCTGGAAGAGGCATGGAAAGTGATTTGGGGGGGTGAGTGATGAGGAGGCGGAGGGACGAGGTGCAATTGATGTTGGAGTCTCTCAACTGTGCTTGTAAAGAAGAGGCATCTCGCATGTGCAGCTGACTCGGAAACAACTCGTAGAATGTGAGGAAATGAAAGCAATTGGAGGTCACGAAACATCCTACAGTACAGCATCAGCATCCCGGATGTCATCGCACAACAATGTGCCCCCCTTACCCCGGCAGACGTCAGAAGTCACTCTCGCAGCCATTGTTATCTACCAACGCATTTACGAGGCACATACTGTATATACATACCTACATATTACTTGGAGCACACTGTACATCGTAGTATCAGCATCAAAGCTGCCGATACATTCCCCCATTCGCCCATGGATCTGCAGCCCTTTCGTGGGCTATTGAAACCTCGCATTTACCCAGAGCGGGGTACGCTGTCGTTATCGGCGACTACCGACACGGTGAGCTCTGGCACTGTTGACACACGGTCGAGGCTCGTTCAAAGTAAGACCTTGCTTGCTTGCGTGTCCCGCCCTAGGAGGCCGAGCAAGCATCGATAAATGACTCGCAGGATCATCACATATGAAACTGTTGAGGCCAAGGAGCTCGAGGAGATGGCACTTCATCGACACACTGTATCCGTGTAAGCAGAGCAACAATCATGACACGAGAAAGCGCAAGTCCAGGTGAAATGTTACACGGCTTTGATTGGATCTATCTGAGAGACCGAGCCTTCATATGATGGAAAGAGAAAACAAATAACATATTGTACAGTAATACATATCCTTCGCCGGCAAAGCAACGTCACGGCGGGCATGTATCATAACTTTGGCCACAGATGGAGTGCCATCATGTCCAGTCTTTGGATGTCAAATCCCACTTTCCATCCTCCCCGAAAAAAATGGAAAAGAAAAATAAGAGGTTTCGAGACTATAAAGTAATACGCATCATTCATGCATAGTGGGATGCATCAAGACAGGTCCAGGATAGAGCAGGACTGATGGCACGTCTCTGGGCGCGAGACAGCTTGTCTCGTCTAGACGGAGTGAACACTCTCGGCGGAGTCCGTCTTGGAGAGGTCGTTACCGTTCTCCTCATCAACGGGTCCGTGGACGGACTCTTCGAAGAGAGGATCAGGCTCGTTCACCTCAAACTTGGTCTTGAAGTCGGAAAGGTTGTGGTGGGAAAAGCTGTTGGAGCGGCGACGGGCATTGGTGAAGCGGAAATCTTCATCCACGACTTCCTCGCCGGCACTTCCCCTGTTAGAATGTGTCAGTAGATGTAGTATAACGCAGACGTGGTGGGAGTCGGAAGAGAGACATACCAGTTGCCCTTGCCAGAGCCGTCCTTCTTGATCTTCTTGGGATCGCTGTCAACAAAGCCGTTCTTGGCAAAGAAGCGCGGCAAGTTTTCTGTTGGAGAGACGCTGCCGTCGGCAATGCCCTTGTGGTCACGGTCGTTGTACTTGTGAGAGCGAGTCACTGATGACAATGGTGTTAGTTCATGCAGTCCATCAAGGTGATCATCGGCGTCAATGGGAATGGGAATGGGCTGCGTGCTGACTCTTTGGGTTGGGTTCTGATGGAAAGAGGTCCTGATGGTTGACCTCTGGTGTTGCTGATGTATGTATGTGTGCGTAGTGTAGACGTCTATGGCAGGGTTGGGTGTGAGGGAGGCGAAGGGGATGATGGGACGCAGAGACAGTGCCAATGCCAATGCAACACGCAAGAGAGCAAAGGGTGATACAGGTGCGGGGGTGCGTAGCTGCAGCTGGACAAACTTACTTTTGACGGATGGATGGCGAGAGGCGAGAAAACGAGGGCTAGGCGCAGAAGGGGTAAGACGGAGGTCGAGCGGGGGAAGACGAATTGGCCGGAGAGAGACGGTCTGTTGTGTCGAGGAGGCAGAGTTGGAGTAAGGGTGAGGAGGCGTTGCCGGAACGGGTGGCTGTTGTTGGATTTGTTGGTGCTGCTGATTGTAGCTGGGTTGTTTTTGTAGTAGTAGTATGTATGGGCGAAGGTGGAGAGAGAGTAGTGGTATGTATGTAGAAGACGGTGGAAGAGGAGAGTTGAGGCTATGGGTGAGTTGCGTTGAGGAGTCGAGAAGTCGTGTGTGATGTGCGTGAGCGTTTGTCGAGTCTGTTGTTTGTGCGAGAGATGGCAGTGATTCAGAGACGAAGGATGATTGATGGCTTATAAAGACGAGACGAGAGCCGCGCAAGACATGCTGGGCACCTTTGGGCTTTTGTAGCAGTTGTATCACCAGGCGTCACGCGAGAAGCTTCTCGGGGGGGTGGCGCCAAGAGACGCAGGAAGCAGAAGCAGGACTGGCCAATCACTTTGCAAGGATGGAGGGGGCAGGAAGGCAGGAAGGCAGTGAGGGCAGGAGGGGAGTGGGAGGCCGGCAAGCGGTGCAGGTGAGGGCTGGAGTGACCTGGGCGGCATCGCTGCATTGACTCGAGATTGGAGACGCAATTGTGGTTCCGTCTGCTGTTCTGTTTGGCTCTCGTCTGATCTTCTCTGAGGGGGCGTGCAATGGAACAATCTGAGTCACAGTACGCAGTACGTAACCACTCGTACTCGTACCTACCTACCTTACCCACAAGGTACGAAGAATGGAGGGGGAAATGGGAGGAAGGAGGAAACGGCGAGGAAAACGGGCAGTTTGCAAACAGCGGGAAGCAGCGTCTGAGCTGTGTGAGCTTGACCTTGGGGGGGCATCAATTGACTGACGGACAGCTCCGGTACAGTCCCCAGTACCTGCGAATGACGTGCAATGACGCCCAGAGACCAGGTATTGCGTAGTATCGACTCCGTGCGTGCTTTCCTGCCCACCGCGTGCGTGCTTGCCCAACATCGACGGGTGGTGGCTCAATAGCATCATCCATCGCGTGACCTGACGCAACATGTCATCGTACTCGTACTGTGTACTGTGCGTATGGGCTGCGGTACCGCTAAGCTTTCCAGGCACCATTGGAGTGAATGGAGCTCCTCCTATTTTTGGTGGGATATTGCCATTCCCCATCCATTTGCGGCTCCATTGCCCATTTTCTCTCCTTTTCTCTCCGTTTCCTTTGCCAACTGCTCAGTTCCCTTTTCCGTCGTTTTCCTGCCTTTTCCAATTCATTCCAATGGCTCCCAATCAATTGACTTTCTCTGCCTGGCCCGGCTGATGCGCTACCGTGATTCGTACTGTACGTACATGCTCCGCCCGCTTGCGGCACTTGCTCTTGCCCTGTTCTGGACCCCTAGCTTGGCCCCGTTTACCCCAGACTTTAGTGACGCTCTGGAGTGGATTGCTGTGTGTTGCTCGGTAGTACTGTACCTGGGTACGGTCTGGCCGGTGAGACACCCGCAGCACGGCGGGGTACGGTGTACTTGGATTTCGTAATTGCATGCAGACGCCATTATTGACGCTCCGGTCTCTGATAGTGGCAAAATGCTCCGGAATACGGAGTGAGTGCGGGACAGCCAGTAACTCGTAATACCATCAGCTCGACTCCTCACCATTCCAGTGGAGCATTCTATGTACTACCTACTGTATCGCAGACAGAGTCATCGCGGCATCGGCAGCCGGCCTCCGGCATATGCTCTTCTCATCTCGGCGGTGTTTGTTCATCGTCTGCCACTATCTCGACATTCCGCACGGGACGCCGGACTCGCCGTGGCAAAAATTAGAAGAAAGTGACTGCCCCCTCCGAGCTGCCAGTGCTTCCGGGTCCGGATGGCGACATTTGGCGATTGAAATGCAAGACATGACCAGAGAACAGCTGGAGCCCGCTAGTACATACTTGTATGTAATCGAGACTCCACTGGGTCCCCTGGCTGCTTGGGAGTCATTCTTGGACATGACCATGATGTTGAGCGAGGACACGTTTCTTTGAATGTCAGAGCCATTTCTTTGCGGTTCTGTTTATCGTCACTCTGCCAGTTGCCGATGTCGCTGCAGGGAGGCTGTGGAGAGGTGGCAAGCTGCACGTTTGAAGCCACTTGAAGCTGTGTTGCTGTGGTTGAAACGACGATTCTAGTACATACCTCTACGAGTACTCGTACTGTCTGTTGTTCCATACGGGGCATCATGGGCGCTGTCCCTCGCATGATCCCTTCGGCAGATGCTGATGCAGGGCAATGGGGGATCCATTGCCATGGCCAAGACTGTCATGAGTTGACGCGAGGCATCGGCCCGCAGAAGCGCCCCAAGTCTCTACGCAGTTCCATTAGATCTCAAGTCCTTGCAGAGACGTGAGACATATGCTCCGAGTCTTGGCAGAAAGTAGAAGCCGTCTCGGATAACGAACCGAGCCGCATCTACGAGCCAAGATGGTTATACACAGCCCAGCGTCAGACAGGACGCACCTTGTAGCTCGCCAGTTTCTTGAGGATGCTCTTAATGACCTCCGTCAGCAAAAGCCGGCTTCTCTCCCTCTTGATTCCCTCCACCAGAGCAGTCAGGTATGAGCGCACGCAGGAAATGACGTCTTTGAGCTGGGGCACGAGGTTCAGCGTCTGATGCTTTGTTATATGCCCAAGCTTGCACTCTGTCATACACAGCTTCTCTCTCTGTTGAGACCCAGTCTTTGTGTGTTCAAGAGCACCGTCATGGAGGCTCGATAATACCACGCCTAGCATATCAAGACTCAGGCAGGTGCTGAGCACAATGGCATTCATGGTAGTTCAACGAGTCCCGTTTTCATGGAATTTGGCAGAAACGTGTAGTAAATGGCATGTTGAGGTTGCCATTGGATGCTACGCTATATGGATTTGAGGTGGGACAGGCGCGATATAGAGAAGTGTTCTTTTGCGGGAATCAATTGACGACTAGAGACATTCATGGCATATAGATAGCACATCGAGAAACAAACGGGCGAACGGTCATTGACAGGAAGCAATTCTGGATACAATCTTCCGCAGGTAGGTGTGTAGATGAGCGAAAGCAAGAAATCGGGATCCCAGTCATTCATTGTCCTCGATTTCCAGCCGAGGCACCTACACAGACTGCCACAAGGTCAAGCAAGACCTCCTCTGCTCATACACAAATTGATCAAGCAGAGGCGTAAAAAGAACAAACAGACCCCAGTGCTGCAACAGACCAGACAGTTCACAAAAAGCCAAAAAAGAAACGACACCTGCAGGATTCGAACCTGCGCGTGCGAACACAATGCCTATGATAACCTGAAGGATAGCAGGGCATCGCCTTAACCACTCGGCCAAAGTGTCTTCTGATTGGTCTGTGCATGTCTCATGTATATCTCATACCATAAGCCAGTAGCAAATCAACAGCGATCCGATATGCTTGTGTGGAGAAGCATGGCTCAGTGGGTGGCATATGTATACATTTAGCAGGTTGAGCTGATAAGAAATGATAAAGACACTTTGGCCGAGTGGTTAAGGCGATGCCCTGCTATCCTTTACTGGTTATCATAGGCATTGTGTTCGCACGCGCAGGTTCGAATCCTGCAGGTGTCGTTTTTTTTTTTTGCTTCATCTCACACGTTGATTTTTCCGAGAGGTTGGCTGGTGAGGGACTCTAGAGTCCCCTTTTTTGGTTGCGCTGGTTCATTCTATTTGTACTATACATCGTCAATCTCATGGCGGTGTCTAAGCCAATGGAGAGGCCCTGAGACATATAGTGGATTAGGCATGACTGGATGCTTCCAGCCAAACGTATTATGAGATAGAACAAACGACCTTGATGCGCATACTTTGTCTTTGCCATGGAGATACCAAGTTACTGAGCTGCTTCGAATAAGAACAGCTGGTTCAGAAGCCTTTTATCCAGTGAGATTCAATGCCAACCAGTATTCTATTTTCATGAGTATTGCGTCTCGTCCACTCCTAGCCCTCCATCCCCCAAGCCTCCTCTGCAGTAATAAACACATAATAGTAAAAAAGTTATCTCGTTCCCAGGGACTGTTATCGAGTTCCTCCTGAGCCAATTGAATGCCCGACTTTCTACACAATGATACAAAGTAATCAACACACGAGTCATTAAATCTGTAACCCTAAATCTCGCTTTTCCATGTCTGCCTCCAGGGCCCGTCCGGGTCGTCCGCATGTGCTTCTTAGCGAGCCCCCATCTTGGAAAACTCGTTCTGGAAGCGCAGTTTGAAACCGTTGCACAGAGCGCGCATGTCGGGGTACTGGTATCCTCTCAGCTCGAACCCCTGAGGAATGGTTCGCACCGGCAGGCCGATGACGCGCGCCGTCTTGCTCGCCTTGAAGCACAGCCAAAAGTATCCCGGATGCTTGGTGTCGATGCAAAAGGCGTAAGCCGATCGGTTGGGGTTGGCGTCCACGTATGTGATGAGCCATTTCTCTGCATGACAGTTAGCAACAATGCAACGTGTGAACAATAAGAGGCTGCAGGGAATCTTACCAGTCTCGCTGCGCGACCTGTTCTGGTACTTGTCGTGCCTCATCATCTCCTCGACCTTTCTGGCCATGGCCTTAACATGGTCCACGATCAACTCGTCGAGATCGCTGTACGTGTACTTGCCGCCGATTCGAAGAAGTTTGCCGACGGAAAACTCAGTCTCCTTCTGCATTTCCAGCACGTCAATATGTTGGTAGACGCCATCGGCAACCTTCCAGGTAATAGCCAGGTGATCGTTGCCTTTGGACGACGGCCGAATAATGACTTCGCCAGGTGGTTGTGAGCCCAGGTACTCTTCCGCCTGGATGGAGTTAAAGGGCTTGAAGTTGGGATGCTTCACCACGCGCTGCGTCCGGCCCGTGGTCTTGTCCTTCTCGCGCAGCTCCTCCTTGTCGGCAGCCTCGAGGGCATAGTCCCAGCCGTCGCGGCCAAAGTTGATGGGCGCCTTGTAGGGGATGCGCAGAGACTCCTCCCGTATCGAGAGCTTGGCCATAAAGTCCTTGTAGTTCATCTCAAGGATCTTGGCTTGCACCGTTTGTCCTGTGCTGAGGACGTCCTTGACGGAAGCCCGGTTCGACACCTCGTGACCCTCTATCCTGCCCTCGATGCCGCAATCCAGCTTCACAATGGCAAAGTCATCTCTGACCATGCGCACATTGACTGGGACAATCATGCCTTCGCAGAGTGTTGACTTGGTTTCGCCCGTGAACATGGTGAAGATGTCGGACGGCGTAAGGAGCGCAAAACTCCTTCGCAGCTCCTCGTAGGGCGCTTGCAATTCGGCACTGATGGCCTCGAGAGTAGCTCGCTTGCGTTGGCTAAAGTTCCTCTGCAGCTGGTCGGCATACTCATCGAGCACCAGTTCGTTGACCCTTTCCTGCTCGTCTTGCTTAAAGAGCTTTCGCACAATGGCGCCGGGTCCGTTCTCGTCAGTCTCCGCCTTGACATCCTCTTCGTCCAGCTCGAGCGCATCTGCCGCCATCTTGCGGCCCAGCTCGTAGTCTTCCGGATGAACACGGGTGTTGTCGAGGGGGTCTGATGAGGGATTCGTCGCATCGTATTCGATGTACAGGAAACTGGCACAGTTGTTCCAGACGCGAGGCCCAACAACGGGCAGCTTGCCGCTATCCGGGTCGCCCACCAGCTCGTCTCTCGTATTGACGACGCCTCCGTTGGCGTTGATGGTCTTGATGACACTGGTGGCCTTTCGCGGGCCCAGGCCTGCGACATAGGGGAGAAGGTTGGCTGTGTACGGGTCCGTCATGGCTTCGTTGATGTTCACTCCGACCATGTTGACGGTATCAACCATGGCCGACTCTAGGTACTTCATCAGCTTGTCCCGGGGCAGCAGGTTCTGGCATGGATGAAATGAGAGAGACGCCACGTCCTTGCCCAGTGCGGCGTACTCCTTCATCGGGTTCTGCAGATATCGCGCCAGGGCAATGCAGTATCTTGTGACGGAGTTGAGGGAGGGGTGCTCGGCGATGGCGCGAGGGCTGTCCTTGTATAGGCGTGCGACTTCGTCCTCGACGACGACGACCTCGAGCAGCTCGGTTCGGTAGTCGTTTGTCTCGGGGTCCTCGAACTCTGCTCCCATCAGGCCCTTTTCGCTCACCAGGCCCTCCAGGTCGCGGACAAGCTTGTGCGTATCCGCTGACCAGCCACTAACACCAATGACATCGGGCCGTCGCCGTCGTACAAGTTCGACAAAGTTCTCGCGCTGAGTCTCGTCTCGGCCGAGGTTGCCAAACTTGCCTTGTTCAAGCACACGGCCTTCTTCTTCCACCCAAGCCCAGCACACAGGGTCGCGTGTAGGATCACCACCTCCATTGGACAGGACCAAGACCCGCGGTGTGGTTCCCAGGATCATGCCCTTGGGCTTGTAAGGAGCCTGGTCAAGCTTGCGGTAAAACTCTTGCCGGCACATCTTGAGAACTTCATCTTGGCAAAAGGTTCGGATGACTTCCTTGATGTTCTTGGCCACAATCTTCTCCAGCTTGGGATAGGCGAGGTCCAGCACCTTCCTGCGCTCCTCTCGCCACTGCTCTGCTCGATCGCTAAAGTTCTCTGATTCGAATTCCTGGTATAGTTGTCTGCGGAAATCGTACCGCGAAGGCATCTCGACCTTGATCTCCACGAGGCCTTCCTCCTCGGCGCGCATCATCTTCAGGAATACTTCGGGCTGGTGGACCAAATCCGCAATGGCTTGGTTCTGGATATATTTGATTTCGTAGTACGGGTGTGTGTCATCAATCTTCCGAAGTCCCTTTTCCGTCCGGCGACAGCTGATCTCAGCCGCCTGGTAGAAGGATGCTCTGAGGTACTTGCGCATCCGAGGGCTGGCAAAGAGCTCCTCGGCATACATCTGACGAGCAGCATTAATGACTTGATCGCCGGTGCTGAAGCTCTCATCGGTTAGGCTGTCAGCAAGATCCATCGGGTACTGCTCGTGATCATCCGGCGCCACCTTTCGGCCCTGGCGAAGAGCGTTCTTCGCCAGTTGATCAGCAGTGATGCCGTATGCCTTGACAAAGTAATACGCCTTGCCATTGCGAACACGATCGAGCAGTGAAGACTTTGAGCCCGGGCGTTTCGTTTGTGATGTATTGCCGGAGAGAGAAGCGAGATCTCGCAGCTTGTTGGCGTACTGGAACTGCAGGTAATCTTGCAGATCTTGAATCTCTTCCATAGTCGTGGCCTCGGGGATCATCTCCTCGACCATTTCGTCCTTGACATCCATGGACTTGAGGTTGTCGTACGACTTCTCAAGCGCATTCCGCTTCTCCACAAAGGAGCGGAACTTGATGTCAAGCTCGAGAATCCTCCACAAGTCATCCTGGTTCAGCAGCTTGTCTGACTGGATCGTATAATCGGGACCGTCGGGGTCGTCTCTTGTGGACTTTCGGATCTTTTTGGAGTGGAGGAGGTAGTCCTTGCGGTGCTGGAACACAAATGGCACCTCGACTTCGTCCACGATGAAGAACTCGAGGACCTTACCAACTGCCTTGCCGAAAGGAGCCTGAAGTTCCTGGGCCAAGCCCTTTTTCGGCCACAGCTGGTTGGTAATCCATCGAGCTTCTTCTTTGAACTGATCAGGAGTGAGCTGCAGGTTCTTGAAAGGTTTGCGGTCGAGTTGGAAGCGTTCGGGCTCGTCCGTGAATCGAATCTCGTTGTCCTCGTCTGTGAGCAGCTTCTCCTTAAGTTGTGAAGGCTCAAAGACGTCCTTGAGCTCGATGCCTTGCTCCTCTCTCTCCCTGTCCTCTTCCTCTTCCTCCATCTGAAGCGCCCAGTCGTAGTCTTCGCCGTTGCCGAATATGGCCTCCATGTCATCCAGGGCATCCTTGTCAAGGCCAGTAGTATCAACAACGCCTCCGACACCGCGATCCCTAGGGCGGGCGACTTCGGCATCTTCCTGCTGGCGTATGCGCTCGTCCTCGTCCTCGGGGTAATCCTCCTCGATGAAATCATCGAACTCGTCAACTTGGGAACGGAAGCCGGGTCGACCATAGCTGCGTTGCTCGGCGGCATCGTCTTCCTCATCTGCAAAGATCTCTTCCAACCCTCGCTTCTCGTGTGCGGCATCGTCCTCGTCTCGGTGGCCACGTTTGAGGCGTTTGAACTTTGACTATGTATGCAGTGTCAGGACAAGTATTCAATCCATCTCATACGGAAAGTTGAGGGGCTAACAGGCGCCTGAGGCTTTGGCTGCTCTCCAAATTGCTCGCCAATGAGCTCCAGATCTTCTTCGTCGAGTAGTTCTTCTTCTTCTCGGTTCCGATGCTCTCGCTTTCGCTTTACGGGTCGACTCTCGACGTCAGACTCGGCCTCTTCTTCCTCTTCGTCTTCGTCAACGATGAAGCCCTCGCGGATCTAAGATGGTTGCGCGCGTTAGTGGGAGCCCATGTTAGCAGCGAAACGGCGCTCTTGATGTTACCTTGCGAGCTTCTTCCTCGTCATCGTCGTCCTCTTCCTCTTCGCTAGAGTCATCGATATGGGCGGAAGGCTTCCTCCGGCGCTCCTCGCCGGTCTCTTCGTCAAAGGACTCGTCATCTTCCTCGTCATCCAGCTCCGCCTCTCCCGAGATCAAATCACGCATCGCGGAGCTCATCTTGTCGGTGCTGGGCGCTATCGCGTTGAATGGATGTCACAAGGTCGGTCGAGAGGCTCGCGTCCAAATTGCGCGCGAAAGACGCTCCTGAGGCGGTGGCTGGGCTGATTAACGATGGAAACGAGGAGATGGCCTTGATTCCCGCAAAGAATGCCGGAGAGTTTGATGAGACCAGCTGGGCTTCTCTCTCCTGAGAGGTGCACAATCAATTTTTGAGTTGGTCTCGCCGACAGCCTTCAGCCTCGTGTCGCGTGTGGCAGGGGGATGCGGATTTATGTTTATCCGAACGAGTTGACTGGCTTATATAATCTTACAAGCCACATCTCCAATATCAATCGGAGGTATTGTTTGGAGTTGTTCAAGTGCCTTATGTTTCAGTTCGAGTTCTTTCAAATACTACCTATTTCTCTGCCTTGTGTTGTCAGAAGTGAATGAGATGCACGAATTCAGATATCATGATTAGTAGACGTTATGAAGCGAAGATACGCTGTAAACAGGCTACATCACGTGTCGGCTCCCAGCTCGGCAGACTCATTCCCCAATCAGTACCCAGTTATACTAAGGTACTCAATATTCGTGGGATCAACGTCAATTTTACAGTGACAGTACCTGACCTAGTTGCTTAGGTAGTCCTTTCAGGTTGTGAAGTACAATACTGCAAAGTTTGTACGCAGCGCAGCCAACCTGTCAATGTCATCATATGGCCAGATACTCGTATAAGGGTGCTCCCCGCTCTCGGGCATCCGGGAAACGGCAAGTATCAACTGCTGCAGCTCGCCCTGGATCCTGGCCTCAGCTTTGGAAGCACACAGCCAGTGTGGAGTCGCAGTATTCATACCAACTGAAAGTCCCTGAGCATGAACATGTTGGCATTTAGACGCTGGGCCCCGCAGATTGGCGGCAAGCCGGAGACTTAAATTAGAAGACGGATCGGAGACCCCACCATCGACAGCAGCTCCTACAATTGTATGATAACTGAGAACGCGAGGGAGACGAGAGGCTGAGGATCGGCTTGACGAGCTGGCTCGATTGTTGCCAAAGCGAATAATGTGTAGCTCATGGCAATGGCGGGAATGCCATAAGATGCCACGAGTGCCATACTTACTACCAATTGGTTGGTAGGTGGTAAAGGCGTATCTCGAGCCTCCAAGATACCCTGAAACGGACTGACGGTGCTAATTGATCGTGTAGGTATGTAAATGCCCCTAAGGACTCGTAATTAATGAATCCCGCTTGCCTACTTTTAGGTGGCCTTTGTTTCGCTGATACTGATCCAAAGCCCGGAGGTCCACAAAGAACCAAGGTTGCACCCAAGCTTCTTCAACTGGTTGCGATAAAGAGTCTCTCCGTACCACGTCCATTTTGGGGCAGACCATAACAGGGAGGAGACTCTGAAACGATTTGCGGTAACACGATGTCAAGAAGACTGATGGGGCGATATCAAAACGGGCAACCCGTTTGGGGGATGAGACAGCAGAGATGCCCTTGAGCTGACATCTTCAACTCCCGAAGCCATCTAGAAGGGCACTCTGGATGGAGATGTTTAGGAGATGGGCAGGCACCGGTCCCGTCACCTGAATCGTCCCGCATACACCATCTCGAGTTTCAGCGCTAGTCTGCGGATGTGCTCATTGGGGAGCTGGGGAGCCTCGAGGGATGCTGGGCGAGAGTCGTTCGGCATGATTGGCGAGGGTTGAGTGAGCTCAGGAGCGTTTGGCATGTTAGCTGGGTTTCATCCCTCTGCGCATCGTATACATGAGAACATGTCCAAACGTGCCGTCTGCTCGCTAAGGACACGCGGGAATGGCCCGGGGCCCCGCCAGACGAGGAACCCTTGGGGCGTGACTCGTGTGTGCAGTGTTTTGGTGTTGAAGATGCGAGTAGGTATTGTTGGTACATGCAACACTGACTGGTTCATAGTAACACAGTACATGGCTTAGTTTACCGTGATCGAGCAATGCGGTGCGTCTGGATGCATCTTTGCAAGAGGCACCAGACAGCGCAAGGGCCAATGCTGTCCACTGATAGGGGGGCCCAGCGCGCTCCGGCGCCTAAAACCAGCGCCCAGCGACCCAGGGGTTGGCTCTGGTGGCTCTTGGGGTCGCCCAAACAGGCATCGTGCATGTCAAGCAGCGACTGTGTGTGTGGCTGCTGGCGACAAAAATAGAAGTTGGCATGGCATGATTGGCGAAAATCTCCATGCGCGGCATTTCATCTCATGTGCTCCTTTTTTTGCTGTCGAGAGAGGCTTTAAAAAGAGCAGAGGCAAACTTGAAGAGACGAAGTGAAGTTCCAACAAATTCCAGCCTTTGATTCTTTGTAGCTTCGCCGTCCTGGTCCGCCAAAGAAACGGCCGGGATCACGTTATCTCTGCAGGACCCCACACACTGGACTGCTGCGCGAGAGGCTTACAGGCTACAAGGCGACAGGCTACAGGTATAATACCGCCTGGACTTGTAACCGCTACTCCAGGCCTGGGCACCGCTTGCTAGCCGCGACCCGTCGCTTGAACCTGGGCCCTTGGTGCACGGAGCAGGGAAAACGGAGTCACTCACTGCCTGTACTGTAGGTACATGTACCTTATGTGCACTTGCTACTGGTGCCGTCGACCTGTAAATATCCCCCACGGCACAGGAGCGAGTTCGAGGGGTGTGTCCTTTCATCTGCGGAGAAGCGAGACAGCGACAACGCCCAGAGTGGATTTCTATTTGATCCTCTGCCTCTTCTTCCTTTTCTTCTTCTTCATCCCTGGCCGCCTGTCCGTCTAGGGAGCGTCGCCACTGCCCGGACCTATTCGAAGCCGACCGCCTGCGACTTGACGAAGAATCTGCCCCAGGCTGCTCTATTCGGAGCGACGACGCAACACTCCCACCTTCGCTTCACACGCAAGGCTCTGGCCATCTGGCACCTCGCCCGACATCTCCTCGACGAACGCAGCCTGCTGGCTACCAACGAGAGAGCTATCTGCCGTACTTTCTGCCTCCATCCCCAGCTTTGAGAGCCAAGTCTTCTCTCAGCCGGCCGAGAACTCGATACCCCTTATCAACCGCCGCCTTTGAAACCGAACCTCGCCGGTTCAGCACTTCTTCACCTCACCCACCATGGCCGACCCATTCGCGCCGCGCACTATGAAGCGCAAGAACGTCAAGGGTCTTGCTCTGACGCCGGCAGCGCCTCGTCCCCCACCAACGGCCGACACGAGCAGGCGCGGCTCAGAGGTTAACAAAGATGATGCTGGCAAGGAGGAGCAGTTGGAGATTGGCATCGAGTACAAGCTCGACTTAAGACCAGAGGAGCTCGAAGTCATAAAAGAACTCGGGTCTGGCAATGGTGGTACTGTTAGCAAAGTCAGGCATCTGACGACGGGGACTGTCATGGCTCGTAAGGTGCGTTACACAAACGCCTGTTGCCCCTGGGAGCCCGCCATCTTACGGGCCTGCTCTGCTCAAGCCTCGGAGCTGACCTCAAATTATGCAGATAATTCACGTCGAAGCCAAGAAAGAGATGCGAAGGCGAATCGTTCGGGAGCTCCAGATTATGCATGGGTGCCACTCCGAACACATTGTCACATTCTATGGCGCCTTTTTGAATCACAACAACGATGTCATCATGTGTATGGAGTATATGGATGTTGGGTGAGTATCGCTTCGTTCTTCGCTGCCACCTCTGCGTGGACTGGGTCATTATGAGGGAAGTGTGGCTGATTGAGATGCTTGCTTGTTAGTGCGCTTGACCGAGTCTCGAGAGTCTTTGGCCCGATTCGAGTGGACGTCTTGGGCAAGATTGCAGAGGCTACCTTGGGCGGCCTGACCTATCTATACATCAAACACCACATTATGCACCGAGATATCAAGCCGTCAAACATCCTCATCAATTCTCGCGGCTCCATCAAGCTGTGCGATTTCGGTGTGTCCGGAGAGCTCGTCAACTCCATCGCCGACACCTTTGTCGGCACATCAACCTACATGGCTCCCGAGCGAATCCAGGGCGAGAAGTACACTGTCAAGTCAGATGTCTGGAGTTTTGGCCTGACCATCATGGAGCTTGCCATTGGCAAGTTCCCCTTCAACGCAAGCGAGCACATTGACGACGCCGAATCAGCCCCGGCTGGCATATTGGATCTGCTGCAGCAGATTGTCAACGAGCCGGCTCCGAAGCTGCCCAAGAGCGATGCGTTCCCTAGCATTCTGGAGGACATGGTTCAGAAGTGCCTCTTCAAGGAGCCTGAGAAGCGACCCACCCCACAGGAGCTCTATGTAAGTTGACATCCGTTTTGTCTTTAACCCCCCCCGTGCATCATCGGAAGCAGCTGTGACTGAGACGTGTTCTTTAGGAACGGGACCCCTTTGTTCAGGCTGCCAAGAGGACACCAGTGGACCTGAAGGAGTGGGCTGTTGGTCTCATGGAGAGGGACAACCGCAAGTCTCATCTTGTGCCCCAGCTCTCACCCAGCGGTACCCACGAGCTGCTCCGATCTAGCGACTCATCGCCACAGTCGCGAAACGAAGAGGCGCCGCTCGACGGCCCGGTTTTCGGCGACATTCCGATTGCTGGAGACCGACTGTTCTCGCCCCGAGACCAAGGGGCTACGCAAAACCGATCACCTTCGCGTAACGGCGCTGCGACGAGCCGGACTGGCCATCCGAGCCTCGCACCTCGAAACCCGGCATCTGGCTACTCTGACGGCTCCCACCACTCTTCCTCCAACCCGACCACTTTCAGTCTCCCGGTCCGACCAGCACCCCCCACGAGCTCCTTTTCGCGAGAAGGACCGCCAAAGTCGGCGGCAGACGAGGCACGAGGTCAGAACCGGAGGCAGGTCAAGACTTATGGGCTGCCTCCGAACCCTTCATACGGCGTATAGGATCCGCCGCCACCTTACGATAAGACCCTCTGACCACACATGTATCTACATACCCTCGTCAGCTTTCTGCTTTTAGCATCAAACCGGCGCAAATGTTCTTAGTTTTTTGTGTGATGGATTTGCGTCCCTTTGGCTCACGCTTACGCATCTGACGATGGATGCCAAACATGAAAGGATGACGTTCTGAAGTGGGCTGTGAAATCTGGGGAGACTGCTATAAATTGCACGTGCGAATGAAAATGTTCCTGGCCGCTTTCAATACGCATGTGAACCGCTCGAGTCCCTTGTGGTTCATGGTTGAAATGTGATGTATGCATATGCGCGAAAAACGCTTCGGGGGCCTTGGAATCCAGCAAAGCAGGCTGAGTTGGATCAACAAAAAGGGGAGACAGGCTTAAGGAGAATGAGATTGAGCATGGTGAAGAACAGCGACAAAGGATTTCTGCAATTGACCAGCAAGAGCTTCTGATTTGATTTCAAATTTGCAATTGGCAGGGGACTATATGAATGTGTATGCCTATCTTCCCACTGATTTATTGATGATGAACCTGATTACATGTAATATGCTCTATGCTGAGACGCGCTCGAGTCTAAATGTTCTGGGTGGCTTCCTAAATCACAGCAGTACCCGCGCTGGCTATATCGTCCGCCCCTGAAATCCGTTTTCCAGGATGTGGACTAGCTCGTCGAGCTGGGTTATCACCAAGTCGGTGTGCTCATGCGCGGCCAGCTCCTTGTTCACATCGTTGAGCAGCAGCACCGTGGCCGCGCCGGCCAGTCTCCCCGCCGTCAAATCATCGATGGAGTCCCCAACCATGATGACGCCGCTCGTGTCCACGGCGCCGGACTCGTCAACGAGGCCCCAGCTCTGCGCGATTTGCAAGATGCCCGCGGGATGCGGCTTAGGCGGGCGAAAGTCTCTAGTGATGACGGGGTAGAACTGTGATTCGGGCAGGAACTTGGAGAGGAGGTGCTGGACTGGTAGGTCGAAGTTGCGGGTGCAAATCGCCTTGGGCACGCGGTAGGCGTCGAGGCAGGCCATGAGGGCGGCGAGGCCCGGCTGGGGCGTCTGGGCGGCCATGGCCTTGCGCTCGATGGCGCGGATGGCCTCGTGGGCGGGGGGCTGCTGGTGGGCGGGCAGCTTGTCGATGTGCTCGAGGATGTCGACGGACTGGGGGATGCCGAGGACGGAGCGCATTTCTTTGAACATGTATGTTTGCGGCAGACTGTAAAGAGTATTAGTAGGGAGACGATAGTATATGATGTAGTTCTGTTCAGTTCTGTCGTTGTGCTCTCAATTCTTCTTTCGATATCAAGATGGAAGGAGGGGGGTTTTGGTATAAGCGAGTGAGTCAGGCTCTGGGGTGACGAGGCTGTCGAGCAGACCTGTCATGTTCGAATTCCACAATGCTGAAGGAAGACCCCTCTTTAGACTGCCAGACAAGTAACATGGAGACTTTTGGTATAAGGCAATGTTTGAGTATGATATCATGATAGAGCAATATCCGGGGAGAAAAGGAGGGAACCGAATGGCCAGAGCGTATTGTTGAGACCACCGCCTCTCAGGTATGAAAAACTTGCAAGGGACCAAAGGCCTGACGAGCCCAAACGATGCGAGGCAACTCATACCATAGTGTTCCGTCCATGTCAAATATAACGCCCCTGAGCGGCGGATCGCCATGGAACGGTGGCACGTCTGCCGATGTTCGCAAAGGGGCGAACCGCCTGGGCCTGGGGAAAGCCATGGCGGACAAGAGCCGTCGTCGGATGTACGAGTAGGCGGCCAGCGTGTCGATATAGCCTGTGGACGCAGTTGGAAGCGAAAGCGGGTGCGTCTTGGATGTAAACGAGATGAATGATCAAGCACACGCAGGCTCCAGACGCCGGGCCGAGTGTGTGACGAGATGGAGGGGAAGAGAGATGAAAAGAGGACGAAGAAGAGCAGGCCAAGGCAAAGGGCGTGAACAGCACAGGCTAGAGGGACAGCACGGGCTTATCGTGGGTTTCCAGCTAAGAGGTTAGATCGATTGATCATAGGTGTACCTATCCAATGGCTCTTGCTTTGGGCTCCATGAATGTGCACGATGCCAAGCATTGGAGCGAAGATCCGCGGCGTCTGGACGTATGCAAGAGGCTTGATTAGGGACCGGCGACAAGGAGCAAGGTTCGATGTCAGCGGCTATTACATGTAGTCGATGAGGTGTGCGATTGAGTGCCACTCCATTGGGATAGGTATTGTTAGGTTGGGTGATGAGGCATTGAGCGTCGGGTGGCTAGTGGTCGGCTGGTGGTGGTGGCGCAGTTGAGCCCAATGGGCCGCTCAGGCCGCTGATGCTCGCTGGAGCTGCTTGCCAGAGCCACTGAACTGAGCTGCTGGCGGCGTTGCGGAACCTGAAGCGCCCACAGACGCCCGGGTAGCCAACTGCCAGCTGGGCTTCCGTCTACTGTAGTAGAAGCTGCTGAGATGGAACGACTGCTCTATCCACAAGGACACAGCGCACTCCGGAGGAGGGCCCATTACTATTGCCAAGTAGTACCACCAAATGTTGGCACTAGCACGAGCATCACATGGGACGGACAGATGTTGGCCCAGCCAGATCGCCAAGGGTAAGGTAGCCCTGAAGGTCGGGTTCCAGCAAGTGCAGGTGTCCAGTCTGATTCCAACCTCGATCTGGCGGAATCTCGCAACCTAAGCGACAGCCTCCATCCATGCCCGCCCCAAGCCCGCCCAGAGTGCATGCGGCCCACCCGCTATTACCCCGCTGGAACTGTCACTGCCGGTACCTGGCCAGCGCTCCAGGCGGACGCGCTCAGGGCCGCTAGCCGGCCACTGCGCCCAACAACTCCCGGCAGTCGGGCCCCTGTCAGAGATGGATGGCCCGCTCACTGGACCTCGAACTTTCCATTAGCAGCTGGAGCCCTGGAGCTGGAGCATTCGAGAGCTGGAGCTGTTTGGGTGCAGGTCCAGTGCTTGCTCGCTCCCCAGCTGTTAGCGCTTCGGCACTCCAACAATTTTCCATCCAATCCACCATCGTGGCATTGAAGCTTCGTGCTCGCCTGCGAGCTTCAGCCGTCCCAGCCTGAGCCCACCGCCAGACCCGATCTCGCAGTACTCCTGCCACCAGCATCGACAGCAATTGCCACGCACGATTGGACCGCTCGCGGCCTCACTCGGACTGACGGCCGCGGGCCTTGATCGAGCCCACGAGAATGCTGTTCTACCACAAACCGCAGCCATGAGCAGCTCAAACGGTAACGGCTCCTCAAACTCGACAGCGGCCGCGCTGCCGCCCTCGCGTCCCTCCAAGAGAAGTGTATGTCACTCGCCTCTTCCCTGTTCTAGATTGCTGCTGTGCATGAGCGCTCTCAGCTAGATTCGATCGCTAATTCGCATTCGCTCTTTAACTTAGAAAATGCGCAATGGCACCTTCGTCATCCCTGCCACGGGCGAGCGGTCACGGCGCCAATTTACTCTCCGCGCGCCCCGAAGCCGATCACATTGCAATGGAGCCGAGCGACGCCCTCCGGCTGCGTCTGGGATCTCGGTCGGACAGCGTATCCGGGCGGCCTCGAGGTTTGCTCGGACAAAGGCCCTGGCGGCGTGGGCGTGGCTCCAGACTGACGATGGTCGACAGGTGCTCAAGTGCACGCTGGCATATCTCTTGGGCACCACGGCCACGTTCTGGCCGCCGCTGTCCAACTTCTTGGGCCGCCGAGATGGCAAGCACATTGCGGCGACTTTGACGGTGTACTTCCACCCGGCTCGCACCGCCGGGTCCATGCTGGAAGCTGTCGTGATTGCAATTGTGGCCGTGTTATACGCTGAGCTGGTCTGCGTGCTGTCAATGGGCATAGCCATGGCCTCTCGCGCAGTCTCGGGATCGGCGACTCCCGCACACGCCCTTGTCCTGGTCGTCTGCATTGGCGGCGGTCTTGGATTAGTCGGTTGGACCAAGCAACGATTAAACCAGCCCCTTGTGAATACCGCGTCTACCTTGGCGTCCATGGCCATTATATCCGTCATAACAAAGGAGGAATCTGTTGCCAACGGCTATTTCTCTGCAGGCAAGATTGTCCAGATGTTCAAGTTGCTCCTGCTTGGCATCTCCTTCACCGTCGCTGTTAACCTTCTGGTGTGGCGCGTGTCGGCCAGAAAGGTGCTGCGCCAGTCTGTTCGCACCGCAGCTGTAGCATTGAGCGACCGCTTGTCCTTCATCACCAGCGGGTTCTTGAATGGCTCGGAGGACGAGGTCAGTTCTCCCGAGTATACTCAGGCATCTGCCCAGTATAACTCGGCGTATGCCCAAATAATGACAACTCTTCGAGAGGCCAAGATCGAGCAGTATGTCCTTGGCAGGGAGAAGATATACTCCTTGGACAAGCGTCTCATCAAGTCGTTGGAAACGCTGTCACAGGCGATCGGGGGTTTGCGTAGTGCGCTTCAGACACAGCTGACGCTTCTCAACGAGGGACCCAGCTCTGGTATGCCGCCGCCGCCGAGCTTCTTATCCCCTGAACCGTCCGGCATGTCTCGAAGTGTTTCGTACTTTTCTGATGATGCGAGAGATCGGCTGTCTGTCATTGAAGAGGACGAATTCGAACGTCGTTCGGCCCTCAACAGCCATTCGGACCCTACCTTGGACAAGTCGCCCATTTTTCGCGTCCCGTCCGACATATTTGCACTGTTTTTGGCCCTCTTGGGTCCTTCCATGAAATCTTTGGCATACACTCTCTCCGAGACGCTGAAAGAGAATCCCTTTGGCAGACACCCGGAGCAGCAAGTGGCTGTCAACGACCACTTGCGCGCGAGCCTCCATGATGCGCTGGATCTGTACAATACTGCTAGGGGCAAGGCTCTTCGCCAGCTATATCGCAGCATCGAGCTCGGAAGATCGCGGTCCGAGGACATCCAAGCCGATATCGAAGAGGTTGCCGCTGCTTGCGGCCACTTTTCCTTTTGCTTGCAGGCTGTAGCAGAGGAGATGGACGCTTACCTCGACGTTCTCGAATCATTGGAGCGCTCGACAGAAAGTCCAGATCGCAGCTGGAAGTGGCTGAGGTTCTGGAGGCACTGGAAGGTATTCCAGCGTCGCAGCGATCTCGATGCCGAGCAACAGCCCCTGCTGGCCTCGAAGCCGAAGCCCATTCGGACAAAGTCGCCTACCCCAGGTGATCTGCCCAAAGCCATGTTACAGAAGAGAGACTCATTCCACTGGGATGCTGCGCCGCATAAGACGAGCATCCTTGTGCGCAGATTCTCCCAAGCTCTACTCGGGTTTCTTCGAATCCTTACCCGTGAGGATGTGCTATTCGGAATCAAGGTCGGCATCGGTGCCGTCCTATGGGCCATGCTTGCCTTTATCCCAGCCACGAGGCCGGTATATCAACACTGGAGAGGTGAATGGGGCCTGCTGTCCTACATGATTGTTGTTGGCATGACCACCGGTGCTTCGAACACAACGGGAAGCGCTCGATTCATTGGCACACTGATTGGGGGCGCCTGTGCTTGCCTCGCATGGCTGTCGAGCATGTCCAACCCCTGGCTTCTCGAACTTTGCACTGCCATTGTGGCGCTGGGAAACTTCTATGTGATCCTGGTGTTGAAGAAGGCCCCTCTGGGGAGAATTTCGCTGCTGGCGTACAATGTCATTGTCTTGTATGCTTACAGCCTGACGCAGAACGTTGATGACGACGATGATGACGAGGGCGGAATTGATCCTCTCATCTTTGAGATTACATACCACCGTGTAGTGTCAGTCACATTAGGTATCTTGTGGGGTATCCTCGTCTGTCGACTGCTGTGGCCCATCTCTGGGAGGAAGAAGTTTAGAGAGGGACTCTCGGTATTGTATCTGCAGCTTGGACTCATTTGGAAGCGCGGACCTTTGGCCCCTTTACTGGAAGAGAACCGTGGTGGCCTGGAATTTCTGAAAGAGGGGGAGCAGACAGCCCTCCGACGATATGGTAAGCTTTACACCTTGTGGGAGTCAGTGTTGTTGCTTGGAGCTAATTCATGGCACCTTGGTTTACAGTTTACAAGTTGGAGTCATTGCGAGAGTCTGCCAAATCCGAGTTTGAGCTTCGCGGGCCGTTCCCCAACGCTGCCTACGGCCGAATCATGCACTCAACCAAGCATATTCTGGACGGCATGTATGCCATGCGGCTCATCACGCAACGCCGGGACACACTCTCCGAGGGCGAGAGTGCCCTATTGGAAATCACGGCTGCGGAAAGGATGCAGCTTTGCCAACGCATCTGCCACGTTTTCCAGGTCCTTGCCTCCTGCGTCATGCTAGAGTATCCTCTCACGGACGCCATCCCTACAATCGACCGCACCAGAGACCGGCTGTTGAACAAGATATATCAGTACCGCAAGGAACACATGGAGATGAACCTCAGGAACGACGAGGATGCCGTGCAGGCCGTGACACAAGAGCGAGACTACGCTCTGCTTTATGCGTATACCCTTGTCACGGCGCAGGTGGCTGCCGAGCTGAAGAAGATCAAGAAGGAGATTGAGGGCTTGTTTGGAGTGCTGCGCCATGATGAACTGCTTTTGGAGTAAAGAAACGAAGAGGAGGGAGGTGTCATTGATCTGGCTTGACATGGAAGGGCGTCTGGGAAACCTTGAGGTCCTGGTTGGAAGCACACGACTTTTCTATTTCAATTCTTGGCGCACTTGAAGGGGGGGATGGCTGGTTGATCATGACTGGATGGATATATATATGACGCATACGCAGCGGGATCCCGTGATGACACGGCTTGTTTTCTTTTCGGAAACTTTTAGATAGAATGGTATTTCTTCAACCAGGCTACACGCTGCTTCATATTCATTGACCATGGTATTTGACCCCCCTGACTCATATATCCTGCGTACGAACTGATGCTACGTCTAAATATCATAAACACATCCCAACAAGCAAGATTTTCCTTTCATTCCCCCCCTTCTACCACACAGCAACCCTCAGACAAAACTAGAAAGAAAAAAAAGGGGGGGGAACCAAATCCAATGCCCTTCTGCATGATAGACTACAACGTACACTCCCTCAGCTTGCCCACCCGCCCAATCTCATACTCAACCCACCTCCCCACGCCCTTGCGCCCCGGCACAAGCACGCTCCCCGGGTTCATCACATGACACCCCTCGTACGTGATGCAGAACGGAGGCGCCGTCGTGTCAACCAGGGCCATGGCGGTAGGCAGCGGGTACAAGTGCAGCGACGAGGCATAGTCCCAGTGCACGGGGCGCGTGGACTGCCGGAAGGGCGAGAGGTAGCCCTGGTCGAGGATCGTCTTGACGAGCTTCTGGGCCGTCTTGATGTCGAGGGGAACGACTGTGGGAGAAGGAGAGGGGGGCTTTGCGGGGGCTGCTGCGGAGTCGTCGAGGTCCATGGCGTCTTCGGGGGCGGATGACGGCGCTGGGTGGTGGTCTCTATGTTGAGAGGAATCATTGTTCTGATCGGCGTCTGTTTCGGCGGCCGGCTTGCGCTTGAGGGTGACTGCTGTGCGTCTTAGTCTGGCGGATATATCGTCTCTGAACAGAACAATGTCATGGTTTGGCCCAAAGAGGGACAATCTGCTTGGATTGCTTGTCCATATCGCCGACCCCTGAACGCCAGTGTTGCCGGCTTCAGCGTTGGCCGTAGCAAAAGCACGGCGTATGCGCGAGGTAAACATTTCGGGGACGGGCTTTCGGGGTAGCGGCACCGAGGCCCCGGCTGTGAAGGAGGAGACCCAGCCGTCATTGTCGCCAGGGACAAAGACAAAGGTCGAGGACTGGAGGAGGGTCGGGAAGTCGGAAAAGGTGGAAGCAAGGGCGTCAAAGTATTCTTTGTACTCAATGCTGCCGCCGCTGCCACCTCGCGCCATGACGGCGTGCTGCGTGAAGTTGCCGGCCAGCACAAACGTGAGTGGCGAGGTTCCTTCAGGCTCGGCGGCGTACAGCGATAGGATCTTGCGGAGGGCTTGGAGAGCCCGAGGCTGGTCGAGGTTGATCTCGCCAATGATTACCACTCGATTTCGAGATGGCATGTCCGGCTCGGGGGCAGGCTGCAGCAGCCTCCTCTCCAGCCTTCGCATTTTCGATCCCACCGCACGCTCACTGCCGACGCCGAGAAAGTCAATCCAGCCAAAGCCTCCGCCAATGGTCTGGTCATGGTCTGCTGAGTCGACCCCGGTGATGCCCAGTGTCGCCTTTCGCTTTTCGCAAGGAGGCTGTCCAATGAAGAAGCCCTGGAACCGGCCACCCAGTGTTCCTCCCACGCCGCTGCTGCCACTCAAGCCTTTGCCAATCGACTCCTCTTCTTCCCCGTATACGCCATCCACAAGGACCATCATGCCCGGACAGAACCATGCGGAATCCTCTGGAATGGCGACGGCTTGTGAAAGATCAAGCGCGATGGTGCCTGTCAGATCGCTTATGGCAAGGTCTCCTGTCGGCAGCAAGTTCAGCTGGCCTAGCAGCATGTGGTTGCTTCCATGTCGTCCAAGCAAGTTGGCTATCGGCGTGATTTTGAGGGATTGTTGGTTGGAGAGTGAGCGGTGGAGAGTGTGTTTGCGGGATGAAGTGACGGAAGAGGTCTGGAAGGATTCGTTTCGGAGGAGGCGTTGGTGAATGACGTGGTATCGGTTTCGAAAGACGGTGGTTTTGTGAGAAGCCGGAGGTAGTAATGAGGGTTTGGCCGTGTCTCTGATATGGTTTGACATGTTAGCTTAGAAGACATCGCACGAAGGGGAGGATATGAGGAGTTGGAGAAGTGCATATAGTACCTTTCAAAGTGCTTCTTATCCACATTGTAAATGAGTCGCGGCTGCTCGTAGGCGTCAATAACCTTTAGCCAAGCCCGGGCATCGTTGGCTTCGTCATCGTCCTCTGCCTCCTCCTGCACCCCCAGTCCAGACATGCCAAAGCTGGCATTGCTGTCTTGTCGGGGGAGCGCCGCCGGCCTGATGCCCAGTCTGGCGTTTAATGTGTCGCTGTCATTGATATCCAGCATGCTGTCTCCCCTTGGGAGCCCTCTGGCCGGGCCTACGATCTTGCCGCCACTCATATTTCCTTCCAGGGTCTTAAGGATATCCTGCAGCTCCTTGCTAGACCCTTCCACTATGACGCCGCCATTGCGGTTCTTCCAGCTCCTCGCCACTTCTTCCAGCACCCTTTCTGCCAAGCCCTCCTCGCGCCATCCTGAGCCGCAATGTCGCCCGATGAAGGAGGCAAGCTCTTGTAGTGCAGACGAGGTGAGGGTGAGAGAGTGCTTCTTTGTGAATGTGCGGAAGGCGAGCGGTCGGAGAGTCGCGGGCGGGAGGATGATGGGTAGAATCGCGGCTTTGGGGGCATTGATGCTGAACGGCTTCGGAGGGTGGACGGGAGTGCCAAATGCTGGGGAGGAGGACGGCGCCACTGACGAGGATGGAATCAGTGGACGCTGCTTGCGGAAGATGGGAGCTGGCGTTTTGTCCATGGTTCGGTGTGGTGGATGATATCAACAGCTTGAGGCCAGCATCGCTCGACCAAAAGAGACAGCAGATGAGGGGGAGAAAAGAACAATTGCTTGACGCGGAATGCCGTAATGAAGTTGTGTCGAAAAATCCCACCTTCACTCAAATTCACATGGCCCGTCTTATCGCGAGGTTTGGAGGGGGAACCGCGTCGACGCGTCTAATTGATTTCTTGTAGATGCATAAATGCACATAACGGGGAGCGTGGGGTAACGTCCAGTCCTGGAGCTTCAATTACGGAAGCTGCAGCTCTGAATGACCTCATTGGACCTTGGACTTGCCGGGATCTTCTTTTCGTCCCGTCATAACAACAACTTCTCAAGTGCATCACAAAGGCTCGGAAAACACAGATATGATATTGACAAAGCTTCGAGTCAGCTCGCAAAAGGTTGGGCTGTTCATTAGAGCAGTATCCACACTGAGGAACAACTCTTTCATTGTGAGTTGCAGTAGTCTCATACGAAATTCCGTCCAAATATCACGGCTAACCAAGCCCATCTCAGAAAGTCTTTAAGGATCCATCAGCGCCTTCATCACATATCCTCACCTATCTAGACTCGGATCCCCCATCAAAATCGCTCGCCATCGGGACTACCACAGCGCTTCCCCCAACCCCTCAGTCCTTCAAACAAAACCCCAAGTTCGTCTCGATCCTCAATGAGGTCGTGTCCGAATACGGCCATCAGGACGAGGACGTAGTCGCACAGGCAAAGGCCTTCGCAAGCCCAGGAGGCTTTAATCTCGGATCTGGAGGCTCATTCTTCCCCGGCCAACGACAACAGCGCCACCAAGGGTCATCTCGGAAGCAAGGGGGCGGAGGCGGAGCTGGCGGAGATGGAGCGGGAGGAGCGAGCGCGCAGGGCGGACCAGGCGGCGGAGGCCGCGGCGGATTCGTTCATCTGAGTGACCGCAGGAATCCGCCGGATTTTGGTCGTATCGCGTGGCCGGAAGACATCTTGGGCAGCGTTGAGGTGGATGGGTCCGGGCAGGTTATCGGCAAACTGCAGCCAAGCGGATCGTACAGGATCGTGACCAACGAAGGGATGTAAGTTCAGCAATCATGGCCGGCTATCTTGTCCTTGGACTAATCACTGCACTGCAGCCTTAACTTGAGCCCCTTCTTAAGAGGGAAGCTGATCGATAGACTCCGTAAGGAGGAGGCCAAAGAGAGAGGTGCTTGATGTGGCCGGAGGTGTCAAAGAAGCTCGAAAAGGGTCATTGTACCCGATATGACTTCCAATAGCTCTGATGGCTCTGGGTCTCCGGTACATCTCAAGCTGGCTCGCCGCTCCTTTAGTGTTCCGGTCCCTACCAGCCCTTATGAGCCACTCGACAAGCGGAATTGAACGTCTCGCAGATGTATACATATCAAACCAGAACACAGTTCCACTCAAGTCAGAAGCGAACATATTAGGCTATGATCTGAGGAGTATGCGAAGCATAACTTGTTATCTCATCTCCAATGTAATAAATCAACCAAATGAATGAAACAAACCCGGGGAAACCTCCCCTTAGTGAGACCTTTCAAACAAACGAATGCTGATGAGGTTGCTTGCGAGTGAATCCTGCACGAAGCAATCGACATGTTCCCGTGTGCCAGAAACGTGTTTCTAAACAACACGGCCATCTATCATATTACGGCATCTGGCGAGATGGCCGAGTTGGTTATGGCGTCAGGTTAAGGCTACCTTAACAGCAATTCCTGGTGGAGCAATCCGCGTGGGTTCGAGTCCCACTCTCGTCAAGAATTTCTTTTTTTGTGATCTTTTGCTCTCTCTATATCTCGTTTGCCTTGATTTTGGTCTGATAAGGCGCGAAGACTGACATCGGGCACATACAACGTGAAAGAGACTGCCCCTCGAATCGTGTGTTGCCATTATTACACCATGTCCTTCCTGCGAAAGTGATTCGCCCGTCAAAAAAACCTAAAGCTTTCCAAGTTGAATTGTACCTATAATAATATAGATACTGAAAAGATAGTGTGACACGAAAATGTGCGAAATCGTACCTGAATATTGAAGCTCCAAGAAGAGTCTAAGTGAAAATTTGCATTGAAGCTGCTAGACAAACATCGCCCTCTTGCCCATTCGTGTATAATTGATTGGTCGAGTGTCAGCTGAACGAGCGCTCAGAATGAAAGTCTCGATCAGAACAAACAACGACGATATCACTGCGCTTTTGTGCAGTCTGGCATCGCCATAAAGAGGGAGCACTTATTGAGCTTCTTGAGGCGAGGTTGATATGGCTATCGAGGGGAAATGGGTGGGCTTCCGTATTGGCTCTAGCTTTATGGTGACTGTTACACGAGCAGTTGACAAGCAAGAACAAGCGTAATTGGTTTAGTGGTAAAATTCTCCGTTGCCATCCGCAACGTCGGGGAGCCCTGGGTTCGATTCCCAGATTACGCATTGAATTTCTCTTTTTGACGGCACTCTATATCTTCTCTTTCAATTTTTTTTTTTTTTTTCTGGATTATGTTCCCATCTCGAATATCAGCTAATTTCCTCCAAGAGCTGTCTTCTATCAAGCGTAGACAATCTAGCAAGCCACCAAGTAGGCAGAACAGGGAATAGCCATACGACACACATCATTGCTTGCTCCAGGCCAAGGAGGATCAATATATCAACTTTGCGGTGCTTTCTAGATCAATAAATCGCTCCCTCCTAGAACGGCTGCACATTTGCGCAAGAAATTGGTAGTGCAAGATCCTTGCTTCGTTGATCGGCATCTTGAATGGAAGCATATATACACATGGGATCGGTGCTGATAAACCCGATTTGCTGTAGGCCTTGACGTCCAGGATCTCCAAGTGGCAGCGCAGGGTCTGGATAATACCTAGGTATGAGAGTCTTTCACTTACCCAGTAAGTTTCATTATTAATTTACATATTGTGACTATGGACATGTCTCACCCTTTTGATATGGCAATTGTCCATTGTCAGCCTGCCATGGCAGTTTAATATTCTAACTTGTAATAACAATGCAAAGAGGTGTGGAATAGGAACCAAGCTGCAGTGCACGAATCACTGCATAGAAATTCACTATAGGGAAGCGCTTGAAAATCAGTAAGCCCTTGAAGTTCTAGATTCTGACAGACGAGGCAAGGCAGTGAAGGTTACTGTCCGTTCATTCAACCGATCGCTCTTTGCGATTATTTTACGATTGCCGGGTAGTTAGGCTTGGTGTGAGATACCAAACACCAGCTGCAAAGAATGGCGGACCCGCTGTTTTATCAACAGCCTCACAACGGGGCTGGGCTATCCCAAGCCACGAATCTGGAGGAACGGACTCAGAACGCTAGTGGCTTATTGAGCTCGGGTTCGCAGAATCACCAATCTCTACCTCTTGAACGTGCAATCTCTACAACAAGTTCATATCATGCTTTGTCCTCAAGGGATCAAAATGCTTCCATGAACATGAATGTACATTTATAAGCTATAATAAAACGATTTTACGTCATCAATCGGTCTCTTAGCTCAGTGGCTAGAGCGAGAGATTGCAGTTTCGCGCAGTCATCTCTAGGTCGCGTGTTCGATTCACGCAGAGACCTCTCTTTTTGCAAATTCGCATTGACAATGCTCTGTGCATGGAGTTTTGTCGTCTTCAAATCGATGGATAGGTAGGTATTCAGTTCTTCTTCCGGATTGCCATCCGTCATTTTCGCTCTCCTGTATTACTGTACTTTCTTACACGCTCTCCCCACTGGACTGACTCGTCCCCGTAAACTCTTTCTTCGACCTACTTTTCTCCAATTCGCTACCGCTTTCCAGCCACGCCGCAATCGCACGTGCTCAGCCAAACACAAGTACAGAATGTACAGGCAAAGGAGCTCAACTCCGAGCTTATTCTAGACACGTTCATTATTACAAATGTCAAGAGATGCCGCCCCGGAGATAAACATGAACAACGCGGAACGTCGCCAAAGTCGTATGACAATTGCCGAGTGGCAATGCAATGATGATGGTGGTGGTGCTGTCGAGAGAGCGGTTGATGTCGTCTGTTCTTTTGGTTGCCCCGAACAATCGGGCGATGAAGACCCAATCAGAGGGCAGCTCTGGCAGGAATGCGATACATCCCATGCAGGTCTCAGGCTAATGCTGGTGAAGGCTGGCAGCGGGACGAGGCTGCTGCTAGATAAGTAGTAGGTAGGTACTGACGATGCACAATGATGGTGCTTTGTATTTATGTACATGGGAATGACATGTGAAGGGGCTGGCTGAGAGACGTGCGTATTGTCTGAGGCGGATGCAGAAGAGATCTTCAGTGGCTTGCTTGTCGACGGATAGCGACATATTGATGTGGCATCCATGTCTCAAAGGGTGTTTCCATTCAATGCAGAGCGGTTCGTTGATCGATATTTCATGCATTGTTTGGGTCAAGTGAGAAAAAGGCCGTCTTCATTTAGGGGGGGGAGGCGGTCATCTCGGATTGCAGCATCGAGTCTGTTCGTCCGTTGGTGCTTTGATGCCATACAAGTAGGTATCACAGCTGCCGCGGCTTGACAGAACCTCGATGCTGGGCTGAAACATTGGCGGCATTCCATGGAGCTCACGGATCTGATATCAGCATATCTGCTGAGCTGAGATGGCGCAACAGCTGAGTGTGCGAGGAGGCAATCCCAGCACCCAATTCGAGTCGGGTCTCATCCTGCTCGAATCAATGGAGAGGAACCCGAACATTGATCAGCTCGGGCGGGACGGAGTACTAGGGACCAGCTGTGAACAGCCAGGCCGCTGAAGGCGCCTGTAACCCGTCGCGCCTTGGCGGCTGCTGCCCTCCGATTGTCCGCTAATTGTCCTGCTGGCGGCGCTGGAATCACTCCACACCGGCCACCCTAGCGCGCACATGTACTGCGATACCGCGACGTCCAGGCGGCTGGCCCTGCTGTAATTTTCCGGACTTGGTACCTGCTAGACTGCTAGTGACGTTACCCCTCCATCTTCGGCCGGCCCAGCCCAACCTTGCCAACCCAGACGGACCCAGAAACTCTCTGCCCGCTGCCCCAAAGCCAAAAGCCAGCATTTCTTCCCCGTCTGGCATTGATTGACCGCGGATCCGAGAGTCTAATCACGAATCGAATTATCCATCATCCTTGCCTTATCTCTCGGCGAGCCATCCTTCGGCGGCTGAATATAAAGTCCTTCTCCCCCTCCCAGCGAGCGCGGTCCCAGCCCAGCCTCGTGCCGCTCGCCATGGTCCCTCGAGGCTTCGACGATGAGGAGCTGACCATCTCCATGTCGTCCACCCACGTCCGGCGTCACCAGCAGCAGCAGCAGCAGCCGCCGCCTCAGACCCAGCCGCAGCAGGGCGACGCTGCTGCGAATGCGCCCACCGCCATGGCGCGAGCCGACCAGCCGCAGGACAAGACCAAGACGGAGCAGCGGATTGGCGCCTACACCGTCGTCCGGACCTTGGGCGAGGGCTCCTTTGGCAAGGTGCGGCTGGCCATCCACAACGGCACCGGCCAGAAGGTCGCCCTCAAGATCATCACCAGGAAGAAGCTCATCAGCCGCGACATGGCCGGCCGCGTCGAGCGCGAGATTGAGTACCTGCAGCTGCTGCGGCACCCGCACATCATCAAGCTGTACGCTGGTTCCTCGCCAATTCCTGTTACGCTAGGGCTTCTGACTCTAACCGTTCGAGCAGCTATACCGTCATCAAGACTCCGTCCGAAATCATCATGGTGCTCGAGTACGCAGGCGGCGAGCTCTTCGACTACATCGTCCAGAACGGCCGCATGAAGGAGGCAGAGGCACGCCGCTTCTTCCAGCAGATGATCTGTGCCGTTGAGTACTGCCACCGCCACAAGATCGTCCACCGCGACCTGAAGCCAGAGAACCTGCTGCTGGACGAGAACCTCAACGTCAAGATTGCCGACTTTGGCCTGAGCAACATCATGACCGACGGCAACTTCCTCAAGACGAGCTGCGGCAGCCCCAACTACGCCGCCCCCGAGGTCATTGGCGGGAAGCTCTACGCCGGCTCCGAGGTCGACGTATGGAGCTGCGGCGTCATCCTCTACGTCCTTCTCGTCGGCAGGCTACCCTTTGACGACGAGCACATCCCCAGCCTCTTCGCCAAGATTGCAAGGGGCACCTACAGCATGCCGCAGTGGATGCCTCCGGGCGCGGCCGCCTTGATCAAGGGCATGCTGGTGGTCAATCCCGTGCAGCGCATGACGATTGACGAGATCAGGGCCGATCCGTGGTTCAACACCGACTTGCCCGCGTACCTGCAGCCTCCCGTCGAGGAGTTTTTCAACACCGGCGTCGATCCCAACAAGGCAATCAAGAAGAGTGATATTGCGCCCAATGCTCCCGAAAAGGTGCAGGAGAAGCTGCATAACGAAGTGACCGAAAAGATTAGCAAGACCATGGGCTATGGCAAAGACGACGTGGAGGAGGCTCTTCAGTCTGATGAGCCTTCCGCTATCAAGGATGCCTACATGATTGTTCGAGAAAACAAGCTCATGCTAGCGAACAGTGAGTCCACACCCTGGCTTTTCCGTTCTTTCCCCTCCCCCCTTTCTTGCCACCCGTTTGTGACCAAGCCAGCCAAATACTAACTGCCTTCGAGACCCAGACGCCGGCCTCACTGGGGACGAAGGCAGTCCTATGATGAGTATATCTTCTACACGATCCGCCATTTCGCCAGGAGGCGCGTCCCCTCGTCCGTACGTCACCAAGATCGGCATTCTACCCAGCAGTCTTCCTGCCTACCACAAGGATTACATGGAGAGGGAAAAGAACGGGACCGGCCATGACCCCGTTACTCCGGCCATCACCATCAACGACGAGCTGCCCGTCACTCGCACTGAGGTTGAAAAAGAGGAGGCGGCGCGTCGTTTGAATCCTCACTCCCGCAGTGCTCTGCGTCTGGACGAGTCCAGCAAACGCCCGCAGGGCATGACACCCATCACCGCCCCAGTCAAGAAGCCCAAGCCTGTGCGCTGGCAATTTGGCATAAGATCTCGCAATGCGCCATGGGAGGCTCTCCTTTGCATCCACAAGGCCCTGAACAAGCTTGGCGCATCCCATCTCCGCGACGAAGGCTACGATGAGGCGCAACGCAGAGGGGTCGAAGATGCCACAAGCCGCGATAGCAGCTTCGCAAACGGCGCCCCATTAGAAAGAGATCCGAACGGGCATGACAAGGATCCCACGAAGAGGTATAAGCTGCCTGCAGATCCGTGGCATATCCAGGTCAGATGGCCATCAACAAGTAAGTCTCGAACTGTCGTTTTGTCACATAGTTCGCCCTTTGAAGGTTTATCATTCTAACGATCGGGTCCAAACAAATAGGCATGCAAGCAGGGGCGGATCGTCGAGATGAGCTCGGTTCCAAAGCCGGATCTCCCGACAGCTTCGTCTACACTCGCGGAGATGCGGCCTCACGCAAGGACTTTGTCGCCTTGCATATGGACATCCAAATCTATGAGATGGAGCAGGGGGTCTATCTCGTGGACTTCAAGTGCTCGGGCTACGAGACCCAGGACGGAAGGCTGCTCGAGGAGAAGGAGGTCACCAGTCCGTTTCCGTTCCTGGACCGGGCCGCCAAACTGATTATGCAGCTGGCCGAGGCCGACTAGGTTCGCCGCGGATTCGCTGCATTTGCTGAGCGGCTTTGGCCCCTTGGGTCGAGGACCAGCAAGTTGCTTTCTGGCTGAAGGCTCTCTCCACTGGTGTCCTCGCGAGGACCAAGGATGTGTGATCTGGTCGAGGAATATCCGAAGGTCTCGCTCTCCCTCATATTCCCGACGGTTTGAGCTTCATGGGTCACTTGAGTTGTACTTTTCTTCGCTCTTGTCTTTTCCCCTCCATTTCTTCACCTCTAATCCCTTGAACTCCGAAATGGGTGGCCCTGCAACAATAGGAAGTCTCTTCCATTCTTGCTTTGCCATTCACCCTCTGCATCTTTCCTTCCTATATTCTCTCGTCCTTTCACACATTGTGCTTTGATAGTATGTTTTCCTTCATGTGTTTCTTGGAGGGGGGTGGGCGTCAAATCTGGGTTTAGAATCTTCGCGTGGTTGCGCAGCGTTTATTGTCAGCGCCGAGCGGGGGGGTTGGATGGGCATGGGAAGTGTAAAACTTTGGGCGGAAGGATACCGGTGAGCCGATGGGCATGAGCTGGGTCTGTTCTTGACGGATTGAATGAGTCAAAAACGTTGCAAAACGTTGAACAACAGACAAAGAGGAGGGACTGCTGCCGTTGCGCAAGCTGGGGGGTTTCTCATCTCCGTTCAGCTCTTTTGTGTTTGCTGAAGCTGCGAGAAGGAAAGATGATGGTCACCATAGGTACATATATTAATGTGTAACATTTTTTTTTCTGTATTTCGTACAATTTGGCTATTGGCATAGCTGCGCCTTTTCATGACTGGGACAACTCAAATAGATGACATTCGACCTTCTTCAGATCACACAGTCTCCAAGTATTACGACACTATATGCAACATGGTTCTCCCCTCATCCTCTGAAACAGGGTATAAAGAATGGCGAAAGGAGGGCGTAAGGGCAGGGTGAGAGGCAACCGAAACTCTTCTCTAATGGAACTGGTCCTCAGTCACGCCTTTACCCATGGCCGCCGTAGAACTGACTCCGCCAGTCACCATCTTCTGCAGCTCATCGACGTAGTTGGCTCCACTCCATTTCTGGTGCTTCACCACGTCGACACCCTGTTCCATCTCGGGCTCCTGGACGAGCTCGCCGTATGCGCGCATGCCGTGGGTGGCGTAGGCGCGAGCAAACTGGTCGCTGATGAGAGCGGTGGTGTGCAGGCCGGCAAGCGTGATGAACTGCCAGCAGTAACCCAAGCTTGCGAGGCGACGGATGTATGTCTCCTGCTCGTCACGGGGCATGGCGGCCTTCCAGTTGAAGGAGGGCGAGAGGTTATACGCGAGCCTGTGTCGACACGAGTTAGTCAATCATCAACAGGCAAAGGGGGGGGGGGGGGGGAGACGGGAGGGCTCACTTCTTCTCCGGCCACACGGCGTGGACACCATCGGCAAACTCCTTTGCCTGAGCATAGTCGGGCAGTTTGCTCTCCATCCAAACGGCGTCGCAGAAGGGGCCATAAGCAATGGCACGGTTGATGGCACAGTCACAGCCGCCCTGCAGGCGGTAGTAGCCCTCTCGGGTCCGAGGAGCATCCCAGTCGAAGAAGACGTCTTTCCCAAGGAGGCTCTTGGCCAGGGCACGAGCCTCAGCGTTGCTCTTCCCCTTGGCGCGAGCGAGGTAGTCACTCTTGATTTTGGCAGCATTGGGAGAAGAGCTGGCCTCAATGGCAGCAACCACGGCATCGTCAAATCGCTTCAGGCCAGCAGAAGCGATCCACTGGTCTTCGATGCGCTGGAGGTCTTCACCAGTCTTGCCGGCCTGCTCAGCAGCAAGCATAAGATCGTTCAGAGGCTGCAGGTTAGGGTTCGTAGAGCCAAGGATGAAGGCGTGGTCACGAGGATCGATTGTAGTGGTGATGAGGGTCGCAGCTTCAGCGTCGGTTCGGGCAATGGCGATCAAGTCAACGCCCATGATATCAGCCTGTGCGCGAATGGCAACCAGACGATTGATGTGCTCGCTGATGGGGACAAGAACCTTGCCAGCCATGTGTCCGCACTTCTTTGTGCCGGGCGCCTGATCTTCAATATGAATACCAGCAGCACCCTTCTCAACAAACAGCTTGGTGAGCTTCATGACAGCAGTCAGGCCGCCATGGCCAGTATCAGCATCGGCAATGATGGGTCGGAGGTAGTCAATGTTGGCCACCTTGGATCGCTGGGACTTGGGCACGCTCAAACGCTCCTGGCGCTGCTTTCGATCATGGAAGAGCTGGGCTGTGAAGAGATGGCCGACTTTGTTGGGCACAGTAGTCTAAGAAGGAGAGAATCAGCGAAAGCGGTCCTTGCGCGCATGCTCAGCGTCCGACGGGACTTACGTAGGGATAATCTGCCAGATCGGGGCCGGGCTCATCAGATGCCGAGGCAGTTGAAGAAGATTGCCAGCCGGAGACATAGACGGTGTCGAGGTACTTGGCCATCTGAGTGACCATTGTAGGCTCCAAGCAGCCATAGGTGTAGCTGGCATCTTTGTTCTACCTTGCTGTCAGTAGGCCATTCTGCAGATTCCGCTACATCGTACGAATGGACATGAGTGACTCACCTCGAAGCGCTTCTCTAGGATATTCCACAGCTTCTTAGCCTGAGCATTGCTGGGATACTCAATCTTCAGATGGCCTCGCTTGGAAACAATCTGCTCGGCGGTGAAGGGGCGCTTCGTGTGCCTCCATCGCGAATCGCGCCACCAGTCCTTAACCTGCTGGACCTCTTTCTGGAAGAGCTCGTCTTCAATCTCCGGGTTTACAGCCGGAGTCACCATGTTGTTGGAAGCCATGATGGAGAGATACAAGTGATTGCTGCCTGTCAAGTCGGGGACAGATCAGGTCAATGGCGTAGAGTAGGCCAGAAAAGAGATCAAGGAGAATGAATGTCTCACGACCCAGGGAGCTTCCGACAAGATAAGATGAGGAGCAGAAGAAGGATTGATAAGAGGAAGAGGAGGAAGAGGACCGAGTTAAAGTTCAAGCCGAGTCACAGGCCACGACCCTCGCCCTCACGCAGAGCACCAACGAGACGGCGTCCAGCCATGGGTGCTCCGAGCCAAGCCACAACCCCAGCTGTCACGTCTCTCCCTTTCCTCCATTTCACCTCGGATCTGGCGAGTCTGACTCCTCCCCAGCTTCTGAAAGAGCGCCGGAAAAGCCCGACACACTCTTTGCGACTCCCCGGCCATCCACTAAGACGAGGGCCAGTGACAATCCAAGCTCGGCACTCATCAAGACAAAGGCCATATGCTCGGAGATCCCACAAGGCCACCCCCCCTGCAGCGGCCCAGAACATCGTGACGTACCCCGAGCTTTCCCAAAGGTGCCAAGGCATAACAAGCAATGGCCACCGAAACGACAGCTGAAAGGAGCGCTGCCCCGGAGTCCAGAATGCGGCGCGGCTCCAGCTCGGCTCAAGGGGAGCTCTGGAGCCAAGGTGATGGGCGTGGGTTCGAGTGGTGGTTGGTAGCCGCCATTGGCCGAGATGCCGAAACGAGCGTCAGCCGTCGGCCCCGCGTTTTGGTCGGCTGGCCTCCATGTGTCCGTACCTCCGCACTAAGACGGATCGATGGGTATTATATAAGGTACGAGTAAGGTATCGTCATGACCGTCAGGCGCTTTGACAGTGAAGTCTCGCGGCGTTGATAGTCAAGCAATGTTGTGAATAGTACCTTGATTTAGGTGGCTACTTGATAATTTCAACTGCTTCAGTCGACCCGAAAATCTCCTTCCCTCCTTCCTCTTGACAACGCGCTCTCCTTCCCAGCTCACCACTCTCAAATCGTACCTTCTTCCCGGCTTTCAGAAGTGGCGACATTTTCCCTCCTTCCTCTCCCCACAACTTTCCTCACGCTCAAATCGGCAATTCGCCAGCCAATCCACTCCTTCCCCACCCAAACGGACGGCCCACCGGAACTCTCGACTCTGGCATGTGAAGTGACGCATCTAATACTATCCCGTAGAATGTCGAGAGCGCAAGCAGTCAGCAATGTGAGACGACTTCTAAGCAAAGCGCCGTGGCATCGTGAATGAATTGTTTTATACAGAGTGCCATATTTTCAAGAGAACTTATAGTATGTATTTGTTCAAGGGAACGACGTTTTATACCGACTCATTACTCTCGAGTTGATCCATCGTGTTGGTAAACCTCAGATGCCCCCTCGTTCGGCCGGATGGTCTCATCACGACAAACACCCTCAATCAAATGGCACGGACTAGAACCAGATCGGTAAATCAATCAGCCGTGATATCCCCGGCACCATCTCTGGCAGCATATCGTGCAATAAACCTCTAAGCATGACTCCCTCTTGAATCCTTCTCGTCGAGTGGACGCAGACCCAACAACTCCCGCCCGTCCATCCCACCTCGCCAACCTATTACCACTACCTTACGGGGAGAGGTAGCCCTGATCACATGGGTTTGCACCTGGATACAACCGAAACAGCTGCATGAACGGCGTTCGCTGCTTCATACAAACAAGCCAGTCTCTATTCAGGAGATACGCGACTACATTAGAATCCATCTACCGGATTGAAACCAACCAACCCAAACAGCACTGTTTTATTGCTTGCTTTCTGTTTTATTTTCTTGATAGCGTTCCAGACGACCCATGAGTTGCATAGATAGCTTTTCATCAGCCTCTCTGATTCCGACATGCCCGTCCCCTTGAGCTAGGTTTTCTTCACTCCGTCTTTCACTGGCAATCTTCAACCCCGCATAGTGTCGCCTCGGGACGGCCACCCGCTTCGACATTCGGCTTTCGCAGTCAATTACAAGGTCAAATTGGCCATGGCCCGTTCATTGTTCAGCTCAATGGCCTTGACAAATGTTTCGTACGGGGTAAGTGTTCCCAGTGCTCGTCGCATGTGCGCGTTCACAATCTGGAGACCATAAACGTAACTGGCATTGACCCATCCAAATCTATCAAAAATCCGCGTTAGCATTCCATCGGCATCACTCTCTCCTGGCGACATGAGACGGTAGGACTCACCCTTCTTTCGCAACGCCCTTGAAATCAAGGCCTTGGTTTCCATATTCGGCATCCACACGATGAGGATCAATGGGCCGCGTAACGTCGTACTTCTCCACCACCACTCCGTTGAAGTCAACAAAGGCCTTGGTGATCATGAAGAGCCACTTGTAGGCGAGGCGTTCGGCTTCCTCGGTGAAGCTGTAACGAAGCAGGCCAGTCCAGGCCAGCATCTGCTGAGGTGCCCAGCCATAGGGGTAATCCCATTGCCGATTGGGCCGATCCAATCCAAGCTCGCCTCGAGACTTTTCTGTTCCAGCTACCAAACCTCCGAACATCTCGAGCTTAGGCAGGCCCTTCTTAACCATATCGGCAGCCTGCTTTGGAGAGGCGAGACCGGCCCAAAGCGCCCAGAAAGTCGTGGCAGACTCATAGGTGCACCTCTGCTTCTTGACCGTATCATAGTCAAAGAACATGCCCTCTTCCTCGTTCCACATCAGCTTGTCCATTGTCAGCTTTCTCCGCTTGGCACGCCGGTCCCAGGCCGCCGAAGACACGGACTCGCCGGGCTGATAGGGTGTGCCCGCGCAGAACTCGGCGGGAATGATCAGTTTGTCGCCAAAGAGGCTTCGGATGGTTCGTCCGATGTCGGTCTCGTACTTGAAGAGTAAAGAGTTGAGGTCGATCGTGGCGAGGTTAGCACAGACACCCTCGAGGCGGTAGGACGTGTCATGGCCAGATTCGCGGACTGCACGGTCGTGCAAAAAGTACTCGTCCAGCTCGGGCTCCTTGATCTCGCCATAGTTGTAGGCTCGAACGAATTCCTTGAACCCCATGTTGTGCTTCTTGATGTAGGGCTCCAGGATGTGGACAAAGTGCGTGGCTTCCGTTTCCGGGGGTACTCCCAGACCGTCCGGCCGATACCTTGAAAGTCCCGTTACCGGATCCAGTCGAGGCTCGCTGGTCCAGACGCTGTGGTATTCCTTGATGGCAGCGAGGATTGCTCGCCTCAGGAACTCCTTGGAATCCGGCTCATGCTTGATCTTCTCATACACTCGAAGCGCCATGTCCGTCAGGAAAGGGGGCTGAGATCGGGCCAGGTAGTAGGACCGAGTGGCGTTGAGGATCTTGCCGTAGTGCTCGATGCAGAAGCAAAAGTTGAGCACCATGGATTTGGCCAGATCAACCCTCTCGTGGATCAGCAAGCCGAGAGACTCCATGTAGCTGTCCCAGCCGTAAAGCTCGTTGAAACGGCCGCCGGGGACAACAAAGGGAAGGCCCTTCAAGGTGGTCGTCTTGTTGCCCTTCCCGTCGTCCTCCTCCACCTTCTCAACGGCCACGGCCAGCAGACCAGGCTTGTCGTTCAGGTCTCGGATCAGTTCCACCGTGATATTCTCGGGAAGTTGCTGGACGTCGAGGCGGAGCTCTGGCCTTTCCGCAGCAACCTTCTGGTAGTATTCGTACTGCTCGGGGGCTCCGAGGGGCACGTAGATTCTCGGGCGAGGGTCGTCTGTCCAGTCCTTGGGATCACGAGCAGCGACCTCAATGCTAGATGCGTCGATTCGCCTCGTCAGGCCATCCCAGAAATGGTCGCGGATCAAGCGGGACAAGCGGTCCACAGGGTTCTCATTCAAGCGGCCCTCATCCAGGATGATCTGCTTCCGGCCGTACTCTTTGGCTAATGTCAACTCCTGCAGAAGGTTCGACAGCATGTACGTGCCTCGGACCTCGAAGCGGTTGTGGCCAGCCGAGGCAGCCGTTCTGAGAGAAATGACCTTGGGGCCATTGTCCTCAATCGTAATCTGCATGTTTCCATCCGTGTCCTCCTGGTTCTTGAGGATTTCCAGGGTGGCATCCACATTGACGAGGAACCGGCGACCCTGATCCATGGTGCTCTCATCTGTGAGGCTGAGGTCAACAACATGGTTCCCTCCCGCCATCTGGCTGTAATTCGAGGGTGATACGACTTACCATGGCTTCCGCGCCGGAACGGCTCCGAGGCTCCCATCCTCTCCAGCTGCTTCACCAAGCTGTTCTATAACATTGTGCGTTAGTACTCTCAAATGCTGAGCATAACTGCCTTGGGTTTTCGCCATTGGCACCCACCTGGGAGTAGGTTCGGGTTCGAACGCCATAGCGGTTGCTGTGCCGTTCCTCGGACGCATAGTACGTCTTTGCATCGTCGTAGACCCCGTAGTCGTCGGAACCGCGAGCGCGGTGGTTCGACGTGCCTTGCATCTGGGATGCGGGGTGTATCAATTTGTCGCTGCGTCGAAGTATCGATTGTATCGGATGCCTCTCGAATGGGCTGTGATGACCAAAGCTGTCGGAGGGGTATCAATTACCAGTTGGCGGCGGCGACGGCGGCGACGGCGGTAGTGGTAGTGGTGGTGGTGGTGGTGATGATGGTGGTGGTGGGTGTCGTGATGGACCAGTAGAAGAAGAGGCCGAGAACAACGCAGCAGCCAGCTCTGGTCCAACAATCTCGGGGAGCGTGATAAATAACGTTGGAGGGCTTCTGGAGGTGACACCGATGGCCGGTCTGTAGGTAATAGGTAATAGCAGGTAGGTCAGCAAATGGGCTGGAGGGAGCAGGAATGCAAAGTACAGGATACGCAGGGCCGGCATCAGGGGGGTCACGAGCGTGGGCGAGCTCCCATTTCAACGGCCAGCTCGTCCGCCATCCGTCACCACCCTGATTCGCCATGACCACCATCCAGCCCGCCTAGCAGGGCATGGCACGGCATGGACTGGCATGGATGGCGACGGCGACGGGATGCATGGACCCTGCGGGGCACGGAATCAGGCCCAGGGAGGCGACGCAGCGACGTACCGGTACGAGGCGGCAGGGCGGCAGCCGGGCGAGGCTGGTAGGTAGCTGTAGGTACAGGCGAGAGACGGCCGTGGGTAATAATGATACAAGAGGGCGTGTCGAGGAGGTGTCAGCTCAACCGACCCATGCACCCTGGTCTGACCCGACCCATGGTCCTGAAATTGGTGGTAAAAAAAAGTTCACCCGACCTATGCTCTCTATAGTGTGATTGGTTAGACTTAGGTTTTTATGGAGCATGGGTAGCCTGAGGTCTTATATTAATGTATTAGAGATGCATTAAAAATGCATTAATAACATATTATTTAAAGTTATTTATTAATAAATAAGGTTAGTGGTTAGGGTTAGTGGTTAGTGGTTAGGGTTAGTAGTTAACTTAGGGTTAATATAGTATATCTTATAATAAAGTAATATATTATATTAATGCATTAGAAATCTATTAGAAATGTATTAGGAATATACTTTATTTCCTTATAAAAGTTCACCTGACCCATGGGTTAGCTTCTTATAGCTATGATTGGCTGTAGCACTCTTTTAGTGGAGCATGGGTCGGGTCAGACCAGGGTGCATGGGTCGGTTGATGTGCCACCTCGTGTCGAGAGACTCGAGGCTGGCGATCGGCGGAGGGGGGCAGAAGGCAGAGAGACAGAAGCGCAGAGGATGCGGTTGCGTTGCATCAACACGTCAAGCCCAGTTATTACGCAGTTGTGGGTTCGAGCTGTTTGGGCTGCTCGACACAATTCGTTCACCGCCCACCCCGCTGTGGCACCTGCTCAGAACCTTGAAAAGTCCACTATCCACTCTGATTACAGCATGTAATACTGGCTGTAAGACTTGATCTACTCATGGCTGTAGCCTTAATACTACTAGGCAGTAGGTACCTAGGAAAGGTGCTAGTAAGTGGAACAGAGAGAACGGGCAGAAAGAAAAGAAAGAAAAAAAAAAATGCAGTCATTTGCACCGAGTGACGATATGACGCACTGCGGCTCTGGCCCGCCAGCAAATGGAAGCCGCCGGATTACTGGGGCCATCTTCGAATGGCTTCCGCTGGAAATTCCCCCCACGTTTCGGTTCCTACGGGGCTTGACGGCTGGCATCTGCTGCTGTCGACCCCTGTCCCCCTTTCGCCGGAGCCCAAGAGGAATCTCAATGCCCCCAAAGGGTCCCCCTCCTTTATTAGCAATTACAGCCCGTCGACGGCGATATTGCGTACAAAGTATTCGGTAACACCAGTACTGTAGCATTCCACCCAGGTGCTGCTGCTGCTGCTTGTCCGGGAGTGCAGACCCGACCATGACGGTACCGGTACGGGCTTGGGTGCAGCGCTGGACGGGCACCTGCAAGTCATTGATGCCCACCGGTGACACCATATGGCTCCGTAAAATGCCATTCATGGCTGGACTCGAACCCGCAGGCTGCTCCACCGATTGTGGCATCACGACGCTGATTGCCAAAGACTAACTCTAGAAGGCACTGGACAGGCACGGAAGGCCATTGGAACCTGTACTGCGTACATACAAGAGAGAGAGAGAGAGAGAGAGAAAGAAAGGGTAGACAACTCCAGGAACCATACCTCACTGAACACCACCATCTCAGTGCTCGTACGAGGCGCGTATCATCCCGCTCAGGGGGTTGGAGCCGGTGTGCATTTCCCCCCCATCCATCCACAAGGATTCTAGACCAGATGGGAGATAAAGGGGGGGCAAGGCAGCTTGCAAAGAGCATCAAGTGACCTGGACCCTTACATGTACCGTCTACTTGATGCGTGAAAGCGAGGGCACACACGAATGGTAGATACCTGGTAGGTATTCATGGTTTACTGATGTTGTATGCTTACCTGCCTTGCCTCACCTCACCTCACCTCCGATACAGCTCATCATCCATCATCCATCAGCCATCAGCCCCCTTGCATCTGGCGATATCTCTCTGTGCAGATCAGACCTGCTCAACAAGCCGAGAACAGCTTTTCCCGCCGAAGATCATGTTTGTTCTCAACTAGACTCATGCCACATCAGCCTGCGTGTCCGCTACACACCGGCTGCACGTCGTACCGATAGGCGTCTGTAGGAGTAAACGTGGCTTATCAGCTCAGATGTGCCTGTGGGTTGCACACTCCTCGCGATGTCGGATGCCCAAAGTATGACAGAGTGCCTTGGTACAGGTAGACGGCGTACACGTACGAAGGGATGGAGAGCTGAATCTCAATATCAGCCACATTACCTCGGGGGCCTCGATAGATCCATCAAGTTGCATCCGATAAAGGCCAAGTTCATAGCCAGAACGAGTCATCAGCTCATGAAAGTCAAGTAAGGCGTCTACGACTAGTAATCACGTCGTGTCCCCTATTTTTACCACAGAAAAAAAGGCCAAAGATTGCACGCCGTGATGCAATCCGGAGGACAGAATGACTTTCAGCAAGCGTTGAGGCAGGACATCGTGTTACTCTCTGGAAAAGGGGAACAAAGCCAAAGCCCAAATCGCATCGTACGTTGTAACCTATGGACTGTCATTATATCATCATGCGAGAAGCTTTAGAAGAAAAAAAAAATAGGTAAAGATCAAAAGGAGAGACGCAACTGTTGCCTGGGTATACTCTCCCTCTTCATGACTGCGGCAACGACAAAGACGGGTATCCAGCAAATTGGCATTGTAAACACATCAGCAGCCTCATCCATCACTACCGCGCCAGCCTTCACTTGCCCAGGCGAATCCTCCGCCTAGCCGCCGTCTTTGCATCCCAAAGCCCAGCAAAAACAGCCTCGCACTCCTCCTCATCCGAAGAATCAAACTCGACCTCTTCCTCCTCTTCTTCCCTTTTGCCTCCTCCGATCTTCTCTCCCCCCTTCCCCTCCACCTCCCATGCGACTTCCCGGCCCTCGGAAAGAGGCACGTCTTCCCAGCTCCGATGTGTCACCACCCGCTCCGTCTCCAAGATAAACTTGCCCACCTTGTACTTTTGCGACTCCTCCTTGGCGTCCACGTACTTCCACCCCAGCTTGCGCGAGCATATCCCGCAGCAAATGTCCGCCACGACGTGCCACCCCGTGACGAGCTGCCTATTCTCGTCCTTGCCAATTCGTATGTTCAGCAGCGAGGGCGCCGACGCCGCCGACCACGACAGGCCTGTTGGGGTGGCCGGCGAAATCAGATAGGCACGGCCATAGCGGCCGGTGAATCCCTTGGAGACAATCTGCGACGTAAAGGCAATGTCCGTCGAGCAACTCGAACAGCGCAACGTATCGGCTGCCGTCCGAGAGAGCCGACGGCCTGGAGATGGCTCGCTCTTCAGCGGTGCGTCAAAGGTAAAATCGCGGTCGTCTGGAGGAGAGCCAGTCGGCGTGGTCACTGCGGATGAGACGCTGGACGACTCCGATTGCGTGGATGCTGCTGACGACGTGGACGATGAGGACGACGCGGAGTGGCGGCGACGGCCGGGGAGAGCAAACTTGAAGCTGGGGAGGAGGTAGCTGGGGAAGATGGGCTTGGTAGCCGAGATGCCGCTCTCGCGCACCATGGCGGGCGTGTCGTCGTTGCTGAGAGCGAAGGCGCCCCAGATCAAGCTCGCCATGCACGTCCTCTGAATGGCGAGGGGTCGTAAAAGAGAAGCAGAAAGGAGATGCTCAGCAGCGAAAGGCGGTAATAGAGAAAGCAGAGATTGTCTGACAAACGAGACAAAGTCGGCCCAGAAACGAGGTGCTTGCTGGGCATTGAAACCTTCATGTTCCCGGTGGCTTGACCCCAACAGCCGACACCGCCCATCTCAAACTGTAATCTACCTATCGCCGTTTCATACCTACCTACGAGCTACTTGCAAAAAATGATAGAACGTTGCTATGATTGATCAACCGCATAACCCCGCATACAAGCACCCGACGTCTGAATCCTTTCATTTGCACCCAATGAACAAACGCCACTAACACCAGGTGATACAGCTCTCAGCATCATACGTCAGTTCCTATATTACATACAACATTAGGTAGGTATCAAGTGCCCTTTCTAATATTTCGTTATAGGTATTACTTCCAAGAAGGCACCTATAAACTGATCATCTCCAGTACCATCTTCCAGTGATCTTACATACTCATAGAGGGAGCACTCCATTAAACATTATCACCGTATTAGGTAGAGCAACCCCAAGTACTAACAGACAGCTCATGCCCAACATGAACTGCTTGAGCTCCCTTGGGCCGCCCTAGTCTTCGAGGGTCATGGGGCGTCAAATTGCCCCATTGGCGATTAGCGGCGGGCTGCAGCGCCGGGACTCTGTCGCTGGCTCTGCAACTTTGGCCTCCAACCGATCCATTTCCTCGTGTCTTGGGACCCAGATGCCGCTAAAGCTGGGCCGCTAGACCAGCCAGCCGGACGAGCCGTCAGACGCACGGGTGGGGAAGGGCCTCGGTCTTCATAGGGAACAAATCGAGGCCTGACACTTCAAGTTCTGAAAGTCCCAATGCTCAAGTATCGGATCATTCTCACGTCAACTATCAATAACAATATGATGAATGCGCGTGCTTTCAATGCTTCAATCTATGTATCCATTTATTCATTATATTCAATTAGTTCTGGGGCTCCTCGGCGACGTAGTGCAGGTAAGCACCCAGAAGCTTGATGCCCTCGATGTAGTTGCGCTTGTCGAGCTTCTCGTTGATGGAGTGGGCGCCGTCCGTAGAGCTTCCCATGGGCAGCAGCAGGACGTTCTTGCCAGTGGCCTCTTCAAAGGTGAGAGTGACGGGGATACTGCGTGGAAATGTTAACATCCGATGGAATAAAGCATAGCTACGGGACAAAACAAGAAGCGTGCTGTAGCTTACCTTCCACCCTCTCGCGTAAAGTCGGGGTCGACGCCCCAGACGCGGTTAACAGCCTTGGCAGCGGCGGAAAAGTTCCAGTGCTTTGGCGAGGCAACCCACCACTTGCCGGTGTGCTGGGCATACACCTTCATGGTGTTCTTGCTGCCGAGCTTAGCAAACTGCTCCTCGACATACTTGTAGACAGCCGCGTTGGTGGTGTCGATGTCCATGTTGGGGACAGTTCGAATGGAGAACTTGCCAATGACCTTGGCAGGGATGACCGTCTTGGCGCCAGGTGCAGAGAAGGCACCCTCGATACCGTGCAGTGACAGCGAGGGGTATCTCCAGCGAGCCATCAGAGTGGGCTTAGTCTCGTCGTGGATGGTGGTGGTGCTGCCCAGAGACTCGTGCAGGTTCTCCATGGTGAAAGCAATGCTGTCGTAGAGCTTCTCCTCTTCCGGAGTGACAGGGGCAACCTGCTCCGCGATGCCGGGAATCAAAATCTTGCCCTTGGAGTCAACAAGAGTTGACAGGACTTGAACAAGGTCGGTCATGGGCTCGTGAGCCTGTCCACCAAACACACCACTGTGCAGGTCGGCACCAGGGCCAGAGACCTCGACAGAGTAGTAGTTGCAGCCTCGCAGACCATAGGTCAGGCAGGGCTTCTCCGTACCCAGCCAGTAGTTGTCCGAAATGCAGACGGCATCAGCATCGGCGAAGAACTTCTTAGCCTCGGCCTTGATCAGGTCGTCCAGACCCTCGGAGCCGTACTCCTCCATGCCCTCAAAGCACATCAAGAGGTTGACTGGGAAGTCAACGCCGGCCTTCTGGTGGGCCTCAATGGCGTTGAGCCAGCCGAGAACGGGTCCCTTGTCGTCGGTCGAACCGCGACCGAACATGCGGCCCTTGTCGTCGACCGTGAGCTCGAAGGGCTCGGTTGCCCATCCGTCGCTCTTCTCGGCAGGCTGGACATCGTAGTGTCCGTACACGAGAATCGTTCGCTTGTTCTTGTCGTTGCCATATCGTCCGAGAACGACGGGAGGCAGGTCGAGGTGCTCCTTGTGAGGCTGCTTGCCGAGCGGGCGCAGCTCAACCTCGGCACCCAGAGCCTTCAGCTCGTCGGCCAAGAAGTGACCCATGCGAACAACATCGGGACGGCGGGCATCTTCGGCGGAGATGGAAGGGATGGCCACAGCCTTGCGAAGACGCTCAATGAAGTGGTCAGCAGAGCTGTCGACCTGGCTGAAAAAGCTGTCGAGTTGAGGCGCCATCTTTCTTGCTTGGTGCGCACGGATCGAGTCGGTGAGATACGGCCGGGACGCAAATCGAGAGATCTGAGGAGCTTGAAGAGCAAAAGGAGAGAATGGAGAGAGAGGCTTGATTCTCGTCCAGATTTGTCGAGAGCAGCGGAGAGAAGTCATTTAGAAAGAACGGTGCGGGGCATGTCGCCCTACCTCAAAGTGCCCTCCTTCAGCGCGAAGTTCCAGCAAGTCGCACCTGCTGCAGAAGCTTCACGCGGCGGGGCAGATGGAGGGGAACTTTTTTTTCTGACAAACCGGTTACCAACGGCAGGTGCGAACGATCAAGGTGCTCCTACGGGACGGGGTACCATGAAGGTACTTGCTCCGAAGGGCTGCCCCATTGCGAACGGAGCTCGGCATGCGTGAGCGGAGACTGACAAGCCGTGCCGGGACAAAAGTACCCGTCAAGTCTCCCCGTCCTTCAAGCTTCGCTTCTGATTGCCTCTAATGATGGCTGGCAGTTGCCTCTTCAAAGACGGTGTCTGGGCACGTGAGCAGGTGCGTGCCGGAGAAAGGTTCTGCCGGCGCTGCCAAAACGCCGTTGGGACGGAAAAGGTCTGGGCTCGCTACTATCAATGCCGTAACGCGTCCCATTAATAATGGCCTTACTAGCAGTCCCCGTCCGCCGCTTGCTTTTTTTCTCCTCACTTCTCCCTGTACACATCACCGACTCCATCGACTTGCCATCGACGCCTTCACCGACTCATCGAAGATTTGCGGACAGGAAACTGCTCGCCATCCGTGCATCGATTTTAGACACGCCGAGCAGCGCTTTCGACGGCTCTGAAAATCCTCGCGGCCTTGCTTTGTGCGATCGCTGTGAAACTCAGCGTCTGGTGAATCGGCACTCGTAACCAAGCCCTTCGGCGACGTCGTCCGCGAAGCGACTCGTATTCCATCAGCCGCCGACCGTCGACTTGCTGAAAAAAAAAAAAATCCTCATTGTTCTGTCCTCTCTTGATCCCGCCTTCTTGGAGTTTTCTTAGTCTGTCTCACGGAGGTTCCGAAGACGGCTAACAAAGGGCTGTTTATTTGCTGGTGCAAAGGCTGGTCTATCATGGTGATCAGGAAGTGAGGGGGAACTCTAGGGTTGTCTTTCCTTCTGGCTTTGGCCGCTTGTACTCCATTATTCACAATACCCATTTTGCCCTATTGTCTCTGTTCCTTTTTCTTCCAATTACAATCAGAATTGATTATTTTGAGTTCAGCTTGAGTTGAAACAGCACGGAGGTGCATACACAAAGAGCAGAAGAGAAGAAGAAAAAGAAGAAAGAAAAAAGGTTTCTAGCAGCAAGAAAAAATCAATACTCACTTAGTCACTGTTTTACGACTGAGGTCTTCCGACGTATTTACTTCACAGATATATAACCACTTCCGGCTTGTCGCTGACGAGTCTTAACGTCCTCACACCCTTCATCCTCTCCCTCATTATTGCTTTTGTTGCCTGTAACCGAAACACAAGGCGAGGAAGAGTCCTCCTTCTCGACAGCAACAATGTCTTCTTCAGTGTTCTTCAAGTTCAAGTCGCAAAAGGAGCCGACGAGAGTGGAATTTGACGGCACAGGTATCTCAGTCTTTGAGCTCAAGCGTGAAATCATCAACAAGAGCGGACTGGGCGATGGCACGGACTTCGACCTGTTCATTTACACAGACGATAACAGTGAAGGTGAGATATCAACGAACAGAGCCCATCCCTTGCATCATTGAGCTTGTTAAGTGCTGACTCGAGGCTGTAGAATATGATGATGATACTACGATTGTCCCCAGATCCACGACAGTCATCGCTCGGCGGCAACCGGCGATTAAGCCTGGAGCCGGACGAGCCGCGCGATATGTCTCGGGGAAAATGCCCGTGGCAGCCAAGAATGCTGGCCGCAAGGAGCAGTCTTCCAAAGTGTCGGCCTCTAAGCCGAGCACGAATGCCTTCAGCCAGATGAACGATGCTATGACGGAGGAAGACCGCATGGCCGCCATGTTCGCCGCTCAGACGGAGCAGTGGTCAGCCCAGCAGGAGGAGCTGTCTCAGTAAGTTTGACTCACAATGGCATTCCCCCGCCTTCATCTGACATAGTTTCAATGTTGCTAACCATCTTTAAAATAGCCAAGCACCAGTTCCCTTCAAGCCCGGCTCCAAGCGGCCAGCAAACGTTCCGGACCATGATCCTCCCAATGGCTACATTTGCTACCGGTGTGGTAATAAGGGCCACTGGATCCAACTGTGCCCGACCAACGATGATCCTGACTTCGATAACCGACCTCGTGTCAAGCGTACTACTGGCATCCCCCGGTCATTCCTGCAAAAGGTGGACAAGTCTGTCATTCTGGCTCAGTCTGAAGGCGACGACACCAAGCGGCCCTCGGGGATCATGGTCAACGCCGAGGGAGACTTTGTCATTGCTGAGCCAGACAAGGCATCTTGGGAGCAATTCCAGGCCAAGGCCAAATCCTCGTCCGCCGCCGCTAAATCTTCGCAGGCAGAGGACAAGGAAGTGCAGGAGCGTGGTCTCGAGTGTTCGATTGACAAGAAAATGTTCATAGAGCCAATGAAAACCCCGTGCTGCCAGAAGACGTTTTGCAATGATTGCATAACCAACGCACTCATCGAAAGCGACTTCGTCTGCCCTGCCTGTCAGACCGAAGGTGTGCTAATCGATGATCTTCAGCCCGACGAGGAAGCATCAAAGAAGATTCAGGAGTATCTTAAGGAGAAGGAAGCTGCCAAGGCGACTCCTCCGTCATCACCCAAGGATACCTCAGAGGGAGCTGCGGGCAAGTCGGAGAACGATTCAGCCAAAGATGCAGAGAAGAAGGAAGACGAGGGGGGAGACGCCACGGAGGGCAAGGTGCTGCTACCCAGCAGCATCGAATCCCCAAGGGAGAAGTCCGACACACCAGCTACAGCTACAGAACAAGCTGCCTCATCATCAAAGTCGCCCTCAACTGAGTCTAAATCCCTCGTTTCCAGCACTATAAGTGCAGATGGCAAGGTCGAGGTTGTCAAGGCGGAGGTCGTCACTTCGAAGAAGAGACCCGCCGAGGACTTTCTGGAGAATCCCAAGATACCCAAGGGGCCCCGCGCGATGCAGAACCAACAGTCGCACAACATGGCCACTGGTAACATGATGCCCAACATGCCCAACATGGGTATGAACAACATGATGTTTAGCGGAGGCATGGGTATGATGCCTAACATGATGGGCATGGGCGGCATGGGTGGAATGGGAAGCATGGGCGGCATGGGCATGAATATGGGCATGAACATGGGGATGGGCGTGGGTATGCCCATGATGAATATGCCCATGATGGGCATGCAAGGCTTCAACAATATGAACGGAGGCTACGGAAACATGAACGGCGGCTACGGTATGAACAACATGAACAACATGAACGGCATGAACAACATGGGCGGCGGCGCCGGCGGCGTCAACGGCAACTGGGGAATGAACAACATGGGTGGCATGAACAACAACAACAACATGAACGGCATGGGCAGGATGGGCGGCGGCATGGCCGGAGGCATGATGAACGGCTACCAGAACGGGGGCAACTTCCCTCAAGGCGGCGCCGTCGCCGGCGGGGATGAGGATGCCTACTTCCGGAAACCCGTCAACCCGCATCGACACCAGAACAAGCAACGCAGAGTACGGCCGAGCGATTACCGTGAACTCTGAGCGCAGCTTCTTTCCACGGCGACATGATTTCTCATCTCAACCCCCTTCCCCGTTACGATATAAGTTCCATTGCGCACAAATACCTCACATACCCTCACAAATTACCCAAAAAAAAAGAAAAAACAGCTAGCAAGCACACAAATCAGAAACGTACAATGGCCAAAGAAAAAAACAACATGGAGGACATATTGCGCAGTTTTCCACCAGATGAAATGGACTGCTTGCCCAGACCTTGGCTCCGAATAGGCGTTTTTTCCCGTCTGCCCTCAATATTTCCACCCCTTTTCTTTCCCATGCTCCAATACATTCACACTCGGTTTTTCTTTTTCATTATGATCGATTACACCTTATTCTAGGGTGATGAAGCATCAGAGGCACTCGGAGGTCTTGTTTGTTTACTAGCAGACGGGGGTTTTTAATTTCCTTACTACTTTGTTTGAAATGGGGCAGATTTGAGTTGAAGGGTGGAAGGGGTGGATGGTTAATTGAGGCGTGATGAGAACGCCTTTCAAGGACCTTTTCTTTTTTTGGTAGCATAGGTTGGGAGCGGTATAGCAGGCTCCAATTAAAGACACGAATTTCCATCAACATGTGCTACTCTCTACTCAGTGGATGTATTTGTTCAGACCTTTGACGTAATTACCATGATATAATACCATTCGAAGAGAACCATCCAGTAAACCTGTACCAAAGCTCCGTATTTGTACAAATCTATCCCGGGAAAGCATCTAGACACATACAGATCCCATACAGCATTATTCGTACTCCGTGTATCGTCTCAAATTTTGTTGGTTTTTTTCTTCTTTGCTCTTATTGTGAATTTGCTCTCTCCTCGCAGCCAGCCGCATCCCCTCCTCCTCTTTTCCCCCCTCACTGCGGCGGAACATACGGCTTCACCAGCATCTCGCTAAACTTCTCCAGCTTCTCCTTTCCTCGCACCTCCTCCACCAGCAGCGGCATCTTGACCACATTAAAGTCCTCGGCGTAGAGCTCCTCGTACTGATCGAGGTACTTGCGCTGCATCTTCCGCCGAGCATTGCACTGCTCGCAATCGCTCCCCTCCTTGGGGAACAGCAGCTGGTTGACGACGATGCTGTGCGTGTCGATGCCGTAGTTGGCCAGCTCCTGAATCATGCGCTCCGTCTCGTACAGGCTGAGGAACTCGGCGATGCAGACGCACACAAAGGTGGTGAGCTCGGCGTCCTTGAACTGGGCGTTGACCTCCGAGATTGTGCCGCGCAGCGACTCGAGCTTCTCCATCATCTCGTTGAGGTTCTGGCCGTTGGGCAGGGCGCCGCTGGAGCCAAGGAAGCCGTTGAGCAGCGGTCCGTACTGGGAAGAGAGCTGGGAGACCTTGGCCAGAGCCTTTTCGAGGACCGAGGGGAACTGCAGGAAGCGGAGTGTGTGACCCGTGGGGGCGGTGTCGAAGATGATGGTTTCGTACGAAAGGGACTTGACCTGCTTGAGGACCTCGGCAAAGGACATGGCCTCGTCGATACCGGGGATCTTGCCATGCCACAGATTAGTATAGAGTTGGGATATGAGTCTCGGGGAAACAACAGCAAAAAAGAACGTACAGCAAAAGCAAGGTCCTGCATCATGCCGCCAAGCCCGCCGCCCATGGCATTCAGATCCTCCGTGTTCTCGCCCTGCCCGGCCAGCAGGTCCTGCATGCTGCCATTGGGATCAATCTCCATGGCGCTCAGGTTGTCGAAGCCGTTGATGAGGCGGGCCTCCTTGCCGAACTTTTGGTTGAAGGCATCGGACAGGTTGTGCGCGGGATCGGTGCTGATGAGCAGGACGGAGCGGCGGACCTTGGCCAGCTGGATGGCCAGGGAGCACGAGGTGGTCGTCTTGCCGACGCCGCCCTTGCCGCCGACGAAGATCCAGCGGAGGGAGCGCTGGTCGAGGAGCGACTGGAGGGACGGCTCGAGGGCGTCGGCGTCGAGGACGGCGGCCATTTGTGCTGTTGTTGTGTAGTAGGAGAGGTCGCGGGGGTGATGTCAAAGGGTCTGGGGTTGGAGGAGAGAAGCGAAAAAGAAGAGGCGAGTGAGTATCAGAGTACGGGAAGATGAAGAAAAGATTAGATAAGCTGGTTCAGAAAGAGGAAAGAGAATACTACAAGAGACCGAGAGAGAATGGCAGGAGAGAAGGAGGCGAGGCTGGCAGTGACGCAGACGATGGCTTGCAAGGCTACAGACAGAATCTAGGTACCTACACAAGGAACGAGTACGCGCACAAAGAAGGGGGGCGGATAAGAGCGGGTTCGAGGCCTTTGGAAGGCGAAAGAAAACAGAATGCGACGGCCGATGGAGGGGCAACGGCGGACAAAATAGAGGGCGACAGCCGATGCCGGCCAGCTGGCGAGAGGCCACACGCTGTATTTTGGGGGCCGTTTGATGCTATACGACTTGACACTGCATTCAGCGTTGCTTTTAGTATTCTGAAAATAACATACTGATATCTAGGTATGTACCTACCTAGGAACAAGGGATGTGACGACATCTGGTCAAGACAGCCTTGTCATAAGGTAGCATGTGATTGCATCTCGGCAGTCTCAGCCTGGCAGCGAACGCACCAAGCAATCAAATCAAGCAATCAACACGCACCAAACATGAAACCCATCCATCACAGCCAAACAGCCTACCCAAGGCGCCAAACCAACAATTCAGACTCAAATCAAGAATAGAAGCTCTTCAACAGCCGGCCACCTCCACCAACGGCGGCCGGCGCACAGCGTGGCTCGCACTGATTGGATGCCCGCTATAAAAGAAGACCAGCTCAAAGTCCTACACTACATAGGTACTAAGCTACCTACCTAATAATAACTGACTGCAGCCGACCTTGGGTGTGAATCCTGTCTGGATCGAGCTCCATGTTTATTATACCACTCATCCCACAATCACACACAAATACACACACAGCCTCGAGGAACTGAAAGGCGCAGCTCCTTGCTAGAGACAGACGATAGACGGCTAGGTGCATATAAAGAAGCAAAGATCCCGCCTTGCTTTCTTTTTGGACGCTTCTCTTCTCTTACTCTTCTCTTTTTCTCATCAAGCTTCGCTTGGATCAGCTACGAGTACACTCAAGAACCGGCATCTCGCATCTCATCGCCCTCCAACCCCACCATCTCACCACCTCATCCGTCACACAAATACAACCTCTTTTTCTCATCACCCTTTCTTAGCACCTCTCAAACAAACTCATCCCAAGAAGGTAAAAAAAGGAAAAAAAAAAAACACCATAAACACCCATCATGGCCAGCAAAGACCGCATCACCTGCCACGTCCTCGACACCACCGCCGGCCGCCCCGCAAAGGGCCTCCGCGTCCGCCTCGAGGGTCCCGCCCCCGTCTCCTCCTCCTCCTCCTCCGCAACAGCAGCAGCAGGACAACACCCCTCCAGCCACAACGCCCACAACGCCCTCAAGACCTTTGAGTCCCTCACAAACGACGACGGCCGCGTCACCGTCTGGCTGCCCTACAGCTCCGAGACGTCCGCCGGAGAGGTGCCCCTCTACACCCTCGAGGACGTGCTCGGCGCCGTCCAGGGGCCCTCGCGCTGGACGCTGCGCTTCGACACCGCCGGCTACTTTGGCGACGAGGCCACCTTCTTCCCGGAGGCGACGGTCGTCTTCCGGGTTGATCAGGGGCAGCATTATCACGTTCCGCTGCTGTTGAGTCCGTACAGCTACACCACCTACCGCGGCAGCTAGAGTGGAGAGGACGTGCTCATGCCGTTCGTGTCGTTCAGGGGAAAGGGGATGGGGAACAGAGCTCCACAGCCGAGTCGAATGCAATGCGCCCATCCATAAGGATAGTTGCTCTTCTATGTCACTTGCTGAGAAATACAGATCATTTCTCAATTCAAGACCATTTCTTTCTTCGTCGTGAAAAGCGTGCAAACTCAGTTGTAATTGTTAAACAGCCACTGAAGTCAGCTTTATTAACACGTCGTCTACTCTACTTGCCAGTCTGCATGCCGTAATTTCACAAAGCAGATCCAGCCTTCCCCCCCCCGCGATTGCATACTTGTTGCCAAGTTTAAAGACAAACTCCATTCTCTTTTAAGTGACCAACCAAGCCATACCCCGTGTGTCGAGAGAAAACATTGTGTTTGCCAACTGTTGTTGCCTTGCTCCCAATTTCAGATACCCAGCCCAGAACTCCGTCGCCAATAGATTAAGAAGTTGAATGAAACATCTGTATAAACCAGTTCACAAAAGAGAGTCGTAAATTCATTCCGGATTTTTGTCCCTTGTCCCTCTGCGCATCCAGTGTCCAAAGAAAGCAAGGAAGCGTACGAAACGTACGGTGTATGTCGTCGACAATGTGTCAAAAGGCGGTATGTATATGGCCAGCGCTTCAATCCCGGTCTTCTCCTCGAGAGCGCCTCCACTTGCTGAACCGATGCGACTTCTTCGGGCTGTGGCCTGTGCTATCAGGCGAGGACGGTGGTGTCTCGTCCTCTTTCTTGGTCGATTCTGCGCTCTCGCTGCCGCATTTGGACTGGAAGCTGGCCGTCGAAGGACTCGTCAACCTAGGGGCTGCTTCACCGACTACTTGAAGGCTGCTGCTGCTGGAGCGGGACAGCGATAGGGACATGACACTGTTGACGAGGCCGCTTTGAGCGCCAAGGCTTCCATGGGTGAGGGTTCGCCTGTTCTTGTTTCGGGATAAGAAGGACATTCGCTTTCTCTTGAGAGCATAGTCGCCAATCAGGTCATCGTGTGTTATACAAGCGTTTGGTGAGAGGTCGGCATCTGGATGTGGGAGAGTAGTATTGCTGACTGAATGAAGAAAAAATGAAGAGTCAGTCGTAACCCAAATGAAGACGGAAGGCGGCGGCGTAGTATAGGTGCGGTCTGCTCACATTGATCGAATGGCTCCGGGAAGCCAGTGTCCCGGCTTACACGGGGTTTCCGAGATGCCGTCAGAGATGCCGTCTGAGAGGCCATGGTGAGAAACACGTCGGATATGATTCTGCAGACACGGGGCAGAGATGTAATGTTCAGCAGAGCCTCTTTTGTAAGGGAGACAAAGAAGAAAGGGAAGAAGACAAGAATCGAGATCGAAAAGGGAGAAGGATGTTAAAGAATGGCCACTGATGGGCCTGACGGGCGCAGATAGCCGAATGACAGCAGAGGCGCGTGGCCTTGTAAGAGGGAGTCGGGAGAGTTTGGTGGCGGGAGGTGCCCCGCTGGAAATGCGTGTATGCTGCCTGGGTATTAGTATGGATGTACTGTCGAGCCAAGCAGCCAAGAGGTCAAGGGAGGCCGGCCACTCTGCAGGCGTCACGGAACAGCGGCGGGGGGGCAAGGTTCCTCTTAAACGTCTCGGTGAGATCTCATCGTTCAACGGTGGCGTTCAGTGCTTCGGGCAAAGTCGAACAAATCCCCTTCATTTACTGGCTCCCCAGCAAGGATCGCTTTGACTGTGGTTCAAGGAGCCGAACCGCCCGCGTTCTAGGGTGTGGGAAATTCAGCGAGATGAGGGCGGCTACTCTCAGTGGAGGTTGTAAAGCAGATGGGTTTGCTCCCTGGTGCCGAGTTAGCGACTGGCCCGGGTACAGGTACTTTGCAGCGCCGAGCTCAATAGTCTGCCTCTTCATATGGAGTGCGGACGAGGACGGAGCAGTCTGTGCCGTGCGTGGTATGCTCTTACATAGTCGTAGCTCAGCCGCTGCATGCATGCAGGCGATGGATCGGATCAGATGGCGGCTAGTGAGCACTTTGTTGTCGCGAGGCAGCTGATGGCACCACAGCGAGAACGACCCAGCGCTACCAGCGATCCATCCCCCCCCGGCAGCCGTCGCCCTCGCCGATGGCTCGGAATTCGTCAGGCTTCCCCCAGAACTGCAAGCCCTGCCAGCTCCCAAAGAGCCATCGCCGGTCTAGAGAAATGAGATTTCGGCGCACTTCTGCTATGGGGGCTGCGTGTCAACGGTCTCGCCCCGAAGCCTGCGACGGAGGCCCTCTGTGCCGTGTTGCATGCAGCCTCCGAGACAGGACATGCATGGATCGCAGCCCGATGCCAGACGCGACACCTGGTGGCTCGTACGAAGTAGCTCGCTTTCGCAATGCACTTTGCTGGCCCTGCTGCGCTCCAAGTGTCAGACCCAGTCCATCCTGGCCTATCCAGGTCTGCCAAATCTGCGTGTCCCAAGTGTGGGCGGCAAGGCAAGGGGGTCGTCATATGGGGCTCTGCTTGGTTGGAAGATGAAGGCACTTTGACGGTCAGTCCCGTCCATTCTGCTGCGCCTCGCTCTTGTGAGGGGCCATGTAGTGTAATAAACGAGTAACCAGATCCAACATAGGCCGTCATTAGAACATATGCACTTGTGCAGCCAGCATTGAGAAGCTGGGGATTCGTACAGTGTACGGAGTAGGCAGGCGAGAGACGCAAAGATGAAGTCCTGGCTCTTGTGTGTGTTAGCGAACAACCAGAGACAGCGGGAGCCCAGCCAATGGCGCAGTCCACCTCGCATTCCGTAGGTACTGATACATTGTGTACCTGGTCCTTCTGATTGTTTGAAGGTCGCTGCGTTGGTTTGCGAATCGTTTGTTTTGTTCGGTTTCCCGACTAACACCGGCATCTGTAGGTACCTCATATATCGCAGACTTGTTCTGGTGGAGGGATGGGTGAATGAATGGAAAAAAGAGGTCGAGGGGTTCATGAAACCTTCACAGTGTCCAGAAGCGGGAAATGACGTGTGGTTGGGTTGTCGCAGCAGGTGCACGTTCCGCCTGAATCGCACCTTCCCTCTTCACTGGGTCTCGATATGTGTATATCGGCTAATCGATACGTGTTAATCAGTTGAGAGTTGGCACTCGTCCACGCAACAGCGCTGGCCAAGACATCAATGTCTCATCCTTGCATCGCTCTCTTCTGGCGGTCAACCGATGGATCCGCACATTCGCCATACAAACATACAACAGAAGATGCATTGCCCACTCGCTGAATAGGGCAAACCTCCAATACAAAGAAGAGTGAAACGCGGACAAACGTGCGAGAGAGAGAGGCAAGCATCAGCAAAGGGACCGAGGCACAAGGAACAGCTGCAGCCATGAATAATGCTTCAGAGCCAGTCGAGCTCGTACTGGGACATTCCCTGTAGTACTCAGCTCTTGCCTACCACACGGCTTGGTTTTAGCCTCGTCCCTTGGCGTCTGGAACAACCGCCAGACTATTCTCCAACTACCTTGCCCAAGTATAGCACTTCGACAACAGGCGGCAGCGTTGCTTGCTCGCGCTCCAGCAGCTAATCGTGTGAACAAGACGACCCAGAAGCCCAGACAGCGCCCACACAAGCCGGCAGCGAATCGAATTGATGCCCAGAAAATGCTGTGCTCGGCAGCAGGAGGATGCGGAGGAGCGGCGGCTAGGATCCAGCCTATCAAACACCCGCTCTTGGGTTCAGACACAATCAGACACACAGTCTCAAGAACAAGCAGCCTTGGCCAATCAAGGAGGGGTGAGATGCAGAGCGAGCCCGTTTGCAAGACGGCGGCACTTGTTCGACAGTTGTGGTGGCCATCCAAGAGATTCTTCCTCGTAAGTCCGACAATGTGCCTTGATGACAGGCTTTGGCCAAAAGTTCGTGCATACAGAGTCTCTATGGTGGCTCGGCGCTGTCGTCAGCCTTCCCGTTGACATCGCAGATGGAATTTGGCCACTTCGGATACATTGTGCCGAAGCGGCATTCTACATCTCCTTCGATTTCTCCAATGCGTTATTGTGGCGCGCTATGTACTACGGAGTACTGTTTCCATATGGTTCAGAGGGATAACAGCTGTCATCGTTTACCCAACAGATTTGACCATGTCTCGTCTTACATCATAGGATATTATGAGCCAGGCATTGCTTGTGTCACTTCGTGCTTCGCATAAGGTAGGTAGGTAGTACATACGTACGGCGCACGGATACAGTTGCCCGCATAAGCGCTGTGTGCGGGATTCGGTGCCCACGGGTTCTGCGTAAGTACGAGCTCTGGACAAGCCGGAGAGTCATCAACGTCGAATGTCCCTTTGTCCGTCGTCAACTTGGCTGACCCTGATTTGTGCGCTGCTTGGAAGGGCGCCGATAGACTGCTTGACCGCGATCTGTTCAAAGAGTGCGAGGATGCGAGGGTCGATGAATAGCGAGTATGCAGTGCATTTGTCCAAGTCACTGTCTCGAGAGCCACAATTCCTGGAGTGCTAGGGCATGAGTCCTTGCTCATATGAATGGACGATGTGCGAGGTGCATGTGCATGCCTACAAACACACGGATCGATGTCAGCCTGGCTTCTCGGATTCGTCCTCCCCGGCTTTCCTCGAATGGGTCGCATAAGCATGTCTTGCAGCCGCAGCCAGCCAACCATTGGATGATACTGAACGCTGCATGACGCCGATGAGCCACAACTACTGGTATTCGGACGACAAGGCATGGAGGGAGGACGAATCGGTAGGCTGTACAAGTGCAAGGTAGTCTACGTGCTCTAATACAGCATGCATTTGAGGTGGTCGGGTAGTTGTCTCTTCCTCCGGCGTCGTCCTGAGGTAAGTGGGTGACGCGACAGCGACCTTCTTGAGGCTCCTGGCGCTCTTTGCCTTGGTCCATAGAGACTTGTCGCTTGCATCGGGCATCTACGAATTCAATGGATGACGATCACAAGGGATAGCATCAGGTATTCATTTCCTACCTCACGAGACATGTGCAAAGGGCCCGTGGAACGATAGCCGGCGTGCGGCGACAGATGATCGTCGCTCGTGGAAGCCGGCAAAGCTTCCATCGGTTGATCGGCTGGGCATTCATTCATCCTGGTAATAGGGCCCATGTGGCATGCAATTCCACTGATGGAGATGACACAATGAAAATCACTCGTGCGGAGTGTCCGTCTCTGCACGCTTAATGCTTGGCAAATCAGAGCAGAAATAACACCAGGCTTTAATAAGGGGAGCATAGTTCCGTCTTCACGGGCCGCTGATCAGAATTTGATTCTAGGGGTTCAGAATCTAGGACCGTCAGCTTTGAGCAGTCGCGATATTACAGCTTGTGGCGAAGCGTCTCCAGCTCCGTCCATCTATATGAGGATTCGTCGCTCGACCTTCCAGAATGTTGAAGCCGAATAGTATATATAGCATATAAGGTATTGCTGCAGAAGAACGACAAATCAGGGCAGTGACTGACGTCCACGGCAATGCGTGCAGCTGTAGAAAGCGAGATGGGCATCTTTGCCACCAATTCATGCCGCGTTGATCCCTGGCCTCCTTTCTCTCCGCCTCCATCATGTGGAATCAGTTGCAGCACATCGAACAGGTAGCAAATCGGCATCGACGAAATAAAATAAGCACCGGAGACCTTGTCCATCAGGAGAGTCAACAGGAGCATCTTGGGTGGTTCTAACATCATATGAGCAACCACATGATATTAATATTCTTAGATAGATAGGTAGGAGCCCGATGCCCATCTACTTGTACTCTAGTATCACTCACTTCATTTTGATATCCTCTGTTGAATCACGGGATGCTAATTAATCCCTTGCTAGCAAGCCTGGTACATGTGACAAAACCGCTGCTTCTGGACGGAACATGGATACATGTAATCATCATCACATCAACCACATCCAGCTACCTACCTACCTACCTACCCATAGCGCATCGTGCGGACAACTGCTGGTCGATGCACGTCACTATGAAACGAATGGAGGAAAAAGGACATAAAACACCATCCCGGCTAAGTGCATCAATCGTTACACTTCCCATGGGAAGATTTTCCGTTACGGCACCTACCCTAGACTTCTGAGCCGAGTTGCGCCTCAACTCTTTTTTCTCTGGTCCTCGGGTCCTGTCAGCTTTGGTGCAGAGTCACGGCCATGGAAAGCCCGGATCCTGCTGACGCAGCGTGCACCGCCACGTTTCCACACAGCCTTGGCAGAACTCGTAATGCGCACATCAGCCACAGCCATGAACGCTCTGAATCGTCCGTGTTTCGAGGCTCCCTCAAACCCCTTGGAACAACCTCCATCCTCCATCGTCCTGTAGCCGCCCTGCCTCATCTCGAATCTCGCGCGTTGCTGCTGCTGCGCCCATCGAACCCGCCGCCATGTCCGACTCACCCGGAGGCGGCCATACCTCCTCGATCGACTCCCGCGAGGCCCCGAACAAGCCGGACAAGAAGAAGAGCCGCCGCCCTGCGAGTGAGTGCTGGAGGATGCCGCCGGATGCGCTGCTGGGAGAGACGCGCGAGTGCTGACGACGAGTCCATTACAGACACGGCCTTTCGACAACAGCGACTCAAAGCCTGGCAGTAGGTTTTCCGGACGAGCCCGCGGCGCAAGAAGCCCGTGTCCGCGCATGCTGACAGCCTCGCAGGCCCATTCTTACGCCAAAGACAGTCCTGCCTCTGTTCTTCGCCATCGGCGTCATATTCGCTCCAATCGGCGGCCTGCTGCTATATGCCAGCACTCAGGTATGTCCACTTCTTTGTTTGGCTTTATTGGAGACGCTGCGTACGGTTGCTGATGGATTGGACCTCGCGCAGGTGCAAGAGATTCGACTGGATTACACCCACTGCAGATCCGATGCTCCCGACTTCAACAAGGGCTTCGGCCCCATGCGCGGCAGCGACGTAGAGACTGCCTTCAAGAGCTCCAACTCGTCGATTGACGCGCAGTGGGCCGTGCAGTCCGGCGTCAACATCACAGTCAACCCGGGCGTCAACGTGACTGGCAACCGATGCTACTTGCGATTCAACATCCCCGAGAGCATGGGCCCGCCGGTCCTGTTCTACTACCAGCTCACCAACTTTTACCAGAACCACCGTCGCTACGCCGATTCCTTCGACGTCGACCAGCTCAAGGGACACAACAGAACGTATGGCGACATTCATAGCGGAAAATGCACTCCTCTGTATGGCGACACTGTCGACGGTGTTAAGAAACCGTACTACCCGTGCGGCCTGATTGCCAACTCCATGTTCAACGACACGTTTACCAGCCCCGAGCTCTTGAACCCTCCCGGAGGCCGCGGTAACGAGACGCGAACATATCGGATGGAGAACAACACCAACATCGCCTGGAGCAGCGACAGAGAGCTGTATAACCCGACGACGCAGGCCCTGAGCGAGATCCTGCCGCCCCCCAACTGGCGCGAGCGCTGGCCTGACGGCTATACCAAGGAGAACCCTCCGCCCAACCTGAAGGAATGGGAGGCATTCCAGGTCTGGATGCGCACCGCCGGCCTGCCGACTTTCAGCAAGCTCTACCAGCGCAACGACACCGCAGCCATGGCTGAGGGACGCTACCAGATTGTCATTGATGACTGTATGTGATCTATCGCCGATTCAGCGCTACATGTTCTTGCAAAACCGCTGTGGTGCTAACTATGAAATTGCAGTCTTTCCCACTACTGAATATAGGGGCACCAAGTCCATCATTATCACCACTCGTACCGTTGTTGGTGGTCGCAACAACTTCCTGGGCATCGCTTACATTGTCGTTGCCGGCCTGTGCATTGTCCTCGGTGTCATCTTCCTCGCCTCCCATCTCATCAAGCCAAGGTATGTTCGATCTATGCCAGTCAACCGACAACCAAGCTTTCTCCTTCTTCTTCGTGCTAACAAGTCGATCCTCCAGAAAACTCGGCGACCACACCTACTTGTCGTGGAACAACGTCCCAGCATCCAAGCCCGGCGGCAGCACCGCCGTGGCCTCGGGCCGTGAGATCCGTCCCGGCGAGGCCTAGGCGACTCGCGACAGCTCCCGCACGGCGCTCCGCATGGCTCCGATGCATCCTCCTGGGGGCGGCTTCCGCTCGCGCATCTTCCGGGCGCCCATGAGCCCGAGGTTTCACAGCAAGCTCTACGACCGCTTGAGCAACCGACCTGCGTAAGAAAACAAAAAAAAAAAAAAAAGAACAGAAGAAAAAGAAGAAGAAGAAAAGGCAGTGAAGGGGGTTTCAATGCGGCTGGTCAACGGAGTGATGAGCTGGGTGTTGCTTCGCCCCCCCCCCTTTTCTCTTATTACTAACGTGCTTTACATCGATGCAAATATGCGCCGTTGTTTTTGATTTCCACTGCGTTGGCCGGCTTTTGTTTACATTTCCCTTTCTTCTTCAGGCCTTTTCTTTGGGTCTTTCCAGTGGGCATGGCAAAACCCTTTTTCTTGTTCTTATGCTTGCTATACTACCCCCTTTTCATGGCCAAACCCGTTCGTTACTCAAAAGCAGAGAACAAAACACAAACTTGAGGAAAACTTAGGTGGTGCATCATGTGGAATGATGCTCTACGTCGCATACATGACGACCATGCGAGGGATGCAAACATCTCCATCCCCCCTAAGGCTGGGGAACTACTTTGACGGAAGGAGAGGGAGGACGAAGGGATTACTTTATTTCTTTGCGCCTTTGTTGGAGTTTAGGAGTTTTGAAACCCATTCTTTGTCACACACAAACACACATTCTTGTTTTCTCGTTGGCTTCTTTGAGTCGCTGGCTTCTCTTCTTTACAAAGTGCTGGCAAGGGGCTTTTGATAGAAAAATGTAGCATCTTGTTAAACTTGACCTAGGCAATTGGGCATGTCGACACTTTACTGAATCGATGCACCGTAACAGAACGGTTGGTATGGGCGTGATAATTATAGTAAATATGTGACACTATTGATTCACGAATTGTCAAGGCAAAAATCCATGTCCATGAAAGGAGAATGAAAGTTCAAGCATTACGAAGCGTAAACAAAAGCCACGAGGGCTAGCAGTATTCATTACACAGCCAAATCGGCACCCGTTTTCTTTTTTTCATACAAGTTCCAACACGAAAACACTGCCCAAGATACCTGAGAAAAGAACAGGAAGGAAAGAAAAAAAAAACCTGGGTAAGCAAATAAAAGGCCCTCTCGGCTTTCCCTATTCAACAAATCGGCTTCCAGCCTTTTCCACCTGGCTGCTAATTCGTTCTGCCCGTTCATCGCTTGCGCTTGTTCTTGCCGCCCTTGCCCTCATCGTCATTCAGACCACTCTCGCGGTCGCGCTTCCTGGCCTTCTTCTCCAGCTCATCCCAGTCCTCGCCCTCATCCTCACTGTCAACGTCAGCTTCCTCATCGTCATCATCGTCACTGGCGTTGCTGCCAAAGTCAGAGTCTTCTTCGCTGGACTCGGATGCCTCGTCCAGCTCATCCTCGTCCATCTCGAAGGCTGATTCTTCCTCGGACTCGTCCTCGGCGCCTGAATCATCAGAGTCGGCCTGCAGGAATGACCAGCCGCCGTCGACGAAGAACTGGTGTGTATCTTGGTTGACCGTCTTCATGATAGTCGGCCAGTTGAGGTTGAGAGGACCCTCGGTGAAGGCGATGTCTGAAGAGTCCAGCCAGTCCTTGACCTGATCGAGAAATTCGACCGGGATGGTGTTGATGTGGTATGGAGGCCGTGTAAAATCCTTGAAGACAAAAACCATATCAAAGTTCTTCAATCCAAACTGAACACGCTCCAAGTGGGCAATCTCAATATCTTCAATGGTAATGACCATGAAGGGTGGTTCCACCACCTGGATGAGGCAGTCCGTAGTGGGCTGAATGAAGACGTTGCTGCGGAATGGCACGCCGTTGAATCCCAGCTCCCGGATGGGCATGTCAACCTCGATGTTCTCGTTGCGACCGGCTTCGGCAATCTTCTGGGCAAAGCCCTGGAACAGTCTGTCCAGTTCAGCACGGCGGCGACGCTCTTCTTGTTCCGCCTCGAACTCGTCCTCGTCTCCATAGCGATACTTTCGTTTCCTGTTACCAGTTTCGTCGAACTGAATATCGGTAGCTTCACGGTAGAATTGCACATCCTTGGTCTTCTTCTTGTTGCCCACGATAATGGGGTCTTTGAGGTGAATGTGGATGATGACAATCAGCTCGTGCTGGCAGGGCTGGAAGAAGAGATGCTTGACGTTGGAGAAGAGAATGTCCACGCGATGCTGGGCATTGAGAGGCGACTGGTATCGGATACCGTTCTGGTGTATCTCGACCTTTCCAGGCACCCTCTTGCCCTCCATAGCTGGACGGATATACACGTTGTCCAAGACAGCGGGACGACGGTCTGAGCGCAAATGGTTAGCATCATCTGTCGTTCAGGGGCAAGAGATGTTAGACTTACTTCTGATTTCCGCCAGCTTGTCCTGCTCCACGACATCCTCCATATCCTTCTTCTCCTGCTCCTTCTTGACAACGTCGCGCTTTAGGTTTGAGATTTGAGTTGCTATCTCACTGTATCTGTCTCCATCGAGCGATCGGAATGTCAAGCTGCGGACGAAGTGAGCAGACGCATCCTCAAACGGCTGATCATCCTTCCTGCCGACACCTTGACCGGGGGACAAAAAGTTGATTCGCAAAAAGGCGAATTCCCCCTCATCACTCTTACTGGCGTTCTTGATGGTGTTGATGTGGAAGGGAACGGGCCGACCCATGATGGGAAGAACAACAGTGTTGTTCTTTGAGTCGACGACAATCTCCAGGTTCTTGATCTTTGGTGGGAACTGGTTGTCTCGCTTGTACGACTCGAAGCGCTTGAACTTCTTGACCTCCCCGCCGTTTTGGCCGCCTGTTGACTCTGCGAATCGGGCCAAGCCCTCCTTTTGCTTTTTGGCGGCCAACTCCTTTTGATGCTCGCGACGCTTCTTGTCCGCGTCCTCATCCGTTGTTGCTGTGCGCTCGGAGCGAAGGCGGGTGCTGGTAATGTTCTTAGTTGCGACCGCACCGACCCTCGAATCCTTCTTCTCCTTCTTGGGCGTGGGCTGCGCCTCCTCATCGTCCTTGAAGAAGAATGAGTTGGCGTCGGCGCTTGTCGGCGCCTCAGCAGTAAAGACCACTGGCTCTGCCGAAGTTACTCGGATAGTATCGGTGAGAACGAGTGAGTAGATCTTGCTGTTCTTGTCTTGAGGCTGGGGATTCTCGATATCCTGGAACCCAGTATTGATGATCAAGGTCATTCCGTCCTTGAGAACTCGCTGGTTCTTGGCGTTCAACACAAGGGTAGGGTCCTTGTTCTCGAGACCAACGCCCCAGCCAACGTTCTTCAAGAAGTGCTTTTCCATTTCGGGCTTCTTGCTCTTGATGACGGCCAGGGCCTTTGCATAGACATCCTTTGCCGCCATACCATCGCGGATTTCCTTGATGATGGTGTTGTGTACCATGTAAAGGAGCTTGTAGTTGCTCTCCTGCGACTTGTTGGGATCGACCAGGTACGTTCGTGCAATGGACGAGCAGTAGGACTTGTATCGCAGGCCGAGGGCGGCGATGATGATGCCGGCGTGCAAGAAGTCGTCGTTCGGCTCGGCGGCGAAGCGCAGATCGTATTTTCCGCCACTCTGGATGGAGGGCCCCAGGACCCAATCGAGCTGGGAGGGGTCGAGATCCGGAGGCAGCTTGCCCTTGCTGGGCAGCTCGACGGTCTTCCAGAACTTTGCATCGTCAAGCTTCTTATCGACCTTGTCGGCCAACACCGAGTGCTTGACCTTTTTCTCAGCGTCGAGGATGTTGGACATTTCGTCGAGGAAGTAGGGCGTCATGAGGGCCACGCAAGCTTTGGAAGCGGTTCGCATCGCACGCAGTTCGCTTTCGTCCTTGATGGAGAAGGCGTGAGTGGACAGGGCGGTGGAGATATCGACCTCCTCGATGTCCTTGCAGCGCTCGGAATACACCTTCTTCCACTCGTCGACGAAGGGGCCCTTGGACGTATCCTTGGTGATGACGCCAACTTTCTTCTGTGATGGGATCGGGTCAGCTTTGTGAGCGCAAACGGATAGGCGTCGATGGCGGCTTTACCCCCGCTTCCTTGATCTTATCTGTGACGGCGACAAAGAGCGCTTCGTTCTCGGCGGCATCCTTGCCTCTGACGAGTACTTCGATGGGAAATCGGCCGCCCTTAAGTTGCTCGAGATGTTTTGCTGCAGCGTCAGGTTAGCCTTGGGGTCGGTTCAGCAGCAGCTCGGCCTGGCAGGCGGTTGGACAAACCCTTCTTTGCCGTGGTGAGGATGTAGAGAGCGTCGAGGGTGAGGAGCATGAGTGTCGTCGGAAACTCGTAGCCCAGAAGCCAGAACTGAAGACAATGTTAGCTCTTGCAGGTAAATGACAGCCGGCGCGCAAGTCGGCTCTTACATGCATAGCGTTGTTCTTGTGGAATTCGGGCACTTCCTCGACCTTGCCCATCATGATGACGAGGGACGAGGCGCCGCCAAACAGGCCATCCTTGGATCGGAGGTCATTCTTCCAGGCGGTGACGAGGTGCGAGAGGCGCTCCTGGAAGAGCTTGCTGTCGATCTTGATCTCCGCCATTGTGGTTAATGGATGAACATTTGGCGGGAGAAGAAGAAGAAGAAGAAGAAGAAGCCGGCGAAGTGCAGAGTGAGGGTGACGCGAAAAGTTGCTGTGTCGCGTAGAGTACCAAAGTACCAACTGAGGTGCAGGCACCTTAGCTGCTTAGGTAAGAAGAGCACGTGATGGCTGCGTGATGTCTGAGGCACCTTAGGTACGGTACCTAATACTAAGCAAGTACGCAATCCTCCAGACAAAGCCCCCAACCTCTACCTCCTTGTTGCCTCTTCGGTTTGACATGATAGCTAGGTATGGAGGGCACTTTGCAAGCCAATGGAGAAGCTCGGCAGTTCTCCAGAATCTTGCCTGCATGCAGGTGCCTGGTGCTCTGTGATGCAGCTGGATTTCCGTCACTTGGAGGCACTGCGATTGGGTACGTACGAGTACCTCTCCGTAAGTGTTGGAGAGATCAAGCTGCCAATGAGGTTCTATTTCTCGACCTCACTTTTCAGCCGTTGACCAAGGCACAAAGTTTCACATTGTCTTCCTTTCCCCTCTACAGTACTGGATGGCTACTACCTCAAGGTAGTACTTCCTCCTTGACTAGAGTCGATTTCCCGTAACGGGCTGTACGACCATACGGAAGAAAAGGGACTGGTAGAAAGTTGTTGCATGTGAGATGAGGCTCTGCGACAAGGACCTAGTGGGTGTGATGCTTAGTACCAACCACCAGTAGCAGGGATGCTACATGTACTACTCCGTACTAGGTAGCCAATGGTTCATGCATCTGGCATGACAAAAGGCCATGAAGGAGTATATGAATTGTTTGTGATTTAATATCTCGCACACTCCTCATATATACCCAGCGACTCGCAAGAGCTAATCTGTATCATCATAGCCAAGCGAGGCAGCCATCCTACCATACCATACCCAAGCTGGTGCTGAACTCCTTTCACCCTTTCGCCATGTCCATAGCAGCGTCTACTTACCTATCTACCTTCTTCCATCTGTACGCTACCGCCCCAGTCTGGCTACGAGCCGCAACGGTGAGACCAGTGATCTCTAGTGAGCACAAACACTTGAAGCCGTTGAAACGACCCCTCACAGGACATGGACCAAAAGCTACCTAGTCTGGGGTCTCGCTCAGATCCCTGATGCGGCTCAAAATGTTGGTGCTCTTGGAGCCTCATGTCTGGTCGGGTGCCTTTAGTCCACGCTAGGTAGAATTTCAGCCTCCTTCTCCCTTATCCCGTTATACTTATACGTAACGTGAAGCCTCCCCCCCCTTACCTCCGAACGTGTCATATCGGTTGTCCACAGCAGCCTGAGCTCACCGAATCTTACTCTATTCAGCAACACTTCTCCGATGCCAATGCGAATAGAGTCATGCCACGGGCCTGGATGTAAACGTGGTGGTCTCACGGGAGATTCTAAGCGCTTCAGTGCTGAGACTCACGGACTCGTCGATTCGAGCCAAGCAAGCAAGCAAGCGCGGCTGCTCACCGACAGCATCATCCTTGGTCCAGCGGCCTGTTCCCGAGCTTTTCCGGGTATGACATGACCGGGGTGCTACAGAAAGAGGATACAGGAAAGAGGGGACAGAGAGATATAGGCCCAGTCTTTCCTTGTGTATGTATGCAGTGCTGGACCGTTCCATTGCTACTGCTATACCTGGCTCTGTACTGAGTCAGAAAAAGCCTCTCGCGAGCCTCCCAATTGCCAAGTCTCTCTTCCCCTTGTCACCAATCTCGATCTGTTCCTCTCCTCCTCTGTGGTTCATCTACTCTAAGATCTACGGTCATGAGCCTCTGTCGGATGCCTTCCGAGATCCTTCGGCTCATAGCAGTGAGCCTCGATCCAGATGATCTCTTCAATCTAGCATTGACCAGTCGCCACTTCGAGCACGTTATCCGTGACGGGGTCATTTGCCGAAGCGTCCTAGAGGTTTGTCAATTCGACCTCTTGTCGTCTTCCTTGCTGTCGATCCACGCTCGCTATACGTGCTGACTGCAGACCGCAAAGAATGCCAGATATTCCCCAGAATATAGGCCTTTCAAGGACACAGAGGCCAAAGATGACGCCAAACGAACGAAAGAGTATGCCAGAGCTCTGAGAACACTCGTCAAAAGGCGCAGAGCCGTTCAGATGGCGAGGCCTTTTCACGTCCTGGAAATCTCCAGAGAAGCCGTTCACTTTATATATGCAAATGGCGCCGTGTGCTATACTACGAAGCGAACCTCACCTGTCCATCAACACCACCTGCGAATACTGAATCTGAAGGGCCCTTCTGCCAGAGAAGTGAGCATAGACGTTCTTAAGCTGATAGAGGCATCCGCCGTATCAGATTTTGAAGAAAGCCGGCCGTACCACTTCAGACCGCTTTATTATGCGCACGGCATAATTTCATGTTTTTTCGACCAGAGAAAATCTCCCGGTACTGGTCGCTGGCTCATCATATATAGCCTGAAAGATAACAGGATTCTAAGCTCCTACCATCTGCGCTCGAGTTCGAATATCTTTGTTCGCAACAACGAGACATATCTCTATTATGGCTCAAGGTCCGAACTGGTGGAGGGAAAGCGACGATGGTCAATTCGTAGGTTCGACCTGCAAAAGTCAAGCTGGTTACCTCGAAAATCCATCCTTCGGGATTTGGTTGGCTCTGATATCGGATCGACTATATGTTTCGAGCTCTTTGGCGACCACCTGTATGGCGTTTCGAGCCAGGAAGCGACCGAAATGGAAGATGTCGAATGGGGCTCGCCGAAAAGCCCGCCCAACTCGTTCTATTACGCCTTCCAGCTCACTCTGGGAGATCATCCCACTATCAAGGACTTGCCGAGATGTGCTCTGTGGAGGCGAGGAGCCACAGACGGTCCAATCGACGACCGTTGGAACCAACTTCAGCTCGGACAAGACGAGAAAACCGGCCAATTGTCCATATTCGAAACCCGAAAGGAGTGGCTCACGTCATGGAGCCGACGATCCTGTTACCGAAAGCAGCTCTTCTGGCCCTCTTCTCTCGAGAACACCGACGAGCATCCCGAGGGCAAGTCCTACAACGGTTGGAACATTACGCCCCCAAAGGAGATGGAGTTGGGGAACAGTGTCCACCGAGGTGATAACGGCTTCTGCGCTTCAACGTTTGACTTCCGCAACTCTCCGGTCCGTTCTTACAACCCAAGCTGCCAGGCCTTTGTGGACATTGTAAGCACAACCACGGCCTCGAGCCCGACAGCCAAGCGGTTGCGGTTGCGGGTCAGAAGCCGACCGCACGAGTCGTGCCCAACTCTGGATTCATCATGCCAGTCTGCATCATCACCGAACGGAGTGGCCGATGCTGTCAAGGACCCGGAAGAACAACACGTCAGACTCTGGCCGGTGGACCACATGCAACAAGACGGGCATCGAAGCACATCCCGAGAGCAGCTTTGGAACCAATATGTCGACGAGCTTCTGAATCCCAAGGCGTACTTTGACGACATCGACTCGGCAATGGATGAGAGTGTCATTGTTTACTCTCCCAAGTCTCTCTACCCTCCCGATGAGCCACGATCTATTGTTCTCGTTTCCTTTGATCCAAGCCTCCATTTCGAGGGGCTGTGCCATGCAAGCTCGACACCGCCACCTTCAATGTACGACCAGCTGAACAAAGCGAGCTCACCTGAGAGTGGATGTGACTTTACGAGGATACGTGGTCTGGACCTGTCTCGCCTCCCAAAGACAAGCGAAGAGATGACCCATACGTCCTCCACCACATCACCGAATTAGGTGGATTCGCTCTCGGGGACAAGCCGATTCCGAGTCTTCATACCGATCGACGTGGCTCGATATGAATACAGATGGAGTTTCGACAGCCTAAAGTGAGCTATCACTATGTAGGGCACACGAGACTTGGCAACAAGACTTTATCCTGGGTCCTACCGCTTCATCAGCAAAGCTCAGCCGTGGAGACTTGAAAACCCAACGCGAGGAGACATAGCTCTCCTTGCGGGAGTTGGAGTGCATTAGTTGACGACTTGTTCGCTCAAATACTCACTCTCGGCATCATGTCAGGGTGATTTTTGATCTGGTGTTTACAGAGAGAGGCCCGATACATGCCGAGATTCGACACCGAAGCATCGTCATGCCCCTAAACATTGGCGGGTTTTCTACGACTAAACAGGCACGGCTTCAGCAAATAAGATGGAGGAGCACCAACATGGACGTTGTCACTGATACGACGGCGCTGATTGGCTGTATTCAGCTCTATGTATGCCTTGCCAGCTGCGTGTACCTTGCCTTGGCTAAGACAAAGGCGGTTGAAATCTGCATTGCTGCGTCTACACCTACCAAGCGAGTCCTCCGCCTCAATTGACCACGAATCTACTAATACCCACTACGGTCCTTTACTCTTTTTCATATGTCAGGAAACTCACGACGAGAGCCCTCTCAAGTTTCATTTGTCGCAGATGCATTGGCTTGAGCTGGCAGAATATCAGGAGATGTCGGGGGAAACAGTTGATTATATACATATGTATACATGCGTGTATGCCGCACATTGGGCTCGAAACGTGGCTAAGTCGATGTGATCATGCGGCATATAATATGTACATAGATTGACAAGTTCTCTACTGCAACAGAGAGAGATGATATATCACCGAAAACTCGTGTCTTTTAATTTATTTTGCTTTTTCAAAGCTCTCTTGCGTAGGTTTTCAAGCCAGTCTCGACAATTGTCAGACTTTAATTGGACGTCCACCCCGAGTTGCCGCTTCAAACCGCTGTGCATCAAGCTGCAGACAGGTCGTGTAACTCTTTACAACACGCGCTCTGTTTACCCGCGACAATTCATTTAATTTTATATTAACTCAACTGCTGTGATGCAAAGTGACGTGCTCATTTCCTCGTGATCAAAACATTGCACAAAGTTCCAGGCCCTGACAGACATGAAGTCATCGTCACAAAACCCGAGCTTCACCCCCTTCTCGAGAATCTGACCACCCAGAAGGGTTGTTACACAACGGGAAGGCCGAGCATGCATGCATCATACTGATAGGCTCGAGAATGGAAGAAGAAGAAGAACAAAATTAGGTCTTTTTCCCGCTTTGTGAATCCTGATTATCAAAAGTACACTATGTACACATAAAAGGGCTAGTAACCTGTTGGTGATTGATTGATTGATGTAATTTCCCCCGGCATGCTCTAAGGTGAGTAAAAAGTTGGAGGGAGGAAGACAAAAAGAAAAGGAAATATAAAGGATAGGGAAGAGAACCGTAGGCCAAACTCCTTTCTCCTTTCTCCTTGTTCTTGTCCTTGCTCCTTATCCTTCTCCTTTCTGCGACTATCTTCCTCTTCGCCCGTCGTCTTACATTTGCACCTTTCTGACACTCCTTGCCTTTCTTCGATCCGATGATGCGTGGTGTTACGGCATCATGTTGCCTTGAACTCCCGTTGCCAACTCGCCATGTCGTTTCGTGGTCTAATTCAACTTGACATAGTTTCCTGCAGCAGCGTTAGTATTCCAAAGGTATTCGGGAGAAAATCGCAACATAGTAGGGAAACAGGCATACCTGGAAACTGTCCCGTCTTCCCATTCACCTTGCCCGTCCACCACTCATTCTCGTTCTGCGTCCTCTGTATAATCTCAATGACGTCTCCCGCCCGGAAACTCAAGTCGCCCTCTGCCTGCGCCGCGTAGTCGTACAGTGCCGTCACCGTCTCGGGCGGCGGAGCGCCGCTCAGGCGGCTCGGCTTCGGCTTCGGCGGCGGCGGGGGCTTGGCCTTGCCGGCGACCAGCGTCGAGAGGGCGCCGGCGCCGGGTTTCGTCGCAGCGCTGTACGGCGGGGGCGCGGACGCTTCGCCCGTGTCTGCGTGCTGCTCCGTCTGGAAGCTGCCGAGCTTGGGGCTCGTCTTCTCTGATGTCGCGGAGCCCGCGGTGAGCAGTCCCTGGGGCTTGCTGGATTCGAGGGCAGGGCGACCGAGGGCCTTGGGGGGTGGCCGCCGCTGTCCGGTGGTCTTGAACCGCACAATGGAGAGAGCCTCGGCGCGCTCCTGGATGTCGCCCCGCTTCTCGATAAAGGCCTCCTCAATGTCCTTGGTCAGGTCAAAGTATCCGATATCGCACCGCTGCATCCGCTCGTGTAATGTGTAGAAGATGTTGAGCTGCATGTAGTAGAAGGACTGGAAGAGCGGCTTGATGAACTCCTGCTCCAGCTGGAAGAGCTTGGGGAGCTCCTCCTTCAGTAGGTTGTTGTAGTATTCAAAATCCTGCGTGGCCTGCTCGCAGTCGCCCTCGGCCTTCCACATTGCCTTTTCGTCCTTGGCGGAGCGGTCCTTCTTGTCCTGCAGCTTCTTGAGAGTGGTGCGATGCCGGTCGTAGTCGAGCTGCTTGTGGTCTCGCTTGACTGCCGTCTTCCGGATGACCTTGATGACGTCGAGCAGCTCGTTGGCCGGGCGAATAACCCTGGTCTCGATCGTCTCCAGCTCGGGCGCGAGGGTCTCCTGCAGCTCCTGGACAACGGCCTCGTACTCTTCGCAGGCACGGATGCCTTCCGGGTTCCCCTCGGGCTTTATGGAGTCGGGATCGGACACGCGGCCCGAGATGGGCTTGTAGATCTCCGTCATTGCTTTGCTGAAGTCGATCTGGTGCTGGAGCATGCCATTGATGGCCTCGAAGTATTTCTTGGACTCATCGTGGAGCTTCTTGGTCTCCTTTTCCAGCTCCTGGAAGCGTCGCTCGGCGTCGATGTATACGGCGTCCTTGGTGTGCTCGCCGATGTTGAACTTTGATTTGAATTGTTGCGGTGCCTAGAATCATGCGGGCACGGCGTTCAGCTGCTCTGGCCGTGCTTCTCTTCTGCATGTGTTTTTTTTTTCTCTCTCTCTCTTGCTGCGGGCAAGTTGGGTGAGGGGCAAAGGGGAGATTCGAGGCGAAGGCGTCTTACCCTAACAAGGCTCTTTTGGAAGCCTTTGAAGCTCATGATGGCGGGCAAGTGGTGGAAACTGCGTGCGGGAGCGAGGCAAGAGTCGAGATCTGTGGGAGCGATGAGGAGCAAGTTGCGCGCGCAAGGCACCGGCGATCCGGGAGAGAAAGTCGCGAGCTGGACCTGATCTTGATTTCGAGGTCCGAGGGCTGAGTAGGTAGATGAAGCAAATGGGACGGTGACGACGTGGGTGGAGTGGCTGTGCCCGAGCTTTTTAGCATGTGGCGCATGTCATTTCAGAACTCCGGCACTCCGTCTTGGCTGGGTCTTGGTCTTGGCTCTTGGTCTTGGTGGAAGCCGCCGGAATTTGCCTGGGGGGGCTGGGCGTAGAACCATGTTTGTGTGTGAGATGCGCCGTCATCTGATGACGGTCCTTGCTTTTGGTTAGCGACTGCTTAGTCCTGGGAGACGTGTAATCATGGGCGTTGCAGTGACAGCTGGGCATCAGGCAGAAGTACTACCTAGGTAAGGTAGGTAGGTGAGATCGGTAGCGCACTCAACATGTCGTATTTTGTACATAGAGTTTGACTGACAGCAGTGCTGTAAGGTACCTAGCAGATGTCCTACAGGGAATGGAACAGACACCCGACAGCACAGGGCATCCACAGAGAGCAGCTCTCTACCTATCTCTTCTGGCCCACCTAGAAGATGCCCGATGATGACTACTACCTATCTAGTAGTATTGACTGCCATCACTGCTCAAACGCATTGAATACCTATTAGATGCTTGAACACGCGCTTGTAAGGCGCTCAACCGAATCACTACCAGCCATCTGACATGACGTCGTTGCCTTGCCTCGATATCCGAGTCCCCCTTTAGCCGTCATCTCCCACTGCCTCCCAGCACCCCCGCGGCCAGCAAGTGGCCAATCTCGGCCTTTGCATATCCGGGTCAGATCGATTTGCGCCCATCAGCGGCCCTGCCGGCGTTGAGCCGACGATGCCTCATATCGCGCAGCCAATCAGAGCGCACAGAGCCGCACTTATCCCCGAGCCACCGAGCCGATCATTGACAAATACCTCGAACCCCAGTACAAATTACTACAAAGCAGAAAAAAAAAATAACCCCAAACACCTCCCCCTCCAACATCTCTCCAACCTCTCGCTTTGGCTGGAGCAGTTCTGTCCCCATGTAAACTATCCATCCGCACATCAGCCATGGCTAGTATTGCATCGTCAGCGCTGAGGTCGGCGAGCCGCCTCGGCTCCAGCTCGACGCTTGCTGCCGCGCCGGTGCGCGGAATTCGGCGGGCTGCCCTGGTGGCGGCTTCACGGCGGCGATATGTGACCGAGTCCAAGAGGGACAACGCGCGCGTCGAGACGGCAATCAAGCTGGACAAGAAAGACTTTGTCAACGTCCCTCCGCAGATGGAGGTGGGCTCGTCCGACATGAAGGTCAGCCCGATGGCCGGTATGTCGTCCTCCTCAAAAGTCACCTCGACCGACTTCATTATGCCAGCAGCACGAGTGAAGAGCACACGCAGAGGCTAATGCGCGCATTGCAGAGGTTCTCAAGACCGCGGCCGTCATGGAGGAGGGCCAGAGGCCCATCTACCTCGACATGCAGGCCACCACGCCTGTTGACCCCCGTGTCCTGGACGCCATGCTGCCGTTCTACGTCGGCGAGTTCGGAAACCCCCACTCAAGAACACACGCTTACGGCTGGGAGAGCGAAAAGGCTGTCGAGGAAGCCCGGAAGCATGTGGCGGACCTGGTTGGCGCCGACCCCAAGGAAATCATCTTCACCAGCGGCGCCACGGAGAGCAACAACATGAGCATCAAGGGTGTTGCTCGATTCTTCGGCCGATCCGGCAAGAAGAAGCACATCATCACCACTCAGACCGAACACAAGTGTGTGCTGGACAGCTGCAGGCATCTGCAGGACGAGGGGTTTGAAATCACCTATCTTCCCGTCCAGAACAACGGCTTGATCAAGATGGAGGATCTTGAAGCTGCCTTCCGGCCTGAGACGGCCCTGGTCAGCATCATGACTGTGAACAACGAGATCGGAGTCATCCAGCCGATTGAGCAGATTGGCAAGCTCTGCCGTGAGAAGAAGGTCTTCTTCCACACCGATGCCGCTCAGGCTGTCGGCAAGATCCCCATTGACGTCAATGCCATGAACATTGACCTCATGTCCATTTCATCACATAAGATCTACGGCCCCAAGGGCATTGGCGCATGCTATGTCCGGAGACGCCCGAGGGTTCGATTGGACCCCCTCATCACCGGTGGTGGACAGGAGCGAGGCCTGCGAAGTGGTACCTTGGCACCACCGCTGGTCGCCGGCTTTGGTGAGGCATGCCGCGTTGCCAAGGAGGAGATGGAGGTGAGTCAACACTTTGTTTCTTTTCCTTTCTCTCTTTTAGCTGTCTGCGTTCTTTCCCCTTTCCGCATACGCGTGATGATCTGCTTCTACATGCATGGCTTTCTGAATGGCCCGTGACAAGGCCCTTCGTGTTGAGTGTAGCAAACTGTCTGATTCTTGCGGTTTCCCTTATTCACTGTCTACTCAATCTTGGTCCTGTATCATCTCATCGGCTTTTGGCACGGCTAACCGAGCATCACTGTATAGTACGACTCAAAGAGGATCAAGTTCCTGTCAGATCGACTGCTGAGTGGGCTGCTGGCTATGGAGCACACTTCCCAGAATGGCGACTCCAAGTCATTCTACCCGGGCTGTGTCAACGTCTCCTTTGCCTACGTCGAGGGTGAATCCCTCCTGATGGCTCTCAAGGACATTGCGCTGTCCTCTGGTAGCGCATGTACGTCAGCCTCGCTTGAGCCCAGCTACGTGCTCCGAGCGCTTGGAAACAGCGACGAGAACGCGCACAGCAGCATCCGGTTCGGCATTGGCCGCTTTACCACAGAGGCCGAGATCGACTACGTCCTGAAGGCGGTTAGGGAGCGTGTCACGTTCTTGCGCGAGCTGAGCCCGCTGTGGGAGCTTGTGCAAGAGGGCATCGACCTGAACACGATCCAGTGGAGCCAGCACTGAGGATCGTCCCGAGATTGACATGACGACATTTGGGTGTTTTGGGGGCGGGAGGCTACCCGTCTGCTGGGTCTGGGTATGGGTTTTAAGCGGAATCTTGATGGGAACGTGGCCAAGGCGCCGGATATTGCGCCAGCACAGGCCACGCTGTAAGAGCACACAATGTATGTAGTGTATGATACCTGAACATCGCTCACTTAATTACGAGCACGAAATAATGACAATTCTCAACAAAGATGAATACTACGTTTCTCTTGGGCTTACGACTTTGCAGCATGAACCGGAGGGGGAACATTCGAGATGCTTCTGACAGGATGATCCTCTTGCCGTCCAACTGTCACTGTGATACACCCCAATTCTGGCAATTGACGTTGTTTCAAAAGCATCTCCGGCAGCCCAATAGCCGATTGATCGGAGAATGGCATCAGACATGTCAAACATTTGCTGATCCATCCAGCCGGGACCTGTTTGCCTTTGAGGTACATGCAATCCGTACCGTCCAAGCTCTCAGTGGTGGCCGTCACTGACGCCTTGGTGACGTCACCACGGCCACCTCCTGCGCCACAGTCTGGTCAAGACCTGCCAAGCAGCTTCACAAGCTCAAACGGCAAACAGGCTTGCGATGACATCAGCTGTGGGCTTGATGGGTGTTGCAACAAGAAGGCATCTGGTAGATTGGTTGGAAGGAGCCATGCGTGGATGGCGGCTGCAATGATCGTCATCGGGGATCAGGATTGCGGCTTCCCGTGATGCTTGGACGTGGTATCTATTTAAGAGCTTGCTTCTGCTGCTCGGCATCATTCCCTCTTGCACATTCACATCACAACAACTACAACAAATATCAATAACAACAACCAACCTACAAAACCACCACACGCACAGCAAAAACACTTTGAAATATCTTGATTAAAATCTACTTCTCATCAAAATGTCTGACAACACCAACAACAAGCCCTCCACCCTCAGCTCCTACCTCGAGTCCGCCACCGGCGCAGTCCAGAACGCCGTCGGCAGCCTGACGGGCAATAAGAGCCACCAGGCCGAGGGCCAGGTGCGCCAGGAAAAGGCTGAGGCAGAGTACGAGGCCTCTCAGGCAGCAGCCAAGCTCCCCGGAGGCACCATCTCCAGCACGGGCACCTTCACCAGGGACGACCCCAACAGGACCCAGGGCTCGTGGAACCAGACCGTGGGTGCTGCTAAGGAGACGCTTGGTGGTCTCACCGGCAACGAGGTAAGCTTTCCTTGATGATGATGCAGTTTGCTTTGTCCATATCGTACGACTAGTCGGCTAACATGGGTGCTACAGTCTCTGAAGCAGTCTGGACGTGAGCAGAACCTCGAGGGCCAGCAGCAAGAAGCAAAGGGCCAAGTTCGCGACTTCAGTCACGGATTGAGCGACCGAGCCCAGGGCGCGGTTGGCAGTGCCGTCGCGGGCCTGGCGCGAGACAAGGAAGGCCAGGCACGCTACGAGGAGTTGCACGACAAGGGCAAGACACAGCAGCGTGGTGCTGAGGTGGATATTCAGAAGCAGGCCGAGGCCAACTACTAGAATGGACATTGGAGGATGGATTGGTGGAGAGATTCCCGATGGCGTGGAAAGATACCCCCTAGTGATGATGAAGATCGTTGCTGTGATTATTCCCTAGTTTGATCAATACCAGAATGAAAGATTTGATCCCTCAATATCTTGCTCACTTTGATTAAATCGTGTTCGCTGCTCTGCTGGCCAGGGCTAGTTCGGCATCAAAGGCAACGATGGTCTCCAAAAGTATATAATATAGGTGAGCAATGTAGCCCAATGTCGCTCCAGCAGCTGCTTTCAACATCGCAGTTGCGACTATGTAAACCATCTATAGCATATATAATCCCGTCTTGTGGCTCTTCTTCTTATACATCGATATCACGGACCAGCCACGTCAACACACACGTCGTTGTAGAGATGACCATGCCGAGGCAGAAGGGCAAGCCCAGCCACGTCCTCAGGCCAATATCAAAGAGGGGGCCGATAATCAGCTCACAAGCCAGCATCCCCAGAACCTCACCAGCGGCAATGACGCCAAAGACGGAGCCCGTTCTCTGTTCCCCGACAGAAGCGATGAGCAGAGTACGGCACAGCGTGGGGACACCCGATCCGAGCGCCGAAACGGCGACGCCGAGAATGACGAGGCTGACCCTGCCGCCGACGACGAGGAAGAGCGATCCGAGGACGAAGAGGACGACGCTGGCACGGGCGAGAATCCTGTCGCGCTGGAGAGGCGAGGAGGAGGAGGATGAGGACGATGAGCTGCGGCGGTAGAGCAGGTACGAGGTCGCGGGGAGGATGAGGAGCAGGGTGAGGAGGGTGACGGCGGCGTTTAGGGAGAAGAGGAGGGAGGCGCGGGAGAGGGGCCAGTTGAACTGGATGGGCATGATGCGCATGACGATGCCGTACTGGGAGGTTACGGCTGGCATGGCGAGGATGGAGCCGGGCAGGAGGTAGATTGCGGGACGGCGGAAGATGGTTGCGAGGGCGGATTTTGTGGGTGATTGGGAGGAGGAATTTTCGGGGGTTTCTGTGATATTGTCGATGGTGTTTGTGGTTTTGTTGGTGTTGTTGTTTGTGGTGATGTTGTTGTCGTTGTTGTTGTTGCTGCTGTTGCTCATAATGGGAGTGTCTTCGCCGACGAGGACGGGAGAGTTGCGTGCTGGGAGGGTTTCCGGCATGAAGAGAACGAGGACCAGGCCGCCTGCTGCAATGAGGCCGAGCTCGAGGAGGAGAGGGCACCAGATGGAGATTTCGGTGAGACGGTTTGCGATGAGGGGGCCGAAGAGTTCGGAGGAGAGGACGGCGGCGACGACCCATTGGAAGCACGTTGCCCTTCAGTACACACTCAAAAGTGTCAGCATGAACATCCTTAGGGGGAAAAAAAGGGGGGGGGGGGGGGGGGGGGGGAAGCGATTCACAAAGGGGGGTTTTTCCTTGAGTGTTGGGAGATGAGGAAAAACTTCATGTTCTTACCGCTTCGACTCGGGAATCACGTCCGCGATGCTGGTAAAGACCATGGCTTCGGCAACGCCCCTTCCGCCGCCGAGGAGCATGATTGCGCCGGAGCCCCAGATTGCTCGGAGGGGGACGTGGTGCCATTTCCAGCATATGAGGAGGTCGCATGCCTCGGAGAGGAAGAGGCTGATGATGCTGAGGGCGAGGACCGGGACGCGGCCGACTTTGTCGGAGAGCATGCCCAGGGGGAGAGCCACGAGGGCACCTATTTGCATTTCGAGTTAGCAAGCTATTTATCCCCTTTGACTTGTAGTTTTGTGGCTTGGGTGTGTTGGGAGTCTGTTGGTAAGATGGACGACGTACTTCCTATTGTAGAAGACACAGAAGATCCAACGTCCACGATGTTGAGCTCTCTCTGCACGGCTCGATCATGGCACTCCAGCTCGGGGAGCAGCTCGTCTGATGACAGGCCGAGGTGGTGCTTGCAAATGATGTCCTGCCAGAGCTTCATGTACGGATAGTCGCTTATCGAGAGGCCGAGGTTGATGACGAAGAGGTTCACGACGAGCAGGGGGAGGAGCCATGTTGTTGGGACGGTGGGACGGCGGAATTTCAGGGCCATGGTTGCTTTTTCTTTTCGTCTTCTTTGTCTCTCTTCTCTCTTTTTGTGATATGCTGTAGCTTGGAGTTTTTGGAGAGATGGTGAGGGATTGCGTGTGGATGCGTGTGAGTGAGTTGTTGGGATGGTTGATAAGGGGGTTGTCCTTCCTGGGTTGATTTATACGGCGTCGGTTTTCGTATGTCTGCTACTGGCAAACTCGACCTTGACACCGAGTACGCAGAAGAAGAGGAATAAGAAAAGAAGAAGCAATTCAATAACAGAAAACCATATTGATCAAAATCACCAGAAGAGGCGACTGACTCCTTTTGAACAATTTTCACTTTGCCATCCCACGCCTCAGATCAGGAACAATGGGAAAATAGAAGGGCAAGACAATAGCGTCAGCCCATTCAAACAGGGCGTTTGGCTTTCCTCTAACCCCCCCCTTGTCCACGATAACCACGTATATCCGCCGCCCAAGAACATAATTGAAAAAATTCCCCAAGCAAACATCTTGTCACCCCTTTCCAATCTTTTGTCGAAAGACTGTTGTTCTGGTCGTGTTCTTTTTGGGGCGCTGAAACGCGTCGCATGGGTTCTTTTCAGCTTCGGATGGTGTTGGCGCCGAGGCCCATGTTCGTTGGACGACTTTTAATGCGGCTTCCCGCTTCTATCGATTCTTTTGCACGGACGGAAAAATCCGTGTAGAATGTTTTGTAATGGTCTGAGAAGAATTGCTAGGTGTTATTTTTCAGGACCACGATGAGATTTGTTTGCGTGGTGGTTATTGACGTCTATTGAATACCTTGTTGTTATTGATGCAGTGTAATCCTTCTCGTGTCAAGTTCAGCTGATGATGGCCCTCGCTTGTGGCATGAGATGAGCCCTATTGCGACGGTTGACTTGACGAGGCTCCTAATTCACATGTTGGCCGGTTTTCAAGAAGTCCCATCTGCCTGCTTCCATATCCTCAAACAGCATCATCTGCTCTACAGTTCACTCTACAATTCGCTCACTATAGGGGGATGTCAAACAAGGCATGTAGATATCCAGAGTCTCCTTCTTCCAGTAAAAGTACCTATCAGAAGCGGACACATATGACTATAATGTCGAGACCAAGCACCAAGTGCACGAATTGATACGCCTCACGTGGAATCCTTGTAGTATAGGCGTATACAGTCGTGAAATAAACCGCCATCTGGAGCTGGCAGTCTGCCCTGTCGGATCCAGAGCCCACAAACCTGTATGTGACTTACACCCATCACCTCCTCCGTAGCTGTTACACCGCTGGCAATCCTTCGGAACAAGACATCTGAGAAAGTCCGGTCAATGTAGGTGCAGCAACTCGGTCTCCAGCATATGCAGGCCACTGAATTCGATGAATAGCGACGGCGCGGGCATCGGGCTTCGCCGAGCCGACTCCAGCATGTTTGAAGTATGCCTTCTTGGGTTGACGGGAAGCCACCTTTGTGTCACGCTCCTCCACTCACCCTCACTATTTGCGCAAGTCAGAAGAGCAAAGGATGCCGATGCGGAATTCTCGGGGTGGCAGATCCATCTGGAATCCTCTGTCGGCCTTGAACAGCCCCTTCTGGGGCGGGAGCACAAAGAGTGAGAGAGATCCTCTATTACATACTTGGAATGAATGAGGCTGGCCATGGCCAGGTGATGTATCTGCCATGCAAGCACGCAGCGATGCCTCCAATATTCACTCTTCACGGCCTCTGACGCGTAAACCACACGTGGTAGTACCCCGACTTGCATCTTCAAGTAGTAATTGCGCACTTGTTGGTAGCGCAGTCGCTGCATGCATCCCTTGCATAGGTACTCGAGGATAGTAGTGTTGGTTGGATACACCAGACATCTTGGCATCTTCAACTGCCACTGTCCCTCCCCATGCTGGTGTGGCAGCCAACAACATGTATATCCTTTCAACTGAGAAGAATGGCAGTTGTGACACAGGCTTCCTCGTGATACAAGAGCGGCTGCCCCGAATGGGGTTGCAGGCCGGCTGGCCGCTTCATGGCGGCTTGGACTTACCTGGCCAACGTCTGATGCAGTTGACAGCCCAGGCTTGCTATTGGCAGGCAACAGCCCGAGCTTTCATGCGGTTGTAGAAGTGGACGTCGTGCTGCTTGTACGCGTTTGCTGCAGTCAGCATCCATCTTCGGGCAGGTCAAGACTCGCATGCATGAATATGCACCCGCTGCTGCACTCCCTGGCACGCAGATCACCGGGTGCTGGCCTATTCTGTCTGTTGTAAGCAAACATGCCTCGGCAGTTCTTTCGACCTACTACCTACATACCTGCTAAGTAGGTAGTAGTAGGTAGGATTCGTACTCGTATGCAGCTGCTGCGTCACCTTATCGGCGTCGAGACATGCAGAGGCCCAAATCTTATGGATGTAGGGCGGCGGCCTATACAGACAGGGATCAAGCAACTGAGATACTCGTAAGCGATCGGCGGACAGGACAGCCCTGACAAGTCCTTCCTGGGCTTACGTGACTAACTGAGATCTGCACAGGCTCACGGGACAGGAATTGCTCATATGGGCTTCTAGGAGATACTTGTTTGCCCAGCTGCTGGTCCTTCAGTCCAAACCGTACAGGCGGGCAGCATAGAAAGACGAGGTGGGAGATGGGTCCTAGCGTCGAGGCGAGCTCGCCGACAGCGTCGAAACGAAACGGCCTTGGCAACTCACTCTCGACTCTTAATCGAGTCCGGCTCGTCTCGTAGACGGACTTTGTTGATTGGCTCAGCACCATCAAAGACCAGAAAACGCCACGATGTCCGGCCCTGTTGGCCATCCTGGCTCGGGGCTTGGAGTGATTCTGTCGGGCATGGGGCTGACCAATGCTCCTGGGCTCGTGGATGACGGGGCACAAAATCGAATGCTCCGCAGCAGACCATATGCCGTGCCTCGCGATCAGCCAAATAGTGTAAGCCTTTGGAGTGTAGAACAGCCGCAACTGCTCTCGAATATTGCATACGAAGTGCGAGGCAGACGAGGGGACATTAGTCGGGTCTATGAGAGGATCTGTGAGTCTCGCCCCCACAGGATTGCGGTCTGGCAAACCAAAATGCTGCTGCTGGTGTTGGCCCGAACAACTCGGCCTCGTCATGGTGGCTGAGAGCTGAGATTAGCCCATGAATTGGCGCTGCGGCGACAGCTCTTGGGAGCAAAGGTAGCGAGCGGGTGGCGGCTGGTCAGTGCGGCAGCATGTTGGAGAGAACTCAGAACGTGTACGATCCCGACGCCCATCTCGTATGAGTGTGGATTATGGCGAGATCGTAACTGCTTGCCGTTTGATCAAGCATCGAAGCAGTCGTACACGGGAGGCCAGTCGTGAGGCTGCAGATTCTCTGCACGTTATCAAGGCAGATGGGAACACCCTATTTGAGAGATTAGCTGTTGGCGTCTAGTCAAGTTGTGCGGGCATCTCTGTTGCGTGGAGCGAGCAATCAGGGCCGAATGTGCGACTGACTAGCCGGCGAGGCTAGCAGATGAAGCAGCGCATCGTATCTCGTGTCCTGTCGCCCTGTCCTCAGTGACGAGAGGCTAGCGAGATAGCAGACAAACTATCAGCCTTCATTGCGGATGTTCCCTCACTAGTAGTAGGATGGCTTTGCTCACGTCTGCGGAGTAATTCAACAGAACCCTATCCATCGCAGCGCCTCCGTAGCACCTGTAGCGTTGGATCGTGGCATGGCGACATCAGGACCACCTTGCTGATGCGGTCCGAAGACCTGCCTCCAACCATAAATCTCCGAAGACTTCCAGGTAGTGGTACCAGTGATAGGTAGGGAGCGCGGGCATGGATGGACGGGGTGGAGGCCTGTGCAATGCGAGGGAGTCGGAGGACGGTCGTCAGCCAACGCAGCGTCGTTTGCCTGTGGTTTCCGAGGCCAGGAGGAGCACCTGCAGATCCAGGTCCTTCGTATGTACGAGTACCTACAGTATGACAGGCGAGAATCTGGGCCGGGCGAGCGAGAGGTTTGTCGTCAAGCAACGGGTCTGTGCTGCTCCAACCTTCCGGGTTCCAGGCAAAGGGCACCAGCGCCAACAAAGACGCAGCCATCGTCGATGCGTGAAGTCGTCCCGCAGTCAATTTGTTGACCCGACATGAATTTGACCGGCGCCGTTGATGCGACCCCTGAAATCTTTGGTTGCTGATTCGAGCGCTGGCAGCTCCCTTTAGCGGATGTGGGACAGCGGCCAGGGGCCCCCTGAGGCCTAGAGAGGCGCTAGGGCCTCTGTGCTAGGCTCCTTCAGGCATCCGGGCCAGGCAGGTTCCAGGGGCCGTCTCGCCATGGCTGATGGGTGGAGGCGGGACTCTGCAGGATGGGGAATTGGGAAAAGATTTGGAAAGGCGGCGGGCGAGTCGGCCGCCGTTGCGGGTCAGGCACAGGTACAGGTGCTGTAAGAGATTGGGTTACAGAGATGATAAAGGGAGGATGAAAAGGTGAAGATGGAGAAAATTCGACAGTTAGAGCAGAGGAGAGGAGAGGAGAGAAGAGAAGAGATAAGACGGGTACAGGAACGATTAGTCATAGAGGGCTCAAATGGAAGTTTCTTCGGTAGGTACCTAGTAGGTATTATTATTTGCTTGCACGGAAGGCACGACGAACTGCTGATACTCGGCTCTGTGTCAGGTCCAGTTCTGTTGAGGCGATGATCGGCAGCAGCGACAATCCAGGGTACAGAGATGTATCTCTTCGTACCTGGACGCAGCACAAGCAGGACTCACTTCCTCCGAACAACAACAGGCACTGCGGTTTCTCTTAGGTACACTATGGAGTAAGACATCAAAACCATTGTGGCACGCCGATCCTCTACGGGCTTAATTTAGAAGAGCCCCGGCTCTTTTGCCTCCATCTGAATTCACCTCGAGCCGCACGCACATCAAACACTACACTCAACTGCCTTTCAACGCACGCACTGATTCAAGATACCAAAAACTACTACTATCCGCAGCTACGCCCTACTCCAGTACCTACCTAGGTATTACCTTGGTAGCAACGGCGTTAATCGTGGCACCGCCGCTAGCGAAAGGGGTCTTCATTTCAGCAACAGAACAACTGGAGACAAGAATAGTCGAACCCAAGCTACATCTTGAAACTTGCAGCTACTACTACTACTAATACTGTACCTGGGAGAAGACGCTCAGACGTCGCCTCTCACGATTCTCTTCACGATTCGAATATCTCTTCACCGTCTTCGCCAACCCACCACCGCTCAGACGGCCTTTCCTACGCCTCTCACCTCGTGTCGTATCATCGCAAATCTACCCTTAATCGTCTGTATGTATCGTATCACCACTTCGCCTCTGCTCTTTCTATCTGCACACACACACCCAAACACTTCCTCCCCGCCCTGCAGCAATGGGCATGGAACGAGCCGTGCTTCATCTTCTGCATTGACTGTCAGCGCACAGTCTCGAAATCCCCAAGCAAGTGCTGGCGATGCAGGGTTGGGAAAGACTTGCTGTGATGCCACGAGCGACTTTGACCTTCGGCATTCTACAGCTTACTATTAGCAAGCATATGTAGAGACGAGGCTGTCGTGTCGTGAGCGTCGGCTGCTACCGAGTGGTACCAGCTGTCTTCAATCTTCAAGCCTCAATCCTCTCCCTGGCCTTGACCTCCATGCCTATCTTCTAAACTGCCTTCAACACGTTCACGGTCTGGCCACAGCGCCGCTCATTTCAACTGCATCTCCCTCGCAGCGTGCAAAACTCACCGTCTTTCACCTCGTCGACCCAGCATCTGACTGCCTCTCTCACCGTGGCACATGCAGCTGCTCACCTTGTTTGTGCCTTCTTCCCAAACCACCCCGGGCTGAAACCACCTCTAGCCTCCATCTACCATTTCTCGTGTGTCTCATCATCCTGGTCCCTGGAAAGCCATGTGCTTGCGGGCCTTGTCGCCATTCCAGTCGTTCGATTGTCCCCGTTCATAGACTAACAATGACCAGGGGGCCCTTTTTAATCGACGGCATTGATTATCACCCTTTAAACGGCCCCATTGCCACGAATAGCTAGGTACTAGTAGTCGCACTACCTATTACTCTGCTCGTCGCCTATTCGCATCGCCTGCCGACGACCTGCAAAAATCCCGACACGGGTCTTCGCTTGACCTCTCTTTGCTTCTTCCTTTTCCACGCTGATCTTGTGCTGCACACAAGCCAGCCCTTCCGGGAAAGCTGATAGGCGAGAAGCAGAGGAAAGAGAAAGAGCCACATATTCTTCACCATCACATCCAACAGAGACCCGGCCTCAGCCATGACGGGCTCAGCCGTCGAATCGCGCCCGACGAGCAGCGTCAACTCGTCGCGCCAGGTGCGCTCGCAGAGCATCTCCAGCGACAGACCTGCGCGCCAATCGCGGTCACAGAGCATATCGAGCGATAGGCCATCGACCGCAAGCCACTCGTTCTTTGCGCCGCCGCTGTCTGTATCGCCAGAAGCCGCCTTCATCGCTTCTACTGCCGCTTCCCAAATTATCACCAACGACCACGATGGACAGCCAAATCCCTGGTACGACCAGCATGGCGTCGTGCCCTCCAGGGAAGCCGCTCTGATAACCCCCGCCGCCCTGCAGCTCGTCAACAGCTTCCTCGACCAGCTTCTGCTAAACTTCCTGCAAGTTGCCAGATCGACCTCGCTCTCAGCCTTGCGACCAGCCGTCTCGGACGTACTCAAGCCCAAGTTGGCCAAGGAAACCATCACGAACGCCGACGAAGAGTTGAAGGAGTACATTGGTGGCTCTGAGGATGAGGAATATACCGACCCTCAGAGTCCAAGGGGAGACTGGGATGTTGAGTTGGCCTGGAAGCGAGCCCGACTGCGTTGCATGGTCTACTCCTCCCTAGGAGACTTGGAGGAAGACGACGAAGACAAGTACATGAAGCAAGAACATCTCGAAGTGGGCGAAAATGAACAGGCCTCCGACATCATCTCGCCTGCCGTTGCCATCTTCCTCACTTCCGTCCTGGAATACATCGGCGAGCTCACGCTCACCGTTGCAGGGCAGGCGGCCAGCCAAAGAATGCGCGCCAGGTTGGAGAGGGAGCTCAAGGATGGAACGCGTAGCCCTGCTGCCCTTGTCGAAAGAGTCATCGTGGAGGATGTTGACATGGAACGGGTCGCGCTTGATCGGACTCTTGGTCGCTTATGGCGAGGATGGAAGAAGAGGCTGCGTGCGCCGGTGGCCGAGTTCGCCCCCGGCCGATCTCCCCATATTAGCCATATGATAACAGATGGCCTCGCCAACAGCCTCAACGATCGCAAGGCTCCTACCACTGAAGATGAGGCTAGCCCTGCCGAGGTGCACGAACAGCCGGAGAGTCTCGTGGCAGACGACCTTCTTCCCATGAACATTCCGCTACCTATGGGAGACAATGATATTGCCGAGATCGAGGTGCCGGGCTTGGCACACTACAGTGATGAAGAAGAGGAGGACGAGGCGGAAGAAGATGGATTTGACGCGCGCCGCGTCAAGTCATTCGCTGGATCGACCTCCTTACTCGAAGATTCTCTGGCTTCGGAGTCCGGTCACTACGCCACCTTGCTGGGCCTTCACAGGAGATCTACTTCTCTGCCGACGAGAGGGTCGGTTTTCTACGCCACGGCACGGCCGAGCTCCAAAGCTGTCGAAGCCGAAAGCGATGTCGCGCAGCCAAAGGAGGCAGAAGCAACTCCTGAGAACCCGGATAGCTCTTCCAAGCAAGGCCGTGACTCGGATGATGGCGGCTCAGACGATCTGGATGAGTTTGTATACGAAAAGGCCGAGATTCTGACTTCGTCGAGGGTGTCTGTCTCGAGCAATTCTTCTCGCTCCGTCTCAGATTCGAGTAAGGTTCTGCATCTGAGCCGGTCGTCGAGTGTACGCTCGGCGCGCCTCATCGACGTCCCACCCCGCAGTCCCGTCACTACTCGTCCACCATCGCAGGAGTTGGCCGAGCGACCGCGGGCAAAGACCGTTTCTGGCTCTAGTCCTCTGTCGCGCGCGGGAGGCGCCGACGAGCTACGGACAGCCAAGGCAATCGACACCAGCTTGCGGACGGCAGTGTCTGTGGCTGCCGCACGGTCGCCTGTAGAGAGGACAAGACCGCCGGTCCGAAACGCAGAAACCATCTCAGAGTCCGACGAAGACACTGACCAAGTGAGCACTACCCTCACACCTATTTCGTCGTCTCGAACCCGGGATCAGCTCGGCCGCCTCCCACATGGCCTGCAGACGAACATGAGGACTGCTGATCGAAGCCTGCCGGCTGTCCAAAGCGACCAGGCTCACCATGGCGCCCGCGGAGAGTCGTTGCGAGCCACCAAAAGCGCCACCGACACCCAGTTTTCGGATATTCCTTACAGGGCCGCGGCGTATCCGAGTCGACAGTCTCCCAGGCCTGCGGCTGAACAGACGGTGCTGGAGGAGAGCGAGGAAGCTGCGTCGCCGCTGAGTTCCGGCGTTCCCCCACGACCAAACCACACGTCCAACTCGTCCACATCTTCGATTCCCAGCCGATTCAGAGCGGTTAGGACCATCTCTGACGACGCCTCGAGCCGTGCAGAGAGCATGGCGCGCACATTTGAAGAGCTCATTCAAAGCAACCAAACCATTACATACACGCTGACTCCCGAGAACATGCGTGATATCGACGTATGTACCTTGTCTTCACTTTTCTTGTCCATCCTTCTTGCTAACATGCCTCCGCTAGGTTCCAACTCCACATGAGAGTCCTGTTGTGACCAAGACCACTCGGAAGAGCGAGGATCTGATGCGACCGTCACCAACGCCTTCGAATGCCTCACCCTCGAATTCACGAACGCAGCCCTCCAGCCCCAAGACTTCCACGGAGAGCAAGCCCAAGCTCTCTGGGCCGATTCCTCGGGCTCCACCGGGAGCTACCTCTCTGTCTGGCCGCATGGGCGTTTCCAAGGCTCGTGATGCTCGTGCGCCCGGCGAGTCGCTTTCGGACTTTGCCGACTTTCTCAAGTCTACAGGTCCTCCGGGCGACAGAGCGCCTGCCGCTCTGCGCAATGCCCACAATCCCGTCACCTCGACCAAGAGCTTCATGGAATCCCAGCAAACCATTTCCACAACGGCCAGTCGCAACAATAACCGAAGTCGCTACCAGCCCCGAGAGGCCGCTGCTACCAGCAGAAATGACAACTCGGACCTGATCGACTTTATCCGACAAGGCCCACCCATCCCAGGTAGCCAGAACCACATTCCCCAGCATGTGGCTCCTTTCCGCAACACGATGGAATCGGAGATGATGTCAGGTGCTGGAGGAGGCCGAGCAGTGGATGCGGTTCTGCCAGACATGCGGCATAGCCAGACTTCCACAGACAATTCGATGCCGTCAGTACACACGTCCATCAACTCCAGCTCCGCGCTTCTCAAAAACCAGGGCAGGTCAAAGATGAGCAAGATGTTTGGTGAAGAAGATGAAGATGACGATATGGTCATGCCCATGCCTGTGAGGAAAACTCGCCGTGTTCGCGATCCATATGCGATTGATTTCAGCGACGAGGACGAGGACGATGACGACTTTGACATGGCCCCCAGGCCTCCCGCCAAGAAAGAAGAGAGTCTGGCGGAGTTCCTGCTCAATTGCGAACCTCCTCCTGCGCCACCGCCGCCACCCCCGGCTTCGTCCATGATGCCAAAGAAGAAGACGAGCACGCCCAGTCTCATTGGACGCTTTACTCGCAGCGGCTCCAAGGAGACCAACACCTTGGTTGACTCTCGATCACTCAGCAGCCGCGCTGGCGCCATGGGCTTCACCAACGACGTCCGTTCGCTTAATAGCCGCGTGGGACTCGCCAGCAAGCACGTTCCGATCCAGATGCCGCCAGGGTACGACAAGTACGGACCGATCACCGCCAATCCTCCTCCCGTTAGCATGGCCTCGATGGATCGACCTCCTCCGATGAGAAAGGCTTCCATAGAGCGACCGCCTACCGTGGGCCGAGTCACAATGAAGCGATTCGAGCCCCGGGAGCCTGCGTCTCTTGGTGAGACGGCAGACCTGGCAAGATTCCTGCGCGAATCGGAGCCTCCGCCAGAATTTGTCCCTCCCAAGACTGCCAGCCAGCAAGACGAGCCCAGCGGATTCTCCAAGATGTTTGGCCGGAGAAGGAAGGCATCAGTTGCTTGATCCGGGATATCCGGACCTACTTTATGAGCTTCCTTTTTATCTTCACTGAGCATTTATTCCATGGCAGGGCATACAGAGCCTTGCGCCCTGCATTGTGCCTTTTTTGTTTCGCAATCTGCAACTCTTCGATTTTCTACTTGAGAGCATTTTCCCCATACTACCACTGCAAAGGGGTATCTATATAATGACCCAATCTAGAGAGACTGGATAGGGGCATTTGGCGGCAGCGTGCTCTTCCCATTTATCTTTTGTCACCTTATTACATCTAACATATAATTGATACCCGACATTATTCACGAGCAAGGAGGGCGGGGTGGACGTACACAAAAACGAGATATATAGGGCGGTTTTCCAAGTCTTCCAATTGTGAAAGACAGAGCATGAAAGGCCAGTTTGCTGTTATCATACCTCTCTTTTTCCTTTCTTTTTCTTGTTGATTCTCTTCTCTCGTCTCATTTTTTTTCCATCTTCTTTTTTCCAAATAATCTTCATTAGCTTCGTCGAGTTGCGTTACATAGATGAATGGAAAGCTCGTGCTGCATATTACCGTGCGTGCGTCAAGCGAAGAAGAAGAAGAAGAAGAAGCAGCGTGAGGACTCGAGTTTCCTGGGCGAGTGATCAAAGCTGCCACAGTGGTTGATGTACAAGAAGCATACATGTCACGAAGTTCTCCAGAGGTCGATACACAAGGTACATGGCACGATTCACATTGTCAGCTTTGACGACATCCATCAGTCTTTGACGACATTCATCAGCTTTGACGACGTATCTCAGTATCCATAACATGCTACAGTCCTCACGAGGGTCGGACGCTTTGAAAAGATATGAAGTGCATTAATACGTTGTAAAAGAAACCCCAAAAAAACTGCATAGAAAGCCCTTTCCCCCCCATCGCGCTGCGAAAAAAGTTGAAGCCGCGCACAAACGATATACCAGAATCCATGTTGATATGAGAAATAAAAAAGCCTCTCCCCAGCGAGGCGCGATGAAAGCCATTACCGCGTTATTCCATATATATATACGTTTGAACCGCCAGAGTCCCCCGAGCCCGGAAGCACTAGTTCATAAACAAAGAAGAGAGACCTGGAAGGGAAAAGGAAAAGAAACGGTATGAAATAAAGGCCGCGTATGAAAAGCATTGCTCGGAGAGGCATCAAAAACCCCCTAAGGACGACGCCCAATCCAAGCTCGTAAAGCAGGCAAACAAAGACGGAGCAACAAAGAGGTAGCCACCCATCTCACAGAGGCCACCCATTCTTTTCCAAAACTGATGCATCATGACTAATAGAAAGAGACGGGGAGGACAAGGAAATGATGGAAAGGGAAGAACCCTCATGAAACAATGCTGACGATAGGCCAAACGGCAACCAAAAAAGAAAAAGCAAACTCCCGGCGACAGTTGTTCCCAGTCGCTCTCACCGACCAAGAACCAGACCCTTGCGCCACGCTAAATGACACATACACACACACACACACACACACACCCTGATTATAGGAGAAAGCAGAATGGGATGGGTAGAAGAAGCCCATGAAAGCAGTCCCAAGTAAAAGAGCCAAAGGACAAGCAGAAACCAGAGAGTTGTAGGGATCGGAGAAGAGCATTTGCGGTTGCAGCTCGTCGTCTCCATGAATGGCTAGGGCCCCGGGTCGATAGACAGACCGAGTGCTTCCATTCGACGTGGTGGCCTGGCTGGCTTTGTCGAGTCTCCAGCGCATGTCCTTGTTGAAAAGACAGGACCGTGTCCTCGATCTTACGCGGGACTAGGCAATTGCCAGTCTGGTGGAAGACTTGAGCGTGACCATATTTAAATCTCCATCCGTCCTGCAATGTCCTCACTCATAAGCCTCTCTCGCCTTGGACTTATCATGTCAAAGTCATCGTCGTCGTCTTCGTCTTCCTCGTCCTCCTCATCAATGGGCTCATCCTCAGCCATGTCGTCGTCGGAGAATTGGACAATGTCACCGTCCTCGCCACGGTTCCAGTAGAGGCCGTCATCCAATTGCTCCTCGTCGTCCTCGTACGGCGGAATCAGCTCAGCGTCTTGATCGCCCAGCCAGTACTTGGCGCGCTTCTTTGCGCCGTCCGACTCGAGCGCCGTGTGTCGCTTGTGGAGGCCACCCTTGACGGGCCGCAGGTTCGGGCTCTGTGAGGAGATGACGGGAACGACGCGGACGTAGAGGTAGGCGACTCGCTTGAGCGCCCTGTTGAAGAAGAAGTAGTGCACCGCCCAGATGGCGCTTTCGTCTTCCTCAAAAGGGTCGACTTCCGGGTGGTAGCTGAAGATGGTGCACTCGTTGAGGCGCATCTCCTTGTCGATCAGAGACCAGCAATGGGGACCCCACTGGGCGTTCACGTCACTGCCCGCTGAGGAATCATACGAGGTGCCAACCTCGACTCCAGGCCGTGTGTTTTGCAGGATCGAGTCCAGGTTCGCCATGACACGCTTCAGATTGCGCTCCCGCTTGAAGTCGCCCGGCCGCAGGACGTGGGAGAAGTCGTAGTGAGGGTGGCTGGCGTTGAGCGTGGCAATCAGGTAAGCAAACGTCCGCCGGCTGGAGAGCTCGGACAGCGGGCCGAATGCGCTCGAGTGCGAGAAGAGCTGCATGCTGCGCGACGTTGCGAGCATGTGCTCGCGGTCGGGGGGTGACAGGCTGGCGCCCAGCTTGAGCAGCGCGGCATGCTGGGAGCTGAGGTCCTTGTCGATGTTCTTGTAGAGCTTCTTGTCGGAGCCGGTGGACTTGGTCGTGTACAGATCGCATCCGCCCGTAACGTTGCAGTCGGGAGTGTTGAAGTTGAGAGCGCCGGTTACGGCCTCAAACTCTTGGACTGGGAGGTACTGCGGCGGGCATGTCTCGTCAGCATCGGGGTTGTCTCAGGTCCGGGGCTGAGCTGCGTGCGTCGGGATATGCCGCTCACCTTCATGTTGGCTGACAGATGCGGCTGTGATTCTTTGCATTAATAGTTAATAGATGACGGGGAAAGAGATGGTATCGAGAGATGATGTGCGCCGGATAAATGTCAAGAGCGTCGAAACTGGTTCTCTTTGAAGGATGGGCGGTGAATGCGACGGGATGATGTATGAGGCTGGAAGAGGAGGATCGAAGGCGTCTCGGAGCGGGTGCGATCAAGAGTGAATCATGCAGTGTCGCTTCGGTCAGGTGGTCGTCCTGCGCGCAAAGAGAACCCCAAAGAACGACGTCGGGCCGCGATGGGATTGTTGATTGTCGGGGTCTCTCTGTCGAGGAGAGCTGCGTGGTCGCGGATCCGCACGTCGATCAGGTCGAGACAGGGGGGGGGGAAGCGGTGATGCGATACGAAGGCGACACAGAGCCTCTTTTCGATTGCTGTCGAAGGAAGAAGAGTCGAAGGCGTCGGGAAGTGGCTTTGATGATAATTGTACCGCAAGGGGGAGGATAGTGAAAGGAGAAGGAGGGAGGAGGGGGGTTGAGGGATTGGCGATGATGCGGCGAGGCTCGCAAGTCCGAAGTCTAATAAGAGTGTCGAGGATCGATAGGCGCTGATTGCCGGTTGTCGACGCTAGAGAGCAGCTGATTCGGCTGGGTGAAGGCCGGAGAGATTCTGTTTGGAGAAGAAGCCTGGAAAGAAGGGGGGAGCGATTTGGAAACAGGAATCAGGAATCAGGAGAAGAGCGTGAGATGGGCTGCAGTTCGTCTGGTTAGTTAGTGCATGGATGGGAGGCCAGGAGCCGGATCGGGGGGGTTTGACACGCATTCATTCATCAGGCGGTTCAATGGCAGTGACATCAACTGGGCCCCGAATCGGCAGATGGTGGGGGCTGCTGCTGCTGCTGCGGGCGGTGGGGAGTTGAGGGGATGCGATCGCTGGAGACACGCTGTAGCTTCGGGGAGCGATAGGGGAGCTGGGGCGCTGGAGCAGCGTTGTTGCACCACCAGACCTGTCCATGATAGCCGGGCATTGGATCACCTAATGACGGGAGGGGTTGGAAGCGGGCATCAACCACCCGACTTCGATAACCGGACGGGACTCAATTCCCTCCAGTGTCGAACAAGAGGTGTTCTTTTGCTGATTGGGCTCAAGGCCTAGACAGAAGCCGGACTGCGCCGTCACGGCCATCGCCATTCCGTGCATCGCCCACGTTTTCGCAGTCGGTCGGGGGGCTTGCATGCTTCAAAGGTCCATGGCGGTGCGGGTGCGTCGCCTCTCCTGAATGCCCCGAACTCGCTCGGCGCGTCGGCTGCGTCCGGCAACGGCTGTGTGTGGACTGCAGTCAGACGAGAGCGGGCGGCACAATGCCAATACCAATGCCAATGCCAATGCCACCAGCATGCCAGTAACGCGAACTCGCCGCTTGCTACTAGTCATGAGCGCCGGCTAAAGAGGGGGCCCAAGTCGACCGAGTGGGCGGTTCTGGCGAGCCCATTTGTCGGCGTCAGCTTCGGGTCTGCGACGAATGACGGCGCATGAAGCTGCCACGCGCGAATAACCGACACGATGAAGCGTCGGGCTCTGTAACGTGATGATCCGGCTGAGAAAACAACTGTTGTAGAGGCAGGTTGGACGGGGCTCAATGACGTGGGTAAATCATCTTGAAATTCTGCTTCTCGGTTCTTGCGTCTTGTCTCCGCGTGTCCTGGCACATTAGATATACGCCTCCAAGAAGAAAAAAAAAAGGCCAAGTCATGATGACCCTTGCCCATGGTTGCCAACACACGACGTCCGCTGACTCCGGGGACATCCACGGGTTGCTTCTGCTTTCTCTTGACATGGGAGAAGATGGTTTTCCATCCTCCAAGATCTATAAACACAAAAGGAAAAGCCGTCATTGTTCCTCCCTCTCCCACAGCGCTCCACATGTCTCTCCGTGTCCCCTGCTCGCCAACATGATATCTTCCCTTCCCATCGAAGAGATGCTCAGCTGTCTGAGACTTGTGTATTAGATGATCCCCACTTCGCGAAGCTTCTCTGCGATTTGCTCGGCCTGCTACGCCAGGTGTTAACTATCAGATCCATCTCAACTCTTGCGCCTTCACGACTCCAAGTAGCTGGTGGGGACGATAGGGGGGTGGAATATTTTCATTGTTTGGCATGTTGGCGGTGATTGGTTGCGGGTGGCTTTCAAATTTCAGTCGGCGAGAACGGATCGCTCGTCCAAGACCGCGCGGATGCGCAGCCATCTCGTCGTGATTGTCGTGATTACATGAGTTTGGTAACCTCATCTTCGACCTTTTGCGTTTGAGGGTATTCGGTGTCAGCTGTGTCACGTCGCATTGCCGCAGTCGACGAAATGAGATAGTAAAAGAGCGCATTTATCATGCCGGAGGCGCGCCAAAGTCGGGCGATGCAGCAGTCAAGACGAAGTATATGTATGCCAGAAGTAGAATAAAAATCACCACTTACCTCCATGTCTTCCAGTGAATCCTGCTGTCCGATACAGCGCAGCACATTCTTCTTGCTGCTCTCCTGTAGCTCTCCCGCAAGAAGCAGTTCGTCGAGGATGTAGTAAGCCTTTGTGAAGGAAAAGATGATGTCGAGCTCGCACACGTTGCCGTAGTACTTGTCCATCTGCTCGACGTAGCGGTGGATGATTTCGAGGGTGATGAGCTCGTTGTCCTCGGATGAGCAGCCGGCGATGAAGAAGAGCGAGGCGTATCGTCGGTATACAATCTTGGTGTCTGGATGATGGCGGATGCGCGTCAGCTACTGTTGCCACACAGCGGCGTGATGTAAACGCGCGTTCGGCAGCGAACCTTTATATTCCAAGAAATTGCACATGCGAGTTCTCCGGGCGAGCACCAGCTGTGATACGTCCTTGACAATCTTGGCCTTGTCCTTGGGGGACAGCGTGGTGAACCATTTGGCGAGGCGCTATTGGCGAGAAGAAAAGAGCGTCAGCAGGCCACCTTGGATAATTGAAGACATCGAAGGTCTCAACGCCATCGGTCGGGTCGTCGACAGCGATAGGAGCAACTGGGAGCAACGGGGAGCAACGGGGAGCAACGCACCACCTTCCCCTGACGGGACAGCAGAATCAAGTAGCTACAAGGTGCGAGTCAGCGTCAGTCCGACTCCGACGAGCGCGGCAGCAGAAGCGTGGACGCACTGGATCGCCATTGTGACAGCTCTCTCTCTCTCACATCACCGAGCGCGAGCCGCTGATGCTGGAGGCGGGAGACGAGATGCGGTTCGAATAGAGTTGAGGCTGGTGTATGTAAGGTATGGACTTGCTGAGGGTTTGCAGGTCGGTGACGAGGCAGTAGCGCGTGCTTCTGGACAGAGAGAGCCTGGCACTGGACAAGAACAACTGGAGGTGCTGTACATCTGATCAGGTAGTCAGTACTTAGTACAGCGCCACATTTAAGCAGTGTCTATAGGTACAGGTACAGCGCTTATGCCCCTCTCCCGCTTCGGTCGCCCTGACAAATGACAGCGGTGCTAAACCAGAGCCTTTTCTGTTTTGAGCATCGGGGTTGAAGGCGCGGGAAATCAAACCCCGCGTGGCTTTTCCCTGCTTGCATGACAAGTCCATTTCCATTAACGCCGCCAGAAGGGGTCTTTTTTTCGCCTAGGAATGAATAGTTCGGAAGAGGGTAATACTACTAGTAGTAGGTAGATTCGGAACAATAAGATGACTTGTCACTGTCGGATAAGAAGTGAAGGACAAAAAAGAATTAAACGTAGGACGCCAGTCACTACTAGGTACTACTCGACTACTACTGCCTCCCTACCTAGTACCTAATCAACGTTGAAGCAGGTGGGGAGATTCCAAACGTCAGAAGCACATGTAATCATCATACAAACCAAGAACCGCCGGCCACAAGGAGGGCGGCACATATATCAGCCTTTCCCCCCTCATCAACCAAGCGCCTCTCCCGATGTCGCCATTGTGGTGTCGAACATGCTCAAGAACCTCCCGTCCCTGGGATCGCAACCTACCTATACTGCTACTACCTACTCACGTACATGCAAACCACCTCACGACTAAGACGCTCACGAACCAGGCAAAAAATATTTCGACTACTACTACTACTATACCCAAGACCCTCGAATCTTTGATATCCACTCCGGGCAACCTGCCCATTACTAATACCCTTTATCATCCGCCACAAGCGCCATCTGGAGTAATAAATAGTACGGAAGATTACAATCACATTTAGTTAGGCATCTCGAGAAGAGCGCGGAAGAAGGAAAAAAAAAAAAGGTTGTTGGTCGCAATATAAAGGTTGGGGAATCGGGTCGGTGCTCTGGATCTGGATCCGCATAAGGTATAACATAGAGCAGAGCACGGTTCTTCTTCTTCTTCTTCTTCTTCTTCTTCTTCTTGTCTCCTCTTCGAGTTGTCCATCAAGGTTTCAGTCCCCGTTGCAAACCTTTACAGAACCTCAGATCGCCGTCACAATGACCAAGATCATTCTGTCTACGGGGTTCGTATCCCTCCATTGCCGAGCCGCGCGAAACAAACGACTACTACTCCCTCCTTTTCCTCTCTCTCTTACACCATCTCGCTAATATCAGTATGAATACGGCAGCAATGTCATGTCCGCAGGCCCCTCCATCATCCGCAAAGGCGGCAGCCACTCCAAATCGAACCTCGAGCTCGTCAACGCCCTCCGAGACAACATCCACTCCACGCGGCTAGACTATGCTGCGACCGACGCCTCCCCGGCCGACGGCTCCGGCACCCTCCCTTCGCCCCCTCAGACCCCCGTCGAGCTGTGGACCGAGCGCGACGACAAGACGCTCTACATCCCCCGGATCGACTGGCAGGCGGCCGGCCTGCGCGAGGACCCGCGCGACTACGAAATCACCGTCAAGCTGTTCCTCCTGCCCGACGCCCCCGTGGCCGAGCGCGAGCAGTACGCGCGCGAGGCGCTCGACCTGGTGCGCAAGGAGCTCGGCGTCCAGACCATCGACCTGCTCATCGTCTCCTTCCCGGGCATGTCCTTCGAGGGCACCTGCGAGAAGGCGGCCGAGCGCATCAACGCCCAGCAGGGCGACCTCGAGGCCGAGCTGGCCTCGTGGCGCGTCTTTGAGGACCTGCACGCCGCCGGCCTGGCCAAGCGCCTGGGCGTCGCCGAGTTCGGCAGCGAGAAGCTGCGCGCGTTCCTCGAGCGCGCCCGCGTCCGCCCGGCCGTCGACCAGGTCAACCTGCGCGACTGCTGCAACGTGCCCGCCCCGCTCAAGCGCCTCGCCGAGGACGAGGGCGTCGAGCTGCACGTCCACACCGACTGCACCGACATCCTGCCCCGGGGGACGCTGCGCGAGCTGCTCGGCCACGGGCCCAGGGGCGCGGGCGTGCTGGCGGATCCCGTCCACGGCGGCGCCGGGCTCGAGGGCGAGCTCACGCCGCAGTGGGTGGTTCGCTATGTCGCGCTTGTCAAGGATCGCGGCGTCATTGAGAACAAGGGCTACTTTGCGGGAGCTGAACTTGCTTGAAAGGGTCAGCGGGGGGGAGAGGGGAGAGGGGGGAGAGAGAAGGGTTCTTGGATATTTTGTTTCTTTTGTAAAAACTAAAAGCGATATACTTGGATTTTGTTTGATCTGGTTTCTGTCCATATGGATATCATAATAGCGGGCATCATTTACCGGGAGCTGTCTATATCACCAAGCATGCTCTCCATCTCTCTCTCTGGGTTACCGAGAAGGGGGAAAAATGACAAGAAAGACATTTGCTTTCCAAATCTTCATGCTACCTCCCGTCTCTGCTCTTCCTTTTGTCACTCCATGTCCACGCTTTTTAGCCAAGCATGCTCCTCTTGCGGCCCCTCATCCTCACGTCTTCTAGTTTCTTGAGCGCCACACCAGCCTGCTTATATGACTGTCTATATGCGTCCAGAACCTCGCCAAAGATGCACTCGGCGCGGGGATGCGTGCTTCCAAAGGCCCGCTCAAGAACGTACAAGTCCACCGCGCGGTCCTCGTCGTGAACCCCGCCGCTGGCAAGCCCCAGGTCGATGATGACGATCTCGCCCTCGAGTCCGGTCGCACCATCGGTGGTCTGTTGTTGTTGCGCGGGGGGCTTGAGCATCATGTTGCTCGTTGTCAGGTCGCCGTGGATCACGCCAATGCTATGCATCTTGCCCACCGCGGCGCCAATCCTCCGCATCAGGTCCTTGAGCTCGTCGTCGTCCTCGATGCCCTCCGTCCTGCTGCCCAGCCGCTGGTTGATGTTGATGCGCACGGGCGTGCCCTGCACCCATTCCAGCATCAGCCAGCCCGCCGCCTCGTCGAGGGCGTACACGTCGGGCACGCGGAGGCCATCGCGGCGGCACTTGGAGAGGATGCGGGCTTCGGAGAGGATGCGGTGCTTGGTCAGGCGCTGGTCGAGGACCGGGTGCCGCCAGGGCTTGGGCGGTCGATATTTGAGGGCGCAGGGGATGTCGGGGAGCAGGTATGTCGTCTTGTAGAGGCGGCCTTCGGCGCCTTGGGTGATGAGGGTTGGCGGGGTCGACGCGGGGTTGGTGAGGATCTTGGGGAGGGGGAATTCATGCGGCGCCGCGGCCTCTTCGGCGGTGGCCGTCATGGCGGCTGGGGGAGGGGGGTTTGGTATTGATGATATGAGGGAGGAGGAGGAGGAGGAGGAGGAGCTGATGATGATAATAGTAGTAGAACAACAAGCAGAGTTGAAGATTTGGAGTCGGTGGCTTGGGCGCAAATTCCAGATAAGATAAGAGGATCCCGCTGCTGCAACTAAGCAAGGTACGATGTATCTATACGAGATCGTACAGATGGACGAGACAGCCGCTGCGAGGCAAGTCTGCAGGTCATCGCAGGGTTTAGTAGCTGCCCATCGTAGGTAGTAGTCAAGCGACCCCAGAAGCTGTCAAGGGAAAAAATAAAGTAGAATGACATGCGCACACCGTGGTGGGGTTGAAAGCGAGGGGCGCTGGCTATATGATTGGTTGGTTGATGGAGACCCGAAATGCAGGATGAAGGAATCGCAGACGCAAGTCACTGTTTCCTGCAGGGCTGCCTTTTCTAGAATCGACAGAGAATGACATGATGCCTTGAACTGATCTGATTAGTATTCTTGAAGCATACCTTACCTTACCCTGGCTGATACTCTTATTTCGACAGCAACAGACTTGGGTCACTTATAAGAAGACTGACCTTGCACCAAACTCATGTTCCTCCAGTTCCAACCTTGAAGCTGCCGCCTCATCAAGACATTGTTGTACGACAACCACCTTGTGACACACACACACACACACTCTCTCTCTCTTCTGCTTCCCCAACCAAACTTTTGCCCTTCGTCATAGCTGCACTGTTAGCTGATGCCCTTGCAGGGCTTGACGCAGGTCGAGCTTGTTCTGTTCGCTTCCGAGAGCCTCTCTGGTAGGCCAACAGAGCCGGACGCACACAGAATCTGCCCAACCGCTAGTAACACTATGAGGCTACCTGCTTCTCCTCTTCCCTTGGCCGTTGATGTTTGGCCCAAGATTCCCTTGAGCTGGAGTTCCTCTTGGTAAGTAGCTAGAGAGAGTAATATTTCCCCCTCTGCTGCCACACCGGTCTAGTCAGGGCTTGGATCAGGGCACCTCCTCCTCGCCCTCCCCCACTAGGCAAAGTTGTCATTCTGTCTACAAGCTCTCTTGATGATCTTCTTCTTCTCAGTCTTTGATTAATAGTATTATTCCTCCTGTTCTCTTCTTTTACCTTCTCCTCCCCCCCCCCCCCCCCCCCCCTCCTTCTTCCGCCTCTTCCTCCTCTTCCTCCTCTTCCTCATCCGCCCTCAACTCAGCCAGCGAAGCAGCCTGCCTTTTCTTGCGGACCATGTCTCTGCCCCTCCAGGACGACATCACGACCTGTGCTTCGTTGCCCTCCGCTGCAGCATAATGGCCGACTCCAGCTGGCTCCAGTGGGCGCATCTCCTGGCTACCACCGCCACCGGCATGTCCATCGTTATGATTGCGCAAACGGCCAACTCGTACTGGACGGCGTACAAGGTTGCGCCGCAAGAGGTGGCCAGCCTCATCCACGCCCTCGAATTCTCCCTCGAGGAGAGCGAGTGTTACGATCGGGACGTCTCCAGGGTGCAGCGACTCGAGGACAAGATTCGGCTCAACCGTATGCTGAGGGAGATCCGGAGGGTTGGCGATGATATGCGCGATGAGCTGGGCCGCCTGGTGCTCGAGGAGGGCTCGACGACGCTGCGGACCAGCTCGAGGCTCATGTGGGCGTCGAAGCGGGCGCAGCTGGAGGAGAGGATGAAGCGCCTGGACGCCTTGCGCATGCGCTTCGTGATGGTCTATCTCGGCATCATAACCACCGTCGCGGAGAAGCAACCTCCTCCGCCGCCTCCTCCGCCGCCGCCGCCAATGCCCAGACAGCAGCCGGACAAGACCGCTTACACGACTCCCACCAAGCCGTCGGCCAAGAAGTCGTTTGACGAGTTCCCTCGGCAGACGCCTGCGCGGAGACTCACCACGCAGGCCATCGGCCACAACGAGCACGTTGAGACACCCCAGCGCAGTGGCTGGGCTGGCGTCGTTCAGGAGTTGCAGGCTTCTCCACGGATGCGAGAACGGCATGCCTCCATCGAGAAGCTCATGGAGACTCCGTCCCCCTGAGAGCGGAAGACCTTGCCTCGGCGTGGTCTTCATGCTTTACTGGACCGCGGTGCCTCTGTCTTGATGGATCCCCTATCAGCTTGGATTTCCTTCTTGATCCGCTGATGAGCGGAAGTATTCAATGACCTTGATATGACACCTCCACGTTTCTTACATTTCCACCAACTCAGCGGTATGCAGACTATAGAGGTTTACGATGCCATGGCCATGACTATCTTACGATGCATGGCATAGCCACCAGCAACAACATTTCTAAAGAGAGGCTGCTTGATAAGTGAGAACAAATGTTTGTCAACAAGCTTGACTTACGACGCATGAGGTAGGAAACGATGGGATGTTATGTGAAACAATATAGTGATTTCATATGCATGCGGATATGGACCATGGGATATGGACGAGATTTCTTGGTTTAAGACGGACCTTCACGCCCCTTCTTAATTCATAGTACTTCATATTCATTTGGGATAATTCTAGCCAATCTTCATTTCGCTCTGTCAACCTGGCTTGCACAATCCTGCTGTTCACCAACTATTGACACTTTATCATGGCTAATGAATGCTCTTCTCGTTGGTTCCATGGAATTATCATTCATCGCAACTCGCCTTCATGCCTAGTCCTCTGCCCTTGTCTTTCACTTTCGTTTTATCTTTGCCCTCTCGTATCAACAAACGGGTATTCAGCTTGCAGGAAAGAATGCCCACATCAATGAGCAGCATCCGGGCCAGTGCCATTCTTTTCACCAACTGCACGCAGCATTAGACCAGATCCGTAGACACAAGAATTGAAAGCGTCGATGAAGTCGAACTTACCATCCAGAGCAACCAGGAACCTGCTCACACAGTTATAAGCAGCAACCTATCATGCTACACATCAGAACAAGATCCTCTCACAGCAAGATATAGGTAGATATATATCTCAAGGTAACTCACCGTCGCCGTAATCTCCACAACCTCCTGATCACTAAAGAACCCCTTCAACGCCGCAAACGTCTCGTCCTTGACCTGCACATTCCTCGTCATCTCATCCGCATACACCAACACCGCCCACTGCCTCTCGCTCAACAGTCCCTCGGGCCTACCACCACCACCACCACCACCACCACCACCACCACCGCTACCGCTGGCCCCCAAGTCATCCCTCCTGACAACCTCCATCGCCTCCTCGCTCACGCCGCCCTGGACCGCGAGCGGCGCGTGATGGGCCCATTCGTACCAGGCCTTGTTGCAGACGGCGACGCGCGAGATGGCGAGCTCGCGCACGTCGTCGGCGAGGGACGTCCTGGTGCGGATGGCGCCGAGGAACGAGTTCCAGCCGTCGGCCACGGGGGGCGAGTGCAGCAGGGTCAGGTCGAGGGCTTGCAGCGGGCGCGGGGAGCGCCGGTCGCGGATGCGCTGGACGATGGCGGCGTCTTGGGGGGTGGATGTTGGGGGAGGGTCGGGGACGTAGGGGAGGCGCATTTTTGTGGGTGTGTTTTCTGATTTATGTGATGGTTCTGCTGTTGGTGCTGTTGAAGATGTATGTAGTTAGGAGTGACAAGGCTTTATTATATGAGACAAGTCATATGAGGATCTGAGTATGAGGATCTGAGTATGAGACTATCTAGATATGTACTTTAATATATAAAGCAAGATCCGGGGAAATTCGCGCGGGGTATCATCGCACCGGAGTCGACATGCCGACCCGCAAAGTGCATCTCGGGGCCGAAAACCGGCAGTTGCTGTTAATGACTTATTAGAACATTACCTTCTTTGGAAGTTGACGGGGATTATGTGAGTAATCTCGTTGAATTGCTGACTCTTGTTTGGACGTCGTTTGAGTCACCAGAAGCAATGACTACCTTACATGTACCTTAACTGGAGACAAGAGTTGGCAAGTACCTACTTACACAGAGCGACGAGCCTCGAGATGACGACGAAGAATGACGAGCCTTGGACATACATAGTAGTAGATATTATTACAAAGGCAAGGTGGATTAGCCCGGCATAAGCCCAGCTCTTAGCTCACCCAGCCAACAGCTGAAAGAAACAAAAAACAAAAGAAACGCTCCAAAGACGAAGAGGGACATAAAAAAAGGTTCTAGAGGGAGTCGAACCCTCGCTGCCGGAATCAAAATCCGGAGTCATAACCGTTAGACCATAGAACCGTCGAGGTTCAATCAATGACCAAAAATTCCAAAATCACACACTATACACCTTTGGACAATTCGAATGTCTATTATCCACCGCAACGCCGCACTTAGATTGTATTCTAAGGTAACGAAGCCTTGGACTGCAGAAATCTCGCCGCCGCCTGCACAGAATGTCCAGCGAAAGTCAACGGAACAGAATCCCGTTGTCAGCTTTCAGTGACCGTCTCGTGAGTGTTTCGAGTAGCAGGGTAGTACTAGGATTACCTAATGCGCCATGAGCTGCTGGCAACTGTCTGTTGATGTTGACAACTCGAGAGCTCCAACTGGACAAAGAAGGAAAATACCTACGCACCGCGTGCGCGTTCGCACGCATTCTCGTCTCGAAATGTACAACGCCGGACGCTGAGTTGCATGAAGGATGAGCAGCTCGGGGGTCTACCACAAAGATCAAGCACAGTGCGCTAAGGGGATTATTCAAGCAGTGACCGAGGAGGGAAAGTTAGAACGACACTTTGTACCAGTTGGCCATCAGCAGCCATTGCGATGAGATACATACTTTGTGTAAAAGATGGAAAGATGAAATCAACATCTCCGATGAATGTATGCGAAAAAAAAAGAAGGGTTCTTGCAAGCGTCCTTGCAGTGTCGCCACAACTTGCCCTTTTCTGTCAAGAGCCAGCGAATGCGTTACAGTGCCTACACTGTACACGGCAATTCCGTGTGTAAGATCACATTTCTTTGGCAGGATTTCCCACTTACACCTTTGAATGTCACTCCTCCTCCTCCTCCTTAACACATTCTTTCACGCATTTTTGACATTGTCTGTGAGTCAGAATGACAGGCTCGTACTTGGAGGCTCTTGCAGCGCCCTTTGAGGCCGACCGCCTTCTTGAAATCCGCACTTCGGGAATGAAGCGAATGCCGGGCTTGACTGTCATGTCTGGCATCGACAAGCAGCTTCGCACTGACTCAATGAAGGTCGACAAGCTGGGGCTCGAAGGGGATGAGCACGATCTCACCTTTCACGGCGGCCTGGACAAGGCCATTCTCGGATGTAAGTATTGACCAAGAAATAACCTCTCTGGTGAAGTCCCGACTAATGTGAGCTCATCGTGTTAGACTGCTCCTCGCATTATCCATCCTGGCAAGAGTCCTACCCCGAACGCGTCGACAGATTCGTCCCAGGGGGCTTTGGAGAAAACTTTGTCACCGCGCACATGAACGAGCGCAATGTCTGCATTGGGGACGTGATATCTGTCGGCCCCGAAGTGGTCCTTCAGGTGTCCCTCCCCAGGCAGCCGTGCTTCAAACTCAACCATCGCTTCTCGCTCAAGAACTTTGCCCCTGAGACTTACAAGAGCAGTCGCACTGGCTGGTACTACCGGGTTCTGAAGGAAGGCCATGTCAGCCCTGGCGATGAACTGAAGCTGGTCGAGAGAAAGTGGCCGGAGTGGACAATTGAGCGTATTCAGGAGTATTTGCATCGGCAAACCGACAATGAGGAGATGAATGAGAAGCTAGCCGCCATAGAGGCTCTGGGCGACGAAGCTCGTGGCCAATTCAAGAGTCGCGTGGCCAAGGCGCAAAGGCGGAAGCAGCAGAAGAAAGAGGAGGCCTGGGAGACCTACAAAGTTGTCAGCCGAAAGATGCAGACGCCACGGGCGCTTTCACTCGTGATTGAGGCTCCCGTCAAGCCTCAATTCGATGGCTTCCCTTGGGCCTCTCACGCAAAGCTCCGGCTCGCCAATGGACTTGTGAGGAAGTACTCTGTAGTGTCTAGTCAGGGAGACGGCGAGTCTGCCAGAAGGCTCGAGTTTTGCATCGCCCTTGATGACAATAGCAGAGGCGGCTCGCGGTACATCCACGAGGCTGTCAAGGTGGGCGACAGCATTGAGGTGGGCGGCGTGGTGAGCGATGTCCATGGCCCGGCAAACGCTGCAAGCCATCACGTCTTTATTGCCGGCGGAATTGGCATTACAGCATTCCTGGAACTCATGAAGACGTACGACTCCATCAACTGGAGCTTTCAACTGCACTATGCCGTGCGGTCCGCGGACGAGATTCCTTATCGAGAACAGCTGGAGTCGTATGGAGACAGAGTCATCATCTACGACAAGTCGAAGGGCCAAAGGATGGATATTGACAACGTCATGACCACAACCCCGTGGAATAGCTTCCTGTATGTATGCGGTCCGAACCGTATGATGGAAGCAGCCAAAGCCGCCGCCGCAAAGGCCGGCATTGCCCCTCAAGAAATCCATTTTGAAGCCTTTTCCGCCGACACCACCGGCGACCCTTTTGAAGCACAAGTCGTCAACAGGAACAACAAAGTTGTCAAGGTGGGCGAGGATGAGAGTCTTCTGGAGGTTCTTCAGCGAGAGTTTGGGGACGTCCCTTCGAGTTGCGAGGTGGGCAATTGCGGGACTTGCAAGGTTACCCTCAAGAGCGGAAAGGTGATTCATCGGGGGTCGGCACTGATGCCTGATGAGAAAGATTCGGCCATCTTGACGTGTGTTAGTCGCGGTGTTGGACGGATTGCGATTGAAGTGTAGAGCTCAGATTTCCACATGAGTCCACATGGGGAAGACCGTCTGCTATATATATATATATATATATATATATATATATATATATATATATATATACGTGATACTCTTTCGGTGACTACATAGCATTGAAGTCATTGATGAGTATCAATATGATCGAATATGAGCATGTAAAATGGCAAATATCCAAGTCGTGATACAGGTCGGAGGGAGGGATGCACGTTGAAGCAATGGGAAGCCGACAAGCAGGGAGCCTCATATCAGTCTTTAGGCATATGCTTCTCATCGAACGGCGAGATGGCCGAGTTGGTTATGGCGTCAGGTTAAGGCTACCTTAACAGCAATTCCTGGTGGAGCAATCCGCGTGGGTTCGAGTCCCACTCTCGTCATTTTTTGATGTTTTGCACTTCTTTTTTGCTGGAATCAATATCCTGTTCTTCATCTCGTCGAAGCAGATTCTATCACAATGAAGTCGTGAATACGAGTATCAAATTCTGCTGCTCTTGAGTTGCTGAATCGCCGTAACATGTTCTCGTTAAATCCTCTGTTGTTATCAATCAATAAGAGCGAATGCTTGCTGACTTGACACAATCCGTCCGTATCGATACCAAAGTGGAGCCAATTTTTCTCAACTTCGACAAGTCGTCGAGCTTCCGCAAAACTTCATCCTGCTTGCAGTCTTTCGCACCACATGACACCGATTTCCCTCCCTTGAGCTCGCACACCCTACGAGGGTGCTACATACTTCTTCTCAGCATGGCAAACGACCCAGCCGGCGATCAATTCGCCATCCTCCCCATCCAGATGCCGCCCGTGCAGTCCTTCAAACACACGGCTGTCCACGAAGTGCGAGTACGAAGGAACGCTCCCAAGATCCCGACGCCCAACGATTCGCGCAGCCTGTTCCTGAAGAACATTCCCGCAGACAGCACAGAGCCCCATTTCCGGGCCGTCTTCACCTCTCTCGTGGGCGCTGGACGATTCGAGTCAATCACATTCGAGCGCGACGAAAAGGCTGCGCTTGCCATCGACCCTGCCAGAGCAATCAAGGCTGCTGGGTTTGCGCGCAAGCGAAAGAGGTCTGACGTGGAGGATGAGGAAAAGGCCGAGGAGGAAGCTGCGCGGCTACCCGAGATCTGGACGCGCCAGCTGCACCGAAGCAGCAGCACGGCGATTGTCCTGCTCGCCGACGAGAAGAGCGTGCAGCTCGTCCTCAAGGCGATTGCCAAGCTAAAAAAGACCATGAAGTATCCCATATGGGGCGAACATCTGGTGGGCGACGTCCCGCCACTGGGTGCACCTTGGATATCCTCCCATCTGCGCCTGAGCCGCGCCGACAAGGCCGAGGTGCAAAAGGCGACTCACGCATTCTTCAATGTGTTCAACAGGAAGGAGAAGGAGGCTGCGGAGCTTAGCAAGCGGCTGCGCAACGAGCCTGATGAGGACGGCTTCGTCACTGTCACTCGTGGCGGAAAGGCCGCTCCTGCGAACCAGTACGAGGCCGAGGAGGCCAGGCGGAAGATGATTGAGAAGGCGGCCAAGAAGAAGTCGGAGATGACGGACTTTTACCGGTTCCAGCTGCGAGAACGACGGAAGCAGGAGCAGGCGCAGCTGCTGAAGCGCTTCGAGGAGGACAAGAAGAAGGTCAGCGCCATGCGGGAAAAGAGGGGCAAATTCAAGCCTGAGACATGAGATGGGCGAGCTTGGTACAAGTGAAGTAAGTCGAGATTTTCGTTGAGTTTCTTTCAGTTTGGCAAATCCGACCGTGATGACGCACGCGGGGCCATCGAGAAGCTGGGATGCAACTTGGGCTCGCCTGGGTTCTGTTCCGGTTGATGTCGACAAACACCGCGCTACAATAATCTTCTCAAACACTCTGAAAATTCGGATGAACAGTCTATTGGCACTTGTGCTGGATCACTCATGATGGCAAATCCGAAACTAATGCCATGTACAGGAAGACACAGACCTATATTCGAGTCAACGAGACTCTCGGACAGCTCATCTCGAAACGATGCCTTCGCGGCGCAAACATATTCCCACGACGCCACCTACTGGCAGGCCGCGGCTCGATGGGACAATGCACCGACTTTGACTGCTTTGCCCTGAAGACTGCGATCAGGCTCACTTATATGTAAATATTTGGGTAGTAATGGGGGGGGGAAGTCATGAGAGATCGTACCGCGAGAGCAAAGGTGGATAGTGATACCCCCAGTGTACATAGAAGCAAAGAACAAGTTGGATATTGTCAACCGAAGACTGGCATTTCATTATATTCAACCATTCGTTCGAAACAATGAAGTCTGTTAACCTCTCGCGCTTTGGTAAAGACTCAAACAAGATAAGGTACCTTACTACCTACATCAAGTAAAGCAGTGGATGATGCTTAATGCAACGCTTAGTCATGCACGGCTGCGCATTGTTTACTTTCCTCCGCATGGCAACCGAAACAACTCCTGGTCGCATGGGACCAAACAGCTAGTAAATCCGGCTCCAATCCACCAGCAGCGAGATTTGCAGCTTCAAACAAAGAGTAAATGACGCCAAATAGTCAAGAATAAAATCGATTGCATAACGTCCTTTCTTTCAGTAACACACTGCTTGAGCGCCTCTGAGCTGCTGCACTCTGCACTCAGGCTCGCCATGATTGACGCGGAAAACCTCCGGACCGCCTCGCTGTACATCAACAACCAGCTGCTGTCGAGAGGCCTTGTCCGCGATGGACACGAGATTGACTTTGCCGACTACGGGCCACGAGGATCCTTTGGCACTGCGGACAGCGCAAGCCGCATCATAAGCATCCTAAACGACTTGCTTATTCGACGAGACGTAAGGCTTTGCAGCAACAGCAGCAGCAGCAGCAGCTCCTCTCATTAGCTTCCCATCTGGCTAACGACTCCCGTTGTTTATGATTTTTGCAGCGCGACGCAGAACAGCGCGACTCCCTCTCGACGGCGGTCCGCACCCTTCGAGCGGAGAACCTCAAGCACACGAGCGACATTGTCCGCCTGACGGAGAAGTGTGCCGATGCCCAGCGCCGCAGCGACATTGCCGCGACGTCCGAGGCGTCGCTCAAGACGCAGCTCAAGTCGGCCGAGTCGGCCATCAAGGGCCTCAAGGACGAGCTGGCACGCACAAAGGGGCTGGTGGCTCAGCTGAGGGCCTCGTGCGCGACGGAGATTCGGAGGCGTGACCGCCAGATTGAAACCCTCAAGAAGCAGGTCGGCGAGGCAGGGCGCGCGAGGGGAACGAGGTCCAGCTCGGGAGTCCTCTCGATCACTGTGACGGGAGACGTGGGCAACGAGGAGCGGAGGTCGCCCGGCCGAGGAGGGAATCTCGAGGACAATGACTATTCCCTGCGCAGCGAGTCGAATGCTTTCCTGGCGAATCTGGCGCAGAACCTGAGCGAGGAGAACGAAGCGCTCTTGAGGGTCATGCAGCAGGCCAAAGACCACTTGCGGGAGATGAGCGGATGGGCCGGCGAAGAGACACAGAATCCCGAGGTGGTCAAGCCGCAGGGCTGGGAGGAGATTGCCTCGGAGCTGGGTGCTGTCATGGACCACATGCGGACCATCTTGACCAATCCGTCGTTTGTGCCAATCGAAGAGGTCATGGTGCGAGAGGAGGAGATTGACCGTCTCAGGAAGGGCTTTGTCAAGATGGAGAGCCGCTGGGAGGATGCCGTTCATCTGATGGACGGCTGGCGGAAGAGGATGGCCAAGAACGGCAGGCCGGTTGGCCAGGATGACATCCGCATGGGCTTACACTTGAGTCCGGTTCGTGTCCCTGACGTGGAGGAGACGAGAGCTGCTGCTCGTGGACACGATCTGTCGGCCGTTCCGGAGGAGAGTGAAGACGAAATGGAGGATCGTCAAGGTATGTCATTGCCTTTCCCTCTTGTTAGATCATTCCACGTACTGACTCATGATGCGAAAGCGAAAGTAGCGGAACCCGAGCAAGACATGTACGGCTACAGCGATGAGGAGGCTACTGGCTATTCAGACGACGAGGATGAGGACCTAGAAGCCGATGAAATTGACGCCAGGGAACAGAATCAACACATGACAGGGATGGAAGAGGCCGAGGATTCTCGACGATCGGTAGAGCCAGGAGCGCACACTGATCCCTCTCAACTACAAGGTCCTCTTCAAAACTCTTACTCGGCTGGAAATCGCGGTTCTCAGGAAAGCAGACTACGACAAAAGCCTATCGGCGCTGCTGCCATTACAGCAAGAGGCGCGCAAGCATCGGCCGGAACGTCCAGCACCGAAACCGCCAGACAGCCTGCCAGTCGAGTTGCCGCTAGACCTCCCGATGCTGCCCAAAGGCCGCGTCCCGTTCCCTCAAAAGCGGCCAGCGCTGATGAACGGATCCGTGTTGGATCGACGACATCTCTGGATGAAGTCCTGCTGTCGAATGACAAGGGAGAGAACAGCCGGTCCGAAGAACACGCTACTTCGAGAAGCGGACCCGGCATGAGTGCTGCTGCTGCTGCTGCTGCTGCTGCCGCCACCCCTTCCATGCGCGCGAATCCCCGCCGCGTGCCCGTCCGTCTGGCGCAGGCTCGACCGGCCAGGCCGCAGGACGCCTCGCCGTCCAAGACTGCGATAGCCGTCAAGCTCGCTGCCGCGGAGAAGCAAGCCGCTGCCGCCCGCAACCGCGCGAAACTGAGAGCTCTTCGAAGCAGCCCTGCGGGCGGGCAACGACCTGCGGGAGGCTCTGCGGCGGAACCTGCGAGGCAAACAGCGGCCAGGGGTACTCTGCCTGTTCGCAGAGCGAGCCCCGTGGTGAAGAGGGAGGCTGCGCAGGCGGAAGCTGAGAATCCCGAGAAGCGAAAGAGGGATAGGAGGGCTGCCAAGGTGTCGTCGAGGAGGAGGAGCACGCTGAGTCCGTTTGAGCTGCAGAGTTTGATGTGTGGAAATGTTGAGTAAGGGGAAGGGGAGGGGGGAGATGGAGATGGCATGATGAATGATGTTGATTTTGGAGTTTGGATGATGCTGTTCAGACTATGCTGGGCGCATTTCTGTTGGGGTTTGCGATATTGTTATGAACTGATATGACTTGATGTTATGAGCGGCTTGGCTTAATGTTGTATATAAATTGTCTGAACTGTTAACAAATGTCGTGTTTGCCGCTTGAAGACTAGAGTGAAGCGTTGATTTCCCTTTCCCACCGCCGCCGAGACAACGAACAATCAACCCTGATAGTACATCTGCTCACTGTTGCTTGGCTTCCAAGCCTGTCCCAACTCCTTGAGCCTCGTAACCATTGCCTCCCCATCAACTGAACTCGGAAACGCATGAATGAGCGAAATGCCATATTGCAGGATACCCGCCCCATCCGTCAAAACCACCACCCCTTCATCCCGACTACTGAGCACAAGCAAGTGTCTCTCGCTCCAGTTTGCATCGCCAAAAGCTGAATCTTCAGGTGCTACATTGTCGATTGCAATGATGGTGGGCTCAGTAGCAACCGAAAAGTTCGTCTCCGACGCGACATCCATGGGATCCCGTGGCCAGAACTCTTTCGGCGAGTAAATCGGTGGCACTTCTTCGTTCTGACTTGGCCCGGTTCCAAGTATTGAAGCGGCCCAGAGCGTCATGATCGCTCGGTGCACGGCTGTTGGCCACCACCAGGGGAGTGAGCCTATACTGACCGCCCGTAGGTATCGCAGCGCTTGGCCGCAGTGGAAAATGGCCTGTTGTCGGCTGTAGATGCTTCGTTCATGCTGGAGAGACTGCTGCCAAAAGCCGACGCCGACACCGATACTCTTTCGCTCGGCCAGCCGCTCAATGTCGACGAAGCTGGATACCAGGTTGAGACATATCAAGTGATACAGACTCATGCCCAGCGTGGTATCCGCATCGGGCATATATGCGGTTTCCTCTTGGGCCTCCATTGCAAGTCTGTACCACGCACGGAGCAGCCTTTGAGTTTCCAGGAGAGTAGTATTTGCCACTTGGGACAGCACTGACGAAGAATTGGGATCTGCGAAAGAAAGGAGTCTCTGCGATTGATGAACCAGAGCTTGCAGTGGATGGAGAAGGAGGCGAAGATGCCTCGGTGGCACTCTGCCCGATGACGTATCGTGCAGCAAGTTTATGAAGAGTTGATTCAAGGTCGGGCGGAAGTCGTACTCGAAAGCTTCGGGTGCCTTGATATCCGCGGGTAGGCCATCAGAAAGATACAAGAAACTATGTTGAATGATATCTCTTGTATTCCAGGGAATGTTTGAGTCGGGCAGGGGCCGCCCTAGGTCGCAAGTAGAAAGGGTCTGTTCAGCATCGTAGAAGAGACTGAGCTCTTGGTCGATCTGGATCCAATCGTACGCCAGTCTGCTCGCATTGTTAGTATGGCTGACAACACGGAAGCAGAAGATGAACAGGGGAAAAAGGAGACCTCATACATATTTAGAGTTAAGGATTGGTCCTTTGCTCTTGATTGTTGATGCAAACGCATGGATTCAGTCCCACCGATATCCTCAGTAGCACTGTCGAACAGCCCCTTGGATCCAAGCCTTCTTATCCACGTCCTTGCGTCGCAGAGACTTGGCCTTTCCCATGAACACGGTTCGCTGGGGACGCTGCCGAGAGCAATATCATTGTTGCGACATCCGCCCAGAAATCCGGACGTGTGTTCGCGGGCATCCGGCGTCTGTACTAGATTGCATAAATCCTTCAGCCCTGGTAAGTCGGGTATTTCGGAGACAAGGTGCGATCTATGGGAGCCATTAATCAGATCGTGTGGATAGAATTCATGGCTCCTCGGCACTCTAGTCGACGGATCATTGTTGATAAAGTCAACAGACGTTGTGTATTCGGAGAGCCCAATAGCTATAGGCGACTCTCCTCGTTTGTGTTGAATAGTGTTCAAGTGATCTGCGTAGCCGGTACACTGCGAAAGGGGGTCGAGAATATCCCAGAGGGTATCGTCGGGATGATCCGCACTCGAACGCAGCTGTTGGAGAGGCTCCCGGGAATCAGCCTCAGGGTAACTTCCTACTTCAAAAGAGAACGAATTCTTCTGTCGATGCTGAGAACCGAAGCCGAAGCCGGTCGTCTGGTTCTTTGTCGACGACGATGCCGCCTGTGCTGCCCTAATTGCAGCTTTTGATGCCCGGCGAGCATATCGGGCGGTGCATTGTATGTTCTTCTCCAAGCATCTCGTACAAGGGACCTTCTTATCGCAGCCAGTCTTTGCACTCGCGCAGGTTTGACAGGCAATGAGTGTGCGTCCTGATATAGACGGACTGCTAGCAGATCCAGCCAAGGGCTCGATATAGCCCTCAGGCCTGCGAAGCGTCATAGTGTGGTTTCGGACAAGAGCTGGGAAATGGGGAGAAAATAGCTGTAGATGATGGAATGGTAATTGTAGACTTGGAGGATCCCACAGGTAGCGGCGAGGAAACACCGACAAGCGCCAGGTGTTTCGTAGGATTTCAGTTGTCCGTTGCCTCTCTGACAGAGAGAAAGATGCGGTGAAATATGGCTAGCATGCAGGAACAGTAAGGTAGTTTGAAGCTTCTTGAACACCCTGCAAACCCGGACAACTGGGAGGAAATTCGCCGCCTGACGACGATGCCTTCGTCCTGCAGCTCGTCATCAACCGCCGAGAGCGACTAAGGGCTCATGTTAACCGATTAGAGAAGGTGCCGCGAACAAACCGCTGTTGCATACGACGGCTGGGATAAGAAGGATGCCTTTTGCGCACAATGAACTCTACCTGTGTTGCGCGTACGCCCTTCTTCTAGGCGCTCTATGTATTCCGTGAAAGGGGCTGATAATTGGCTGCGAAAAGTTCGGTGTGAGTACGCTGATCGACGTGAAACCGACATACAGCATGATCTCTGCAGACCGTCAGCTCTGAGCTGGTTGGATAGTCTATCGCCATGCGGGAAAGCTGAGAGACGACGAGGGATCCCGGAAGCTTGCAGGGAGGGAGCAGTGGTGCGTGATCCGGGGCTGATGAAGACAGAGGCCATGCCATGATACCGGCTGATATGCCCGGACAGAGAGAGCTGCCCATGATATCAGCCGTTCTGTCGTGGTGGTCGGCTTTGCCCTTTTGCACAACGCCTTCAGGGGTTTCTCGTAGAGCCTTGGTCGATGGCAGACTAAAGGGACGCCAAAGGGCAAACAGGGGGTTTGCACTCCAAACTTCTAGCCACTCAGAGAAAGGTCAGTGCAAGAGGACACAGCAAAAGCACACGCCCCTTTCCTGTCACCTGGCCAGTGCCTCTTTGATAGTCTGAGGTTGCATGCAGCCAGTCGGCTGAGAGGATCGGCAGCAAACTCGAACGCCCTGAGCGATGTTTGTCACGGGTCGGCCCGCGCTCTACTGATGTGTTAAGAAAGAGGGAGAGAGATCTCAAAGACCGTATTGAGGTTGATCCTGAGCATGTATTTGGCTTTCTGGTCCGCAGTTTGGGATTGATTTGCCCCATATCTCTTGTTTCTGCTGTCTGTCTTTTGGTGGTATTCGACAGCTTGCCCCTGACGATGGCAACGAAGACCATGGTCAAGCCGAAGACGATCCTATGTGCTGCCTCGACTTGTACGAGGCAGACTGCATCTGATGTCTAATGCTGCCTTTGTACCCAAGCTATACTGCTCAAGTGGCGGTATCTGAAGACTATGCGTTGTTAGTGCTGTGATCTCTGGGGCAAATGCACGAGTGGTTATTTTAGGCTTCAACGCTTGTCTCACATAAAATGTTCCGTATAGCCAGACGGCCATTGACTGTGAAACTGTGCAACCCTTTGGAATACGTGGTCTGGCTGACGTGTGGTGCAAAGGTGAACTTGAACTCTCAGACTAAGCATGTCGTTCACCCAGCAGGTAGCCGATCTCTCGGGGCGTCATGTTCGTCGAAGCTTCGGCGACCAGCATGCGTCTGGCTTCAGGTACAGTGAAGAGGCATATGCGGAACAGGCAATCGAAAACCATTGCCCTAGATTGTTGGTCATAAGACAAGTATTTTAGAGCTTTGAAATCTATCCATATCTGCTCGGCTGTTTTGCGTTTCGGACTCAGAACAAGCACGGATGCTCTTGATATCCCAGGACGTTTGATAAGACGTTGAGGCGATTATCCTCGACCGATCAAACCGAACAACAACCGTGGACTTCAAGACCCTGACTTTCCATGGAATCAGGGGCGTAAAGGGTGTTTGCAGTCTGGAATACGATGGCGGCGTAGCATTGGCACCGATCCTCGAAGGGCCTTGAGAGCCCAAGGATCTGCAAGCGGTGCGACTCACAGGCCTGATGATTCTTCAGCAGTCCAACGGTTTGATTCTTGGACCGTGTCACAACTTAAGACCTGGCTCTGATTGGGAGTCAGTCCAAAAATTGCAATGGGAGTGATAGAACCACCAATTCGATGGCTTGTAGCACGCCACGATGGGTTGGAAGGCAGATGCTTTGGCTCTGTGTTTCTGTAAGCCTCGCTCGCCAGTTGTTACGGATTCGGTGGTTTGTCCTCGACGTCTCGGATGGGTTGGTGTTGATGCCCCAGTTTCGTGACTCTGGGCAGAAAAGACAAACGATGATGAAAAGAAGAGGAGAGAAGAGAAGTTGGAAGTTGATTGTTGCAGAATGGGAACCTTGAGGGCAAGTCCTCAGGTGTGTACCTACCTCAAGGTACTCAAGGTACCTTAAGGTAACTGGAAGGTGGAAGGTGTTCCATGACCGCATGCATCGAGGTACAGCAGCTGCTAACTGGGACAAACTTCTTGATTGCGCTGTAACACGCCGTAAATACAGCGCTGATGGTAGGCGATTACGTATCCGGCAAATAGGTATTGCCGGCTACAGGTGAGATAAGCGAACCTTCCTACATGTAGGTAGGTAAGCACCCAACAATTACCTACATCAGCCTCTCTTCCTTCTGGACAGCTCACCAACTGATCGCACTCAGAACACCCACAGCGTCGCTCGTGAGCCCGAAGCATCGCCGCCTCGTCGCATCATGAAGCCCATCATTGCCATTCCGGCCACTGCGGCCCTTGTGCTGAGGGCCTGGAAGAAGAAGTCGCTGACCCCGGCAGGCATCGTTGCTGCCACCGCCACGGCCATTGCGCATGCCTACCACCCGTGGAACCTGCCCTTTGTCCTGCTAATTGTCTTCTTTCTGGCGGGCACGCGGGTCACGCATGTGAGTTGTGCTGAGTGCGGCAGCCATTGCTGGTGCTAGAGGCGCTGACGTTGGAGCAGGTCAAGGAGAATGTCAAGGCCACGCTCACAGTGAGCGCAAAGGGATCCTCGGGCGGCGAGGGCCCTCGAACACATGTTCAAGGTACGATGAGTGCTGAGGCGTCTCCTATGTTCCATTAGCCATGATCGAACCGGCTGACTCTGCTCTCCAGTCTTTGCCAATTCGCTCGTGGCATCTGTGTTGTCGATTCTCCACGCAAACCAGCTCTACGCTCGCGCTGCTGCCCTCCAGACCCCAGGCGCTGCCGAGCCCAACGGGTCGCTCTGCTTCTCGTGGGGAGGCGACCTCTTTGTTGTCGGAATCATTGCCAACTACGCTGCGGTTGCCGCAGACACGTTCAGCTCGGAGCTGGGCATTCTGTCCAAGAGCGAACCCCGCCTTATCACGTCGCTGACGCTCCGAAAGGTGCCCCGCGGCACAAATGGCGGGGTGACGCTGCTGGGCCTGGGAGCTGGGCTTCTGGGATCGCTCACCATTGTCACGGCTTCTATGCTGTTCTTGCCCATGTGTGACGAGACCACTGCCGCGAAGCGTGCAGGCGGTGTTCCTTGGTCAGCAGACAACCGGCGCCTGTTCATGACGTTTCTGGTCATCTGGGGCGCTTTGGGCAGCGTCTTGGACAGCTTCCTCGGCGCCGTCTTCCAGCGTTCCGTCAAGGATGTGCGAACGGGGAAGATTGTTGAGGGCGACGGCGGCTCCCGAGTGCTGGTGTCTAGCGAAGCCGGCGGCTCGGTGAAGCGGGCTGATGTCAGAGCTTCCTTGCAACAAGGAGACGCCACTCATGAAGCAGTTGATGAGTCTACCGAGGTGACCGATAAGTTTGACCCCAAGAACAAGCACCGGAAACCTAGCTTTGGGGATGAGCAGCCTTCTCGCATTGTTGAGAATGGCTGGGACCTGCTCGACAACAACGACGTCAACTTCCTGATGGCCGTGACCATGAGTGTTGGCGGTATGGCGGTGGCCAGCTGGTACTGGGGAGTTCCTTGGCAGAGTCTCTTGACCCCGTGAGCTGGGCCAGGAATGCTTGATGGCGTGGAAAAGCTACCATAGACGTCTGCAGTTTTCTCCTTGTTTGCTTGCTATAGCCCATATGTTGGTATAATGACTTTGATGGGTAGTCGTTGGCTTACTGAAGATGGGCCAGGGCACAGCGCGGTGAATGTTCTTTCTTTGCTTATCCAACAGCCATGATCTACGATGGGAGCTTTAGTCGAAAAGTCTTGGTTTACTAAAGAAGAGCCATAGCTTATGGGCGAGACGCATCACCATTACAGGGATGAGGATGAAAGCCTGGAATGGGTGAGTTGAGGAGTGTTTGGGAATGCATGTTTTGACAAGCAAGGCTTTGCCTTTGTCCTCTGATGTTGGAAACTTGGATACTGATTGCTGATGAAGAGAAATATCATATGATGCTAGTATGGCAGCAATAGAGAAACCCCATTAAGCGAAGCCAGCTGAGAGGAATGGTCGACGAACCCTGACAAGGGAGCCCAGACAGCAGTTCCAGAGCTTTGGCGCTTGTCCAGAAGTGGAAATGAAGCTGTGAGATGAGGCCACATGATTGGCTCGAGAGGGTATCGTCGGCTGTCGCAGATGAACGACTCGTGAAATCGATCGATGGAGAAGGTCACCAATGATCCAGATGAGGCTCCTCTGCAGAGAGGTTTGTGAGAGGAATTGATGTGTACGATACTTCTCTGGTGGCTCGTGGGCTGTGGTGACTTACAGTGATGCTGATGTGGTAGGTAGTTTGGTCTGATAGACGGGAGAGCTTCCATGTAGTAGTAGACATCAACGTCTTGGAGTCATTGAGCGTGGCAACATGGACTGGAACGAGACAAACCCTTGAGAAGGGATCCAGGACGTGGCTAAGCATACAGTATTCTCACAGGAGGCAGGCTGAGCTTATCAGCCGGCGCAGTACAACCTGTCATGTTTTTGCTCACATGCAGTTCGTCTCACCCCTGAAAAGGACAACCAACTCCGGGTATACCAACGATGGGGGGGAAAACGTTAGGAAGCTAGGCCAAGTCCCTCTGAAACAATTTACCATATCTGGATCAGTCGCGGGATTCTGATGCCGGGGATATAGAGGCTTTCAACGACTACATGTCAGTCCTGCCACCAACACGCGAAACCCCCATTCCTGAGCAGAGATCACGAGATTAAGCAATCAACGCGTCTCGATCTTCTGCAAGGGGCCACGAGAACGAGCTGATTGAGCACTCAATTTCCTCATTGGACTCAATTGTTACGAGTGCCCTTTTGTCGAATTATGTCATTTGGCCTCGCCAGCAGTGGCTCGGTTCGTATTAGTATACACCCTCGACTGCTCCAAAGCGCGTTTGAACCCCGAAATGAGCTCTGCGAGACAGCATGAAACACATCACATTACCTCATAGTATGCTCATCAACTCAATTCCTTCCAAGTCCCAGCCTCACTTGCAGAGGGAAAATGACATGTAGCATCTCGACCCGAGTATACGGTTCTGGACCAGAGGTGTGGTTCAACATCAGGGGGGTTTGTCGTCTAACTCGCCAGGAGGCAAACCTCGAGTGCCTTTCTATATCGAAAACATGATATATCCATCCCAACCTCAGCCTTACCTGTTTGCCTCCTCCTCCTCCTCCTCCTCCTTCTTCTTCTCCTTCTCTCTCCTCCGATACATGAAGCCATTCACATCATCAGCAACAACTCCGTCTTATCGCTGACTCCGACATTCCATCCAGCAGCCCTCCATGAGCAGTCTGCCAGCTGGCCAGCCGCTCGCCCGCCCTTGCACTCACCCACCAGCCTGCATGCTGAACCAAACGGCTCGCCCCCCTTATTTCATCTGATCTTCCCGTTTGCTCGAGGCCCCAATGAATGTTGTTGAGGGAAAAATTTTCGTGTGCTAGCCTTTGAATTTTTTTTCTCAACTTGGTCCCTTTCTTCTTCTCTCTTTGTCTTTCTAGCAGACAATCGATTTCTTTTCATCTCAAAACTCCCCCTGCTTCTTGGACTCGAGGCCTGTCCGTCCCTCATTTTGGCCCTTTTTTGATCATCATTCAAAAAGAAGAAACAAACAGTTCCTATAATATCAGGAAGAAGTTGATCACCAAGATCCATCAAAGATGACAATGCTCAGCAACCCCGAGCCATCGAGCCTCGTTGCTCAGGAGCCTCGTCCCCTGGAACCTCCCATCATCGACATCCCGCCCGTCACTTCTGGAAGTCAGGGAGTTCCCAACTCGCCGGTGACTTCAATTGCCGCGAGCGAGCAGACCATCGTCGCCCAGGAGGATGGAGCTGGCGATGGGGCTATTCCGGACGGCGGACTTCGGGCTTGGTTGGTTGTTTTGGGCGGATTCTTGGATTTCGCGATTGCTTTTGGTGAGTCTCTCTCCCCCCCCCCCTCAACTTGATATGCACTCACGACACAGCTGATCCTGACATGGACCTGCTGCAACAGGACTTGTCAACTCTTTTGGTACGTTCCAAGCTCGCTATGAAAGCGACTGGCCTTGGCTTTCCACCTCGACCATCACCTGGATCGGCAGCATTCAAGTAAGTCACACTCACTCCCCCCCTCCCCCTTTTCCCTCAAAATCAAGCACGGTTCTATCCCCAAGGGAACACTCAATGGCTAACCAAATCAAATTCCAGCTCTTCATCCTCTTCCTCGGAGGCGCCGTTGTCGGCCCCATCTTTGACAAACACGGCTCCCGCGCACTCATGTTCTCCGGCACCGCCGTCTGTCTGCTCTCCTTCATCTGCTCCAGCTTTGCTACTCGGTACTACCAGTATCTCTTGGCTCAAGGAATCCTGCTCGGCATCGGGAGCGCGCTGCTGTAAACCCAACCTTCTCCTCTCATTCTCTCTCTCTCTCTTCTCACCATCACGGGCGAACCTCAAACAAACACGAATATAAACTAACACCTCGAATCGCGCAGCTTCTACCCAGCTACCGGAGCCATCTCAGAGTGGTTCAACCACAAACGAGGCCTCGCCCTCGGCATCGCCCTCTCCGGCTCCTCCGTCGGCGGCATCTTCTGGCCCATCATCATCAACAAGCTCTTCGCCTCCGTCCCGGGCCCCTGGGTCCACCGCATCATCGCCCTCATCTCCGTCCCCGTCCTGCTCATCTCGTGCTTCCTCGTCCGCGAGCGCAAACTCACAGCTCCCGCCACCGCCATCGTCATGGTCGTCACGGACACCGAGGCCAACCTGAGCGGCAGCGTCACCACGAGCGCCACCAAGCCGGAGGCGGACAAGGACAAGCTCGAAGCCACCGCGGCCGAGACGAGCAAAGAGGGCTCCGGCATTCTCGAGGCCGTCTGCGAGCGCCGCTTCGGAGCGCTCTGCCTCTCGCTCTTCTTCATCTACGGCGGCATGCTCGTCCCCTTCTACTACATCCCGCTCTTCGCCATCGAGCACGGCCTCGGCGCGACAAAGGCCAACAACCTGCTGGCAATCGGATACGCCGGCTCCGTCGTCGGCCGCGTTGGCAGTGGTTGGATCGCCGACCGCTTCGGCCGGTAAGTCAACCTCTCCCCCCCTTCTTCTTCTTCTTCTTCTTCTTCCCCCCCCTTTTCTCTATGTATTCTCCCTCTCCCTCTCCCCATCTTCACCCTATCCTCTCAGAATATCGTCCCGACTAAGTCCATCCATCCAAACACCAGCTTCAACGTCTTGTTCATCATGGGCGTCCTCACCGCCACAATCACCTTCTCCTGGGGCAGCATGACCTCCCCCGCCGGCATGACCGCCTCCGCCCTCCTCTTCGGCCTCTTCTCCGGCGGCCTCGTGCCCCTCGGCTCCGCCTGCGTCGCCCAGACCACGCCCGACATGGGCCGCATCGGCCTGCGCATCGGCCTCATGATGGCCTTTGCCTCCTTCGCCGCCCTCGCCGGAGGGCCCGCCAGCGGCGCCATCAAGGACGCCACCGCCGCCTGGCTCGCCGTCTACTCCTTCTCGGCGGCGCTCACGCTGGCCGGCGCCGGATTGCTGCTCGCCGTCCGCTTCTGGTGGAGGCCGTTTGGCGACAAGGCTGTCTTTTGAAGAAGAGTTGTTTCAAAGTTTTTCTGATTTCTCCGTCGGCTCTCTTTAAGTCGTGAAAGGCTGTTATTACCCCCATTTTTTTTCTGTGTTGCTTGATAGGAAGTTTTGTTGAGCTGGAGAGTTGTCAAAGTCTTCCATCTAGGGCAGACTCGACGGAGCAGTCTGCTGGCCACAGCCTGGTGGTGGGTTACGGCATTGGTGCTTTATGAGAATACAGAAGGCGATCGAGACATGGATGTTATAAGAAGGCGTTTGGGCTGCACAGGTTTGGCATTGTCGATTTATAACTGCATGATGAAGGGAGAGCTTTGACGGTGAAGAAAAGCTTCAGTAATGAGATTAAGACGTGAATAATGAATTACGGTAAACAACAAGTTAATAAAGGGCAGCAAGCCCAATTCCTTGAATCAAGTACCATATTCTTCTACTCTTTCGTTGAAAAGCTTCATCGTGACCAAGTAATACTGCAGACAAAATGCTTGCAACCTAGTACTGTCTATTAGAGTACAATCTGAAACTACCTGATAAAGTCCCTATATCGTATAAGAGTACAAATAAAAAGAAAAAGAAAACAAGGCGCTTGTCTGTTTCGTCTCGCCATGCCCACCCATTGCAGAAAAGACAGTGGAATAAAGAGCGTTGATTGTGTGATATTCGAGGACACCATCCATTCCCAGTTCTAATTCTCGAACGCTTTGCACCCATATTCAGAAAGCAAAAAAAGAAGAAAAGACGATAGCGTGGAAGCGAGAGAGTAAACATGTCGCATCATTTCTTCCGGCCTTTGGGTGGTTTCTGAAGTGGCGAGTAGTCCTGGACAAACTCTGCATCATCCAAGCACTCCGTAACGACCGGGTTGACAAAGATGTGGTGCTGAAGCCCGCCCTTGAAGATAATTCTCATAAAGTTCACTCTAAAGTAGAGAGACCAGTTGTCAACCTTGGCAACTTGATTGCCCAGCCTCAGCTTGCACCGGTAACCATACTCTGCCCGTCCCTCGTCAGTACGCAACGAGGCCGGCACATGCTCGCCCTTTTCGGGAATGTACTGAGCCGTGGAGTAAAATGGGCCGACGCCCCTCTCGAGCGAGGTCACTACGCTGACCAGGCTCTCTCGCAGATTCCGGCGGTGCTTTCTCGAGACCGACTTGGCGCTCAGCTTGGCCAGTTCCCTCATGCGATCGGCCAGCCTCTGGGGATCGTACTGAAGCTGAAAAGGCTCGCCCGTCTCTTCCAGATGGTGACGCGACGCCTCAAAGATGAGGGCGATGCATCCGCCAGCGTTGGATTGGATCTCAACGTCGTCGCTATCGAGCTGGTCCACAAACGCATCCATGGCCGCGTCGGCATAGTCGGAGAAGTCGGCCACATGACTGGCAACGAAACACCACCCCTGCAGAGCGGCTGCGACGATGACGACATTGTCATGTGCGTCGATGTGCTCTCCGTCGGTGCGCACAATCTCGACGAAATATTCCATCACCTCCAGGGCAGCCTCTTCCAGGCCACCGGCGTAGAGCACCGTCACACAAAGTGCGTATATCGCGTAGACGCGGCAGTCGTCGTCATCATCGTCCATCAAGATCTGCTTGAGAATCCTTTGCGCGCCATCGTAAATCTCGAGGGTATCGACCGTTCCGACTGTGAGGACAAAGGCCTGCAGACTAAGCAGTCGCTCCTTGGCCGTGGCGGCACGATTGGCGTCATGAAGAAAAAGCTCTGCAAGCTCGCTCGCGGCATCATCGAGCCAAAGATGGGTCTCGGCGGTATATTGGTGCCGAATCTTGTTGATGTAGAGGCTGAGAGAATGTTCGCGCATCTCGCCGTTGTTGCGTTTTCGGTCTCTGATGCTCGTGATAAAGGCGCTGACGTCAAAGACATGGGTGTCGGGCTCGTCGCTCACTTCTTCGCCAGATCCGCCAGAGTAGACGCTGGATGCCATGTCGTCCAATTCGAAGTCGACATCTTCGTCACTAACATCGGATGTAACGCGGCTCTGTGCAGCGGAATGGCTCGGGGACGTCAACAGCGAAGGCAGCGGAGAGCCTCGCGGCGTGCTAGCGCCCGACGCACGACCCGACTTGATCGCCTTCTTGGAGACTGTCTTCCCGTTGCCCTTGAGGGCTTTGACTCGGGCGTGGTTCATCATTTTGAGATGCTCACTTGTTGGACAAAGGGCTTTGTGCAGGTGGATTTGAAAGGATAAAGGAAGAAAAGAGATAATCGGTTCTTGCGAGGTCGACTACTGATGTGGCTTCTGTTGGCCAGGCAGCCTCCAAGCTAGATAGTCGATGATTGACCAGAAGTCGCCGGCGTCCGAAGTCCAATGCAAGGAAATGGCTGGGAATCAGACGTGCCACTCGTCCTGGTCTTGCAGCCCTGGGTAGCCGGTCTCGTTTCTCCCCTTCGATTCGCTGAAAACACAGACTGCGTCACGTCGGTTTGCGCTTTGGTCTGGATGAGCCGAGGTTGTGTGCGAGAGCGTCGAATGATGGATTGATGGGATTGTGGAAGAGTAGACCGTCCATCAGATAGAGCGTCGAGAGTTGGGGAGCAGGAGGCAGATATTGGAAAAGCTGCAGCGCTGAGCAGACGAGAGTCGGAAGCGCAGAGACGACAGCGTGAGACGAAGGTGAGAAAGTCAAGAAGCACAACTGACGCAGGTTTTTAAAGGGAAGAAGAAGAAGAGGAAGAAAAGCAGCAGGATGAGACAAAGGTGAGGCCAGAGAAATAAAATAAGAAACAAGGCGAGTGGTTCGGTGGCGTTCGCTTTGTGGGCATGACCGGCTCACAAGCTTCATCGTCCCATGTCGACGCTACCTGAAAAGTGGTCTCCGCTAGGCTGATCGGGGCAAGTACTAGGTAGCCGGTACTTGCTTAGGGCAAGGACCACGATCGCCGCCAGACATGTGAGAAGCTGCAAGTCGAGCTGCAGCATCTGGGCGTGTACCGGTACTTTGGCCTCGCAAGGGACGAGTACCTCTGCACTTCGACTTTATTGGAGTTGCAGTGCTTCTTCTGCTCTCCAGATCGTGTGAAAAAGGCTTCAATTTGCGACTATTTGGTGTATCATCAATGAGACTGCCCTGCATCGGCCTTTGCCTCGGTCCTACTGCGTCTTTGCAGGAGATGGTTCCTTACTTGCCGTCCTCCGTTGCCTCCTATCTACCTACCTAGGTAAAGCTCTGGTGGTTGATGATGACGCTGGCATTACAGTGCTCTGATACACCTATAAGGTACGGTAAGGTAGAGAGACACGGACAACTGCCAGTGAGACCTCGAAGCTGTCGGCAAGTAGCGGTACCTCCGCTGGCCTCGGAGCCCCGTCGCCCCAGCCAAGTTCGGGCGACTCCGCAAAGCGACGCAGCATCATCCCTGCTGGTCATGCGTCATTGCTGTAGCCACTTTAACGCGCAACTGTCGAGATAAAGCCGGTTTGTCTGCGAGTCTGGGCTGATATTACTGATTCATCCGTGATTCCAGCTTACGAGTGATTTTCTCCCAGGTCTGTTTGCTTCTATTTCGGTGACACAGCGAAAAGGCGATGCCGATTCATGTCCGTTCGCTTCGCGTTGCTCTTCTCTCCTGGCGCCACATCTTCACGCGCCCCGAGCTGCAGCTGCGATTCGCTTCTCGGCCAACCTGTTGCCTATGAAAACCAGCCTATGCAATGCGACAGGAGCTGCATACTGTATCACAGCTGGCGCACTTGGCCAGCAGGCAGAAGCTCAGCCTGATTCGCCTGGCTGGGACCGCTCTTGGGAATTTGGGCATCGGGTCACCAGGCCGTCATATCCCGAGAGAGCGAACCGGAGCTAGCCCAAGGGCGCTGGAGAGGAGGAGCCTTTCCGGACAGCCTCATGGACCCTTGCTGAGGATTTGCGAGACTAACACCCGCCTGGCCGAAGCCTAAAGACAGCGCATTCGTCTTCTGTTGAGCAGACTCGATACATCCGAAGGTTGCGCAGCCTCCTGGCCTCCAGTCAAACTGAATCTTTGCCGGGGCAACCGTGATCAACAGCTCGCTCACTAACTGGACATGGGCGAGACTTCCCCCCCTCTCACTGCAGACCCTGCATCAGCCACTCTGCAACCATGATTATGTCGAGTCGGCACAAGAGACGTCGGCCTTCTCCTTTGGCCATCGTAAGCCCATGCATGCTAAGGCTTCTCTTTCCAAGAGCAGTGAGGCCTCTAGATCACTCCCCTGGGGATCAGGCCGTATTGCTTGTACTCCATTAACGCGAAGAGGCCTCGATCAAAAGACAATGGTGAAGCAGAATGCCTGGCTGGCGCGCTAAGGCAGAGCAAACGCAGCTGCAGCAGCTGACCTGCACCCGTCACGGCCCGTTAATCGGTACAGCAAGGCCATGGTGGCTGCCCGTACCTGTACCTGCTTGAGCGAATGCGAGGACATGGCCAGCGTCATCGGCAACTGTGCGAGGCCGGTACTGCTACTGCGGCTCGTCCGATTTGAAGGTCGCCAAGGCACCCGACTGCAGCAGCGAGTTTCTCTTCGGCTGCCACGCAAAGCTGCAGAGACCCGCAGCCTCGCTGACGACCGACGACGCTGCAGTTCGTAGACTCAGACAGTGATGCACTTGCATCTCCTCTTCAATCGACATCCTGACCTTTGATGAGTTCTTCCTTGCGTAGGTAGGTATCAAGATTTGGTCAAGGTGGTCGATGCCCGCCTCTAAATGCTCTGAACCCGAGGCTCCATCCCCCAGCTGTCAGTGACATGCTTGTACCGGTACCCCAGTCTCCGCACCCGGCTGCTCGATGAAGCCCCACCCAAGCTGCGATAAGCCCTCTCATCGCGGGGCTTACCTTATCGCTGCCTCCACTGCGTCTGCCTGGGGCTGCCTGCAAGGTCTCGATACTGACGTCTGCTGTCGACTGTCAGATGCATCGAGGTTCACGGCAGGTACCGCTACCTTGACTGCGCTCTCCGTCCAAGTCCTCTTCATGTCCTCTCTGCATGCAGCGCCTCTGAGCTCTGCTGTTCAGTCTACCTTATGTACCTACTTTGAATCCTCCATCTCAAGCAAGGCACCTTGCATGTCCACCGGCCTGTCACCCATCTTCATCGTCAACCCTGCCTCATCTTGCTTACGGCGCCTGATGTCTCAGATGACACCCAGCGGACAAGCAGCCCCTTGACCTCCCCCTTGGGCACGGCGCCAACCCGACGACCGGACAGTGAGGATACCCGAGCCTTGCGCCCACATGCTGTACCGGCTGGATACCTGCTCAGTACCTGTACCTTGCCTTGCCTTGCCTTGCCCCCTACCTACACCTTAGAGGTAGGTTCACCTCTCAGCGCCTCGGTCCCCCCTCTGAAACACTATATTTTAGACTCCAGGCCGCTGTTGGACAGCGCCCGAGTGCTTTAACCTCTGAAGCCAAGGTGACTCGAGCCCCACCCATTCCTTGACTTCCGAACCTCGACCTCCTCCTCTCCCCTCTTGACAAACAGCCTCCCGCTCGCCTTCTCTTCTCTGTGACCTGCTTCATCTCTTTTGCGCCTGTGTCTCCTACTCCTCCTCCTTCCGTCCCGACCGATTCGTTTGTTTGCTCGAGTCCTTTGCCGCCTCTGCGTTTGGCCGCCCGCGAGAAGAAGCACCCCGGAGAGCCTCCCTTCTCTTGCCAGGCTATCGACAGCTGGGATTCACCCACCTCGACTCGGCTCTCGAGCTTCAGCCTAGCCGGAGTTGCGCCTCAAACCCGACCGATTCTACACTCCCAAACGACATTCCCAAACGACATTCGGGGCACATCAAGTAATAAGGCATAGCCTTCATCATGGCCTCCCCCATCGAAGGTAACTTTCCCCTCGTCATGTTGTGTCGCAACACTCGAGGCTCCCCAAAGCTAACTCGTGATGCAGCCGTGGTCAATCTGACGGCCATAGATCCGCCTGAGTGGTTCGTCTATCCAGTCCGCCGCCTTCTGCTTGACTCTTCAAAGTCAGTGGCCTCCATCGGCCGCATGAGCAGCAGAAATGGCGACTATACCGCCGAGGAAAGCAACGGTTGGATGGAATCTGCCGTCATGTCCAGACACCACGCCACACTCCTTTTTGACCCCCAAGCACAGGTATGTCAGGATGACAAACAAGGACACACGATTCCTTTCGCAAGACGGCTGCCATGGTTCGGGCTCTAGCTAATTCGGATTGCAGAGGGTCTTCATCAGGGACGTTGGCTCCCTCCACGGAACCTTCTATAATGAAACTCGACTGCAGAAGCATCAATCCCAGGCCTTGAAGGACGGTGATATCCTCCAGTTTGGCATTGCCATTGCCAGAGGATCAGACACTTGCCCTCCTTGCAAGATGCGAGTTGGCGTCGAGTTTAGGCCCTGCAGGTATGCTTTTCCTCCTCCATTCGCTCGTTCGTTGAGAAGCAATCTCATCTAACATGTCAACAGCTCCGTACAAGGCCCAACTGTTTTCAGAGTTCCCGACGATAGCGACGAAGAAAGCGAGGAAGAGTACATCGAGGACGAAAACATTCGATGGAGCACCCAAATTCTCCGGGACAACGGTATCCGTCCAGCCAAAAATTGCATTTCTCGAAACCCCGTAATCACTATTGACGAATCTGACAACGAAATGGACTCGCCAGCGCCTGAAACCGAAGAGCAAACAGTCTCTGCCAGGTCCGTTCAGGACCACATGACCGACAAGACTGGCTCTGACAAGTTTCCCTCGCGCATTCATACTCCTCGAGAGACGATCGATATTCCAGACGACATTTCAGACGACGATCCCATGTTCTACGAGGACGAGTACGACGGGGACGAGGTGACTGACTCTGATGATGGTGAGTGTGCTGCGCTTCAGGAGACTTCAGATCGAGCTCTATCATATTCACCATACTGACAATTGTGCTAATCTAGATCACTCCTCACTGGGAGACCATACTCCACACGACACATTGGGCGGAAGCTTCTTGGACAAGAGCCACGATGGCTCTCGTCCCGATGCTACCGAGATCCACGAGGCTGAAGTATACGACCGGTTCGAGAATGACTGCCTTCCTCCGATCTTGGAGGTGTCGCCCGCGAATGCTGCCTCTGCTTCAAACCAACCCCGGCCCAGTGTCCATTTACCCTCTCTTTTCGATTCATTCCGATCGCAGGAGATTCCAACAACCCAAGACGAACTCCCAAGCGACCCAGTCGCCGAAACGGAGAGCGCGATCGAGTCCGCGGCGCCCCTTGAGCGGGATTGGCCTAACTGGCCTAAAGATGTTGCGGAAAGCCGAGCGACAGAACCAAGTCGCCTGCTGGATTCGGGAGCCAAGTTTCTTGAGACTCCGTTGAAGGAGCAAGATTTTGCAAACCCTGCGGTTGAGCCTCCTCTTGAGTTGGACGAGACTTCGGCCTATCAATTCCAGGTGACAAAGACCTACTTCCAACAACAACTTCCTTCTTATCACCATCAGCACGATGAGTCTAGCAGCGCAGACTCTACTGGTGACCAGCCTGCAGAGCCGCAGGAGCGGGCAGCTCCCAACAAGCGCAAGGCGGAGGAGATTTCCGAAGTGACAGTCGAGGAAATTGCATTCGCTCGATCCAACCCAGTCGATCACTCAGCTTCGCCCTCTCTGCGGCCCAGAGCCCTTGATGTTGAGATGGACGTTTCTCCAGCCGCCGCCCATTCCGCAGTTGAGGGCCCGCAGGCAAAGCGACTGCGCAAAGCTGCCGAGATATTTGGCTACGCCGCACTTGGAGGAGTGGCAGTCATGTCTGCTTTAATTGCCACTGCTCCAACGCTGTAGGCGCTTGTGGACCGTTGACTCTTGAAGAACTGTCATCTTCCTTGACTTCCCTTCTCTTTTGTTCTTGATACGATCTTCTTTCTCGTCGATGTCCTGTTTCCTGTTTTGACGAACTCTGATTGTCTTGACCTGGATCCGAGTTATCGTCTGTTGGCGTTGCGGTATACGAGTCTATCATCTGCTAACCACTTGTGAGGCTGGCCGCCATGATTTGATCCGACTATCAGCTCTCTTTGGTCGATTAGAGACATGGATTGGACCTAGCTTGATGGTTTATCCTACCTTTTACTTTCATGTATTTTTCGTTTTGTTATTTATGAATCCCCGTGGCTACGATCTTTTCTTACCCGGTATTTTGTAAGGGGAACATTGACTCGTCTTCTATGTAACAGGGACCTTGAGGAGGAATGAACTTTTATACCCTGAAGGGATAGTCAATAAATTGAATCCATTTCTTCTCTTTCTTCTTTGCACTCTGATGACTCTTGTATCACTATTGATAGGCGTGTCTCTGCTGGGTATTCCTTTGATGCCGTTTGGATTGACACTTGCCTTACCTATCTCCTACCCACCATTTTTGTCGTTATTATATCTTGGCAATAAGGCATCCATCAACGTGCGTGGACATTTTCCAAACAGGCAAACTGTGTTACTGAGCACACAAGGTAGCGGGAAACCCATGGCGGAAAGACACCTTCTCTGAATCTCCGAAAAAACCGCACGCTTCACAGGGCGAGGAGAGGAAAGCTCGAGTCACCCAATCACAGCCTCCTCGTTACGGAATATTTTCGTCAGCGTGTAATACCGGTGGTACGCCCCCCCTCCCTTTGTTTGATGGCAAGGAGGGGAGGGGAGGCGAAAGGGGGGAGGGGATGAGCATCCGTGGCTTTGTGAGGTTGGAAGGGCCTTTCGCTCTCTCTTTCTTCTTCTGCCTCTGTGGACAAAATCTCATATTGCCGTTTTTCTGTAACCTGTTGCTTTTTGTTTCTGGTGCTGTTGCTGCTACTGTTGCCGCCGAAGAGTGTTGTTGTAGTTGTTGCTCAAGGGTTGCCAAGAAAGACTTGGCTCGTTCGGCAATATCAACTTGTACATTGTTGTACTCCGCATACATGGAAGCAAAAATATGCCATCTGCCGTCGAAGAGTTCCCGTTGACCCCATATGGGCTAGGAACCCATGTTGAGACAGGTCAAGGCTTGCCCACAACAATTTCGAGAAGAGGAAGGGGGAGAAGAGAAAAATTGCCAACCGAGGCGAGACGTTGAGGGAAATTCGAGGCGGCACCGCAAAACGCCACAAGAGAATCCATTGCGTTTCTCTCTCAAGGCGCACCTAGCTTGGGAAAAGCACAGCCTGAAACGCCATGAGATCTTATGACCACGGAAAAGGGCATACAAGTCTTCTCTCCTCGTTCCCTCAACTCCCCCTCAACGGCCAGGCCGGTGCCGAAGCGTCGGAAAACGGGTCTGGCGAATAAGGACTCGTATGGTTAGGTAGACAGACACAGTCGTGTACCTATACACCATTCCTCGACCCAACGCTTACCCGCAGGAGCATCATTATCGGTGCCGAATGTAGTCAAGAGGAGCGTCAAGTCACCGCCTTGCCTAGGCGGCAACAATCAAAAAGGGGGGAAGCCTCTCGAGATAGCCTTCGCTTCGTGTTTCAGCAGAGAGCGAATCCAGTGGGCGCCTTTTCCACGCCAGTTCTCCAATCATTTGTCGAGTCCTTGCTACTACCTCATAGTGCTCTTGGTATCGGCCTGTGTTGTGTTTCTCATTGTTCCCTTGTCTTCTTTTCTTCTTCTCTCCCTGACCTAGTCCCCTCAACGAAGCGAGAAGCCGCATGTCGGATTGCGGATCCGAGAGAGGTGTCATTGCCCGCCGCCATGACGGGTGTGTGCGCACATGATGAGGAAAAGCCGGTGAGGACTCTCTGGGAGGGGAGTGCAAGCAGCGGAGAGACGAAAAGGCCACAGACCGGTGTGCAAGTGAGGGAGCAGCAGCCCCCACGTGGCGGGCCGGTCAAGAAGGTTCGGGAGGGTTATCCGCATCGGTTGATGCCTGATGCAGCTTTCCATGAGCCGATCATTGAGGGGGTCCTTTTGCCTGCTGGCGGCAGCAGCATATGGTACGAACGATGGGTGCTCTGCAGATCTCGCAACGAACGAACATGCCGAGGAATTCCGTACCAAAGGCGCTGACGAGGAGGCATAGAGTGACCAGCCTGAACTCGTTCCTAGAGAGGCAGAGGGTGCACAGAGCGGATTTTGACTCGTGGCCCGTATTGTATGGTCCAAGACCGTTTCGGAGGGAGCCAAGAAGGCTGCCGATATAGGCCTGGTGACTATCATGTCCAAGCCATCTGGGCGCCAGAGCCGTCCAGGGTTGGTGCTCTCTTTCGGCGGGAGGCATTCGACCAGGGATAGCTGCATGCTGTTTGTGTTGCGGGACACCAGCCACTGCGTCGGATCCATCACCCTCGAGACAGCCAGGGGCGCGCCCCAATGACCAGCCATTCGCGCTGGGTCATGACAAGTGCAATAGCCGGATGCTCCCGTGCCCAAAACAATGAACGACATACCATTGCCAAGGCGAGGGCAATCGTCATCTTGCAGATGGCACGTTTCGGGGTTGAATTCCTCTAGTCCCCGACTCCTCATCTCCTCCAGCCGAAGAAGCGAGCAGCAACCAGCGTCGAAAGGCAACCCTTCGGAGACCTGACCGGTCCGGTTATTGACAAATGAGAGGGCATTGAGATCAGCCATCACGGGTGGCTGCATGATCTCAAGCCCCAGCGCACAAAAGGGAACGGTCCGGGTTTGGCAGAGGACAGCGTACGGGGCCCATTGTCGCAGTTAAACACCCAAATCGGCTCATTCATACCAGAGCGGCAACTGCTAGGCACATCTCTCATTCGACGAGGGCTGTGCGCGGGAAAAAGGCAAAGGCAACATGATGAGGCGGTAAGACTTTGTTCGACATAACCGAGCACTCGTCCGCGAGGGTGGCGCATCAGAGGCCGTGCCTTGGGGACGGTTTTATTATGCTGAAGCAGAGAGCATTCCACGTAGAATCCATGTCCAGCCAGGCGGGTCGGTATCACGTTGCTTTTAGCCTAGTTGCTTCGACTATATGCCGGGGCAACCACACAGGTTGAGATAGAGGCCATCGTGAGGTTTGTTGCAGCCGATGCGTTGGCTAAACGATGGTCTGATGATGATCGAGGCGGTCAAAGGATTCACGGTCTCTCGGATAGCGTATAATAAAGGCAGACAGTATGATGCTGTTGACGCTGCCGAGCGCTTGTAACGTCGAGATGGGTATTTAAGAAGGCTCGCCGCTCATTCTTTCGAGTTCAATCATAACTTCAAGCGTCCGTGTCAGTCACTTTTCAGCAGACATAAAACCCACTGCTTCTCTGCATTTCACTTTTCGTTTCGCCTCCAAGATCGAGTCCATTAGAGTTAAGCGAGCACCAGATATACACCAATGGCGTCTGAATTTGCTGCTGGCATGAAGGCGGGCATGGTGCCAATAAGCTGCGACATGTGCAGCATGAGACAGTATGTTCTTCCATCGACGTCTGTTGCGAAAGTCCCAATTGCTAAAGCCAGGGTTTGAAGGCTCGATTGCGAGTACTGCAGAGGCTCGCTCGTCAGGATGGTCCCCCATGATTATCCATATCTCTCATCATTGCCAGCTGCACCATTCGCTCACAAGGCCGGCACGTCATCACCAGGGAAAAGCAACCATCCAGACTCGGGGCACAGATCCTCGGGAGTCTATTCAAAGCGCAGTTAGCCGGCCCCAGACAACCACTTTATGATATCAGCCATTTGTGTAGATTTTCTTCAGTGTATATTCCGTTCGAAAAAGATGAGACAATTTGGCCTCATGGTATGGTTACATGGGAGAAGAGAAAGAAAGGAGGGATGGCGGCGTTCACACTTGCCAGGACGCAGGGAGGCCTGGCTTGAAACCTGAGGGACATATAGCATCACTTGGCGACGAGTATGCCGGTAGCCAAGCAAGATGGCAAGGTGTCACGTATGTGTGACTTTTTCATTTATCCGGAGCGAGGTCCTGTAACGAAGATGATCTGCTGTACACGAATTAGACACGGTCAATATCATTCTTCCTTATTTCGATTGAGAGATAATCTGATCAAGTGGGTACTCGAACCGAACTCTGGAGATATCAAGTTGCGAGTAGCCTCTTAGTTCAGAGCAGACGAGGGTATCCAGAGAGGGTGGTAGTATGAAGCATTGGACGAGCGGCCTTGTTTCCCCAGCCACGATTCGCTTGTATCGGAAGCTGTTCCCTCGCAGTTCATGCGTGCCTTGGTATCTTGTGCCACGTCAAGGTCATGAGACGCTGGGCACATTGTCGATGGGGAGTAGACGTAGCAACATGACGAGAGCATCCGATGATCGAGCCCGGCAACCGCTCCTCGGATCAAGCGTAAAGGCCACTTGGCCAATTGTGTGTTGCGCCATCGTATGCAGTGATATTATTGAAAATCAGCTGGCTGGAGCGCGGCCTGCTCGCTGCCCTAGACGGTGAGTCGAGTCAAGAAGCGAAAAGCATCTAGAGGCGGCCCCATGATGGCATCAACGGCCAGGCGCATTTGCGGCTTGTCACGTGCTTGCGAGCAAAGCCAACCGTTGGAGAGTACGAGGTCTTTCGTACGAGCTGCAGGTCCAGAGTCCAGGCTAGGCACTCGACTGTTGCAAGAATGGGAAATGGTTGGTTGTGTATCCTGATCAAGGTCCTTCTGCTGGCCTCGTCACGATGCGGGTCAAGGTAAGCAAGCATGAAGGTAAGGTTGAGCTACGGAATAATAAGAGACAAGGTATCCGTACCTACCTTACCTACAATATTGCCCACGGCGTTTCTTCGGGTCAAGACAGATGGGCACCTAGTCTTTAACGGTCAATCAGCGCCAGAGAATGCTGGAGAGCTCTGTAGAACTTACCTAAGCGCGGAATCAATTACCCAGCGGAACCTCGCAGCCTCGCCAACCGTCCCGATCGAACAAGCTCCAGCTTCGTCGCCGCAACAAGCAGGAACTCTGTGAGCTTCAAGTCGGTGACAAAAGCAGTCGCAATGTCCGTCATTCTGTGTACCGGTCAGTCTTGAGTCCGTTCCGAGCTTCTATCCCCGTCGGCCTGCAACCCCCCCCCCCCCCCCCCTCCACCAAGCTGCTAACGAACAATGACGACACAGCCGGTTACGACCACACAATCAGGTTCGCAGACGTGCGCCATGAGAAGCTCGCTTGAACGCGCAGTGCTGACTCCCCTCCGACGCAGGTTCTGGGAGGCGCTGTCGGGGATATGCTCGCGGACGATCCAGCACCCTGACTCTCAAGTGAACCGTCTCTGCATCTCTCCCGACAAGCGGTTCCTCGCCGCGGCCGGCCACCACACCGTCAAGCTCTACGACATCAAGTCGACGAACCCCAATCCCCTGCTCACGTTTGAGGGGCACACGGGCAACGTCACCGGCGTGGCGTTCCACTGCGAGGGCAAGTGGATGGTGACGAGCTCCGAGGACGGCACGGTCAAGATTTGGGAGACGCGGACGGGGACGATCCAGCGGAGCTACAACCACGGGTCCCCGGCCAACGACGTGGTCATTCACCCGAACCAGGGCGAAATCATCAGCTGCGACAGGGCGGGCAGCGTGAGGATCTGGGACCTGGCCGAGAACACGTGCGCGCACGAGCTCATTCCCGAGGAGGACGTGTGCGTGTCAAGCGTGACGGTTGCCAGTGACGGAACGCTGCTGTGCGCTGCCAACACGGCGGTATGTCCAGCGGGAAACCGGGTTCTGCCTTTCTTTCTCTAGCGACGGCTAACCTCTGCCAGGGCAATGTGTTTGTATGGCAACTCCGCCAAAACTACGACCAGACGGAGCTGCTGCCGGTAACGCAGTTCAGCGCTCACAAGGAGTACATCACCCGAATCCTCCTCTCCCCCGACGTCAAGAAGCTGGCGACGTGCAGCGCCGACCACACGGCCAAGATCTGGGACATCAGGGACGTCAAGCCGGCGTCGAACCCCGACGAGAAGAGGCCGCTCCCCCTCGAGGCCACGCTCACGGGGCACCAGCGGTGGGTCTGGGACTGTGCCTTCAGCGCGGACTCGGCATACCTCGTGACGGCATGCTCAGACCACTACGCGCGGCTATGGGAACTGCACAGCCAGCAGATTATACGCCAGTACAATGGCCACCACAGAGGAGCCGTATGCGTAGCGCTCAATGACTATTCGGAGACGCGTTAGAGATCCTTTGAGGAGTACTTTTTTTTGGCTGCGATTAAAGCATGAAGACGGCTCGACGGGAAGGAGCCCTAATCCCAGAGAACCACGGTTTGGTTGGCGCGGCGTTGGGTAGTTGCTATTCTGGTAATTCTTTGCTTGCTTGTTACGTTTCATTCTTTTTCCTGGTGATGCAATCTATATTGCATATGGAATGACTGGCCTTTGAGCGCAAGGAGGTGGCAGCGGCTGATGTAGGAGTCAGCTAATGGACGGTCTCAGCTTCCTATCAAGTGTACCTTTCTACCTAGGTAGGCTTTGGATGAGGATGTTGTGCCAGCTCTCTACGATCCACGATGATGCCAGTGCTAGGTATTCGCGATTTTGACAGCTGACACGGGAGAAGCTTCAGCCGAAGGATTGCGCAGCGCTGCGAACTCGACCGAAATCCCGTCGCAAGTTGTCGCCGTATGTGGTTGCCTCAGCTGCTTATACCTAAGATCAAGATTGATTGCCCAAGGTGGGTTACAGGGCTTTCGGGCAGTCTGCTTCTCCCGTCGTAAAATACCTGTAGTATACCTATTAGGCAACCTCGTTTCCTCTTTTTTTAAAAAAAAGTCACGGTTGCATCGTTGCAGAATGGCAAAGCCCAAGCAAGGGGTCCTCCAAAACCACCGATTGGCCCAAAGACCGCGCGGGAAGGCCAGCCATGAAGATTCTCCCATGTGTTCATCTGTCCACGACCCCTGCCTGCAGACAGCGCATCCATTGTTACATACCTAGGTACTAGACGATGTCGAGCCGGGCGCATGCTCGAGCCTCGTTAGGGATCTTGTCCAGCTGTTGGAAAGGGAGGGGGCGTATGTATCCATGTCGAAACACACTGCACACCTACTACCCAGCACTAAAGACAAGTAGAAAGGAATTAGATGATGTAGCTGACAGCTTTGAATACCGGGTCCTCGGGGGCGAAAACAAGCGGTTGTCGTTGGTCGTCGTTTGGCAGCGGCATTGATTTGTGATCTGAGCAAGGGCCTTCCAGCTGGACAGGGATGTTTCGCGGGTACGCTAGTGGTAGCTGAGAAACCGGGGGCGCGGGAACCCCCTGGAACAGCAAAACGACGTCTTTTCTTTTGGACGATAGGTATGTATGTGTGTATCATGTGTGTGTTTGGTTCCTAATCGGTTGTGGTGATAAGAATGAGGGTGGGCGGGAGATGTGCCTGATGATTGCAAGAATGACGACTATTGAATTGGTAGGTATTACTAAGGCTCGTGAAGGCACCTGCGTCATGTCAAGACAGCTCTGCAGGCTAGCAGTTCGCGTCTTGTTTGGGTATCCACGGATGTAAGTAGTATGTACGGAGTAGCTCAGCGATTACCCACTCGAGCCGTTGGGCTACCTAGGTACCTTACCTTAGGTAGGGAGGGCAGCAGCCCAACTGAGGTATGGAATCTTGCCGAGGCACTCGACCACTTCTTTGGCTGCCTCCTTATCTTCGTGCCGGGCATAGCCGTTGCAAACAGCTAGATGCCCGTGGCTTTTGGCGTCTCGGCCGAGCAAATCTGCTACTGCTACTGCTACCTAGTAGCTTGTGGTAGCTGGTGAGACATGGACAAAGCCTGTGCTATGTACCATCTCGATATGGGTTGCTTTCAGTTGTTTACTGTAGCTTTTGTTCGGCAGAAACTCACTACTACTAGTACCTAGTTGCAGCCTATCCAATTTGCTATACGGGTATGGCGTTTGTAGTACTACATACCTACCTTGCCAAGCAAGCAGAATATGCGTACATACAACATTTGAAGGTAACGACATGGCAGCATCACAATTACAATTTCAACCTCTACTCAGATGCCGAGTATCAGCATCCAAAGATACAGACACTATAAGCAACCCAATCCCAATTGCGGCAACGCTCCAAATCGCTCGCTCCGGCCCTGCATGAAGCAGCGTCGCGTGGCAAAAAAAAGATGAAGCTAGTGGAAAGGGAAGGCTGTGCCCGCTGGTGGCTGCTGCCGAGTCCGTCCACACACACTTCGCTAGAGGTATGAAGAGCTAAAGAAAAGAGGCACGGATGGCCGGAGATGCGCTACGCCAACACAGGAATGGCCCCCCTCTTAGAGTCAAAGAGGCGTAAAATGGCCAATCAGAGACCCCAAAACACCCCATCTGGCATCTTCATCTCATCAACCCGTCTTCCACCTTACTTTCCATCGTTTTGTCACCCATTCTTCCTCCCACCTCCACCCACGAGGCTACTACTTACCTACCTATCAACAACAACTACATACGATACGATACGATACAACCTCATCGGGCCTCCAACAGCCTCAACCCTCTCCACTTCCATCATCACACCCTGCCACGTTTCTCAACCCCTCCCTCTCCCCAAGCCCTAAACAACATTCAGAACAAAATGACCTCATCAACAGCCTCATCATCATCATCATCATCATCATCCTCCTCTTCATCCCCCCCAGCAATCAACTACATCCTCTCCTTCATTCTCGTCGGCCTCGCCTGGGGCCTCACAACCCCCTTCATCCGCCGCGCCGCCCGCGCCCACAAGCCGCAGCCTCACCCGCTCCTCGACAGCCCCTCCGTCAGGGCCAGCTGGCTCCGGTCCCGCCTCCTCGCCGCCCTCTTCGCCGCCCTCGACCTGCTGCGCAACCCGCGCTACGCCGTCCCGCTCGTGCTCAACCTCACTGGCAGCGTCTGGTTCTTTCTCCTCATTGGCAAGGCTGGTGAGCCTCCTCCCCCTCCTCCTCCTCTCCTTGTCTTTCTTTTTTTTCTCGCTCTCCTATTCGCCCATCTTGATTCCCTCCACATCGCGTCTTGCCTTGCTTGCTTTTGGATTCAAGGAAACAACGGCCTCCGGGTCCCTTGTCTCAGATCTCGCCCCCCCTCCCCCCCCTTACACCTCCATGCTCCCACACCTAACCGCTCTGCTGGGCTGGCCCATCACTTTCCATTATCTCTTTCAACAAATCCCATGCTTAGTGAGAACATCACGTCTGACCCAATGTTTGTCGCTTGTTTTGGCTGCGTGTTAGAATTGAGTCTTACCGTCCCGATTGTGAATGCCATGGCCTTCCTGTTTACTGTTTTGGGCGAGTGGCTTGTCGAGGGCAAAGTCATCAGTAGAGGTACGTGCCATGCCTTGCCAACTCGAATTGGAGTCCGATCGAGGTCCATATTTAGTCAGAGTGCTGATATTCGTGCTGAAGAGACTGGTATTGGTATGGTTTTGTCCTTGGCGGGAATCGCCTTGTGTGTTCAGAGCAAGAATTGAATACAAAGACATCGTTATACGCATCCAGTCTATTATGTAGTATAAAGTGGTAATAGTCAATTTGCTTCATCAACTCAACTGATGCGTAGAGGTTAATGCAGAAGAAAATAAAACAAACAATTGCTTCCATGAAGGAAGGCTGCTCCAGGCAGTCCCAACAGAAGAACCGTCTAAAACCCATTGCCCTCCCATTCTTGCCCTCAAGATGGGTACTTTTTCGCCATGCAGCATGCAGCACGCCATGCCCACGTCAACAGGACGCCCATACAACCCAGAAAAAGAAAAGAATAGCCACGAAAGAAAGGTATCCCCATTGCCTCATTGCTGCCTTTGGAAGTTGCTGTCCATGCCGATACGCCAAACTTACGCCCGCAATAAGCAGAAATGTCTGAGAGAAACAAGATTGAAACACAGATGAACAGACCTTGCAGCGCCTGCTGTACAAGGTAATCGAAGAAGAAGGAAAGGGGGGGGGGGGGCGAAAGACCGGTGGTAGTACGAAGCAGGTACCGATGGTGTCAAACCCCTGCCAGTGGGTGCCAGTAGTGGAGGTGAGGCTAGATGCACTTCGTGCAGGTATTAGTCCTTCATAGCCGTCAAATAACTTCGGACTCGTGATCGTCAACCGACTCATGACTCGGGCTCCGTTATCGTCGTCGAGACTGGAGCCAGCGCTGGATTCTTCGCAGACTCGGGTCTTCCATTGTCCAGCGACCCTGCGCATGGTCGGCAGACAACAGCTCCGTGTACACGTACTCGTCACTGATGTGCGCCAATTCCTAAGAATGAGTGACGTTAGTGACATTCCCACTATTGCTTTGGCCGTGCATGTGTTGGCGAAAGACTGCCCATCCTTTAACCCCCGACGTGGTCCGGGTGGAGGGTGGAGACGCCATCTGCCACTCGGCAGCCATGGGAAAGGGCTGCGCCCGAGGAACTGGGACCGGGAGGGAGCCTGATGGTGGTGCAGCGCAAGTAGTAAGCTTACCGCTCGAAGCTGGTTGTCCAGGGCTTGCAGCTGGGCATGGTTCCCCGGATGTGGTCGTTGGCCCTGCAAGACCTGTTCCCGGTACCCGATCCATCGCCGTGCCGCCTCCTGCCTCAGCAGTATCTTTTGCGCCTCGTGCCGCCGCGCATACGCATCAAGCAAAACCCTTTGGAGTCATCATGTTAGTTTCAGCTCCGTTGTCAGAAAGCCATCAGGAAATACCTACTGCTGCAACTCGGCTTTGGCCTGCTCTTCCTCTCCCCCTTGGGCCGCGGGCACCCTGGTATCGGCGGCAACTTCAAGAATGTACTGCCCGTCGACAGTGCATTGGCGCAGAACAGCCCATCCTTCAGTGTAGTAGTCCTCTTCGTTTTCTGGCTCAACGGGGCCGGCTGCGATGTAGAGCTGGAGTGTTCGGAAGTCGGAGAGGACCTCAGCAACACGGGCGGTGCGGCACTCGTTCACTTTGTGTTGCATTTTGCGTTAGCCTTTATGGTCACCAGAGAGAAAGCAATCGTAGAATTTGGGGGCCATTTTCCAAGTATAGATGAGCCCTAGAATGTTGTGTTTGTGAGAGAGAGTGGGTTCGTAGATCACGCGCGAGCGCATGTACTTGAACCCTTCAAGGGGGTGGGGGGCGTGCTTCTTCGGGTCTGCAAGTAATATGCTTCACCTGAGGGGACGCTGGGAGAAGAAGAGCGAAACAATGAAAGCAATTTGCCAAGTGCCTCGTGACCTACATCCGTCCATAGTGTCGAGAGAAAAGATTCCAGAGAAAACTTGGGGGCCAGACGCAAAAGGGTGTGCCCAAGGAGCTTAGCTGGTATTTCCGTAGAAGGAAATCCCCAACGATGAGATGCAACAATGGCTCTCGGCCGATCGATTGCCGCTTAGAGACAGTTGGCGCACTTGGTGGCCTCGAGAAGAAGTGAGATAGACGAGCAGAGCGGACTGATGCAGATACTCTGAAGCTGAAGAAACGAGTAACTGGGCTGAGAATAGCAGGACCAAAATCAATAGCTGCGTTCAACGGCGTGGCAAGATGGAGTCGAAGAGACGAAATCAGAGCTCGTTCAGCGTGGCAAGGGCAGTCTAGAGCGAGGAAGACTTGGGCGGGATGCTATGCTCGATTTGCCTCGAGCGAGATGCTCCATCCTTTTGTATGCTTCGTCCATGATCGACCCGTCCGGTGTTGTAGGGAGGATCCAGCATCGCTCTCGCCTGGACCTTGAAGGGCTCGATGCCCATCTCGGCCCTACAGCTACGGTGGACTTGGGCTTTGGCAGACGGATCGAATCTGAGGGTCTTAGAGGGCGACCAGGCTGAACCATCAGCTACCACGAAGCCTCCCGCAAACACCAACGAGAGGTCTCTCTGTCATCTCCACCCCGGTGGCTCTTTGCAAGCTCAGACCTGAAGAACCCCGGACAAGCTGGCAGTTGGGGAGCCGTCCAACCGGAGCGGCTGTCAGCCCTATCCCAGCCCCTTGATGCCCCCTTGGGCCAGCAGCCTGAGGTCCGAGGCTGGGCATTTGTGTGGTGCTAGACAGGGCTGGGGACTCGCAATTTGCGTGTGGGTGACTCTGCGCCAGTACCAGGACCCGTCGATCTCAGCAGCAGACGTCAGGCAGAGCGAGACGAGGCTAACGACTCGAGACAGAGGAAAGCCTTGTCTGCCAGGGGGGTAAAGCGCTTTGGTCCCCGTTCCGTGGGTCAAACGTTCAGGGACCTGTGCATGAGGCCATCGATGTGCCCTGTGACGAAGCCACGAGTAGAGCACATACACATGCAGGTGGGGTGCCAGGGTGTCCCGGCAGCGCCGTTAGATGCACGCCGTAGATGCACGCCGCACCGTCAGACAGCGGTTTGCCGGCTGTTGACGTTGATGAGTGACTCTGATGCTGCAGCACGCACACATTGGGAAGCGTCAGAGCCCCAAGCGGGAGCCCCCTGGTCAGTCAAACCGCGGCTCTGCCTGCCAAGCCCGCGAGACCATGCCATCCGGCTGCCCCTTGCTGGAGACGGAGGGAAAAGCGAGCGAATGATGGAACCGTCGTGTCTGGTCTGTCTGTCTGTCCGTCCGCCCGTCTGGACGCTGCTACTGCACGCTGCAGAGCCGATGCTGGATCCTCGCCTGGCACCCCTGTCGCCCTGCCCTCTGGTGGAGTCGGGCCACGAATGATCGGGCCTATGGCGTGCATCTGGCCTGTCCAAAACGATGCTTCAGCTCCGGCTCAGCGGCGCTACAACGCCAGCCTTGCCGAACGAAGCCAGGGTGACGGGTCCTGCATGAGCTGCGCGTGCCGGGGATCATCGCCAGCGGCCAATCACGGCGCGTTGAGGCCTGCCGGGAGATGCATTGTGAGCTCAGTCAGTGTTCGGTTTTGGACAGCCGACGACGATTGCTGGCGCCTCTTTGAGGGAGAGTCGTGTGTGTGTGTGTGCGTGAGCGTGTGCGTGTGCATATGCGTACATATTACAAGCAGTGATGATGATGCAGAGGCAGAGATCCAGCAGAGACACGCGCTGCGCCCTGCGATTACTGTCCAAGGGCGCATCGAGCCTTCTTCATCCGTTTGGAGGGTCATTCTCTAGAGGCAGTGCCTGCCAACGCTCCTTCCCTATGTACCTCTATAGACCTGTTTCGATTTGTCTATCTGATCTCATCTACCTAGTCCGTTTCGGTCCAGTCTTAATGTTGTGATTTTATCGATTTGATCTATTGTTTTATCAGACAGCCTTATTACTCGGGACTCTCTCCCTCTCTCTTTCACCTCTTCCCATTCCTTACCTCCATCTTCATGGATCCCCAGCGCAGAGCTGCACCTCGATGCGGCAAACAGATGCGCGCGTCATCCATCAGGGGACACGCCACTGACCCCGTGGTCGGTGTTTGCATCTTCAAGTCAATGAGCAGGCCTCCGAGCATTGTGCCTGATTCGATACCATCGCCTGCTGAGCCGATCCCTTGAAAGTGACCCGATGATTTCACTGCAAGGGTCATCTGCTATGTTGCCTCTCTGTCTCTCGGACCCCCTTTACCGAAGCCCCGGCGACCGCGGCATTCAGAAACGGCACAAGGTCCGAATGTCATGATTGGAGTCATAGTCTCGGGCAAGGCTGCTGCCTACTGAACATCGTGGAGACACAATCGAAAGCCGGTGATTGCGCGCATGCGCATATGCATCATGGCCGTGTTCGTGTTGATGCAAGTACAGCTGAAAACGTGCAGATGGATGGGCTTGGCTGATGGACCACCCCATCATGCTTGCTTACATGCTTTGTAATGAAGCGATATATTATACCGAGCTCTCGCGTTGTCGGGAGGGATCATTCAGCTATGATTGACAGAGCTCAGCAAAGACAGCGGCACGGCTGGTGTTCACCGCAGACATTGACTCGCCCTTCAACATGCTGATCGTATCTGGCAGATGGAGGGAGCGGCCACCTCTTCTTGACATGTCAAGCTCAACTGAGTGGCATGTCGCCCAATGAAGCCCGATTGCAGCATCAAAGATTGAGCCGCCGTGGGGCCTCCTAATCTCACTTGAGTCACCTCAATCTCCAACATCCTGATGCTTCTTCATCACTGGACAAATCACAACCCAGAAATGGACGTCGAACCAGATTGGAGACAAGGCCTCTACGTCGAGCGGCAGCAAGGGCCTGCAGACGCGATGAACCCATACCTAGTACCTCGGTCACCTTTGTCTCATTGACTCTGGAAGCAAAGTCCCCTGAGTTATCAGACCTCCCTACTTGCACCGAAGTCACCCCCGCCCAGCACTCACACGCCCATCCTTCACGGCCCTGGAAGACACACCCTTCTGTAACGCCACCGTGACGGCGAGGCATAGCGATGACCAATGGAACGCCTCAAGTGGTCATCACACTTCGATATAGGGGCGCATCACACACCGATAGCTTTGCCCTACTTCGCTCCCTCCCAGTAGCTCAGATCTTGTACAATGAAGCTGAGCCCCCTGTTCGCATGGAAGTCCTACAAGCAGTACTGGATGGGTTGCGCCCCCCCCCCCCCCCTCAACCGCCGCCTTGGTCCGGTACGTGGAGGCACGGCTGGCCCTGACATGCTGAGCTGGATAACCATGGCGTTGTTGGACAAGGCTGCGCCAGCACTCAATAGCCGCGCAGTTGCATGGTGCTGGGTGATATAAGCTGCCACATATCCGCTCGATAGTGTAGATGGAACGTGATAGAACCGGATACCGAATCTCGGGAAGAAAATCTCCCGGTAGGTGAACGGTCACACACAAACTGTTTGCCGTCGGTGGATGTACGACCTCGGACATTATGGACGAGCCGTCTGCGACCTGACGTATCTCGCATGAATCGGTTGGTAATCGACCCTTGGGACGAACTGCCTAACTTACAAGGTCTGATTGTATCTCATGCCTCCGTCACCCATAGTATCCTGTGCTAACTCGAGCCACAGTTCAGGTATCCCTTTTTCTTAAGACGTTATTGATCTTACAGCCATACACACACTGTTTTCGTGATGCTGACGACGCGCCCCTGAGGCGCTAGGTATGGCATATCTCTTTCCCTTCTTTGTCCAAGCCCACAATCCTGTAAGACGAAGTTTTCGATTTTCATCACCATGGCTGCGTCCCCACATACGCTCAACAGAGTGCCGATTTTGAACACCTTCATCTCTCCGAACCTAGAATGCCAGCTCGGCACCGTCCTCATCTAGAATAATTCAATGCCTGATCTCGTACACCTTGCTGAGATGGCGACTATTTAGGAGCAGAAGCATACTATCAACGAAACCCCTGGCTAAGCGATAGATGAGGTGCTTGGCCAGAACTCTTGTGCTTCCGCCCCTAATCAACATAATTCATATCAGGAAGTTGCGGCTGGACAGCTTCCAATCTGGCTCCCTTTGCTGATTCCTCATCATCCACTTTTACTACAAAGCCTCTTTTCTTTTTCGTCTTTTTCTCCTTTGTTTTCCTTTCTAGAAAAGAACAAAAGAGTGGTTCGTCATCAGGTTATCTGCACTCGTTGCCAAAGTCTCCTTGCAATTTGTATCGCATTGTGCTGCGACTTCTTCAGTCGTCGTATTGTTGTGTGTTGAAGCCTGTGCTTTCAGAACCCTTTATTACCAATACTCCATCTTTCAGGTGGTTTGCTCCTTTTCATATATGAACCTTGTTGGTTCTTATACTACCTACCTCTGGGCAAGGTCTGCTTTGCCAACTTCTTCCCAGAGAAATCCTGCCTTGAAGCTTTTGCTGTAAGCAACCCAGTCGTCTGACCTAAAGGTTCTGGTTATGCCCTTGCCTAAACCATCATCAAAATTGTCAAAGTGTCTTGAACCCAATCCCCATCTTTACCATAATCCATAATAAGCCACATTGGCTACACATGCCCTCGGTTGTCTACGCGCTCAATCGGTGTGAGGGTGAGCCACGATACAGTCGACACACAATACACTAAAGCGCCATGCAAGAGGCAAGTACAACATTGGGCTCACGAGTATATTGAGGAGCCTAGTTAAAGTAGTATCTTATCACAAGAAAAGGGGCTTGCTTTGAACAATTGACCCCGCTGAAAACAAACAATCCCGGATATCCCAAACCGCCCGGCGGGGTGAGACCAGTGCCACAAGGTTAGGCGTGCATTTACTGCTCGTCAATGGGCATCTCCTCCTCATACTCCTCGCCATCATCAGCCGTAGCATCCTGGTATTGCTGGTACTCGGAGACGAGATCGTTCATGTTGGACTCG